CGTGGCACTTACTCAACATGTATCAAGATTTGAACAATTTTTGTCTTTTAAAATGCACTATTAAGTAGTTATTTAAATTGATTTGTAAACAATAAACATTAGTGAAATATTTGCCATTATGTACTTACATAATGTGATAAAGTTTAAATAATAGGTGAGAAATGTTTGAATTAAGTAAGATGTTATTATATTGTAGACAGTACTAAAATGTTGGTAAGATAAAAATTTCAATAATGTATACTCAGTCATATAGTAATATTTGCATAAGAATTTGGCTGTATGTTAGAACTATACATTCATTTTGGATTTGTACATTTTGTACATGAAATAATATAGTTTAATAGTTATAAATAAAAAGGAATATAACTGTTTCTTTACTAATTTATAAGGAATACAGATCTAGATTTTTTGTACTTGTGGTATGCCACTATGAGGATTGTATTTGATTGTACTAAAATTTCATTTCTGAATGATTATATGTGGCGCTCTATTTAAGAGTTGTCAGAATGTCAAGAACGCGTGTGGTACTGTGATCTCGTATTAATGCAACAACAGAGAGAATATAATTGATGTGAATATGAAAATGTTAGTGAACCTTTAATTCTCCTTTCAATGGCCATTTCCAGCTCAACTTCCTTTTTCTGTGCTTCTGGACTTGGCTTCGGAGCAGCAGGAAATGTTACCAAAACTATACTCATGTTATCTCTGCTACCCTACAACAAACAAGTCATATTCCTATTAAATATAAAAGATACAGAATTCAGCTAAAACTTTTTTCAAATTTGGCAAAAGTTGCCAATTGTTCACATTAAAAAACATTTTTGAGTACAAAGGGATCATAATGCATATAAAAGTACTTCATTGATATGGAATCAGATATCAGTGATTATATATTCACAACAAGTACATAGTAAAGATGTAAACAAAATTAGTGACATAAAGGATAAAATCATGAGGTAATAGATAAAAATAGAATGTTATCTAAAGCTTAGAATGTAATAATGTATATTATCTTTATGGTAATTGCCGAAAGATTTGGGCCATAATAAGAAGTGCATTCGTCCTTACACTACACATTGAATAGAACAGATTTAAAACTAAGGTTATAAATCAAGCATCAATAAATAAATAGAAAGGTTGAAAAGTATAAATATTACATGTTTTTATTTTATACAAATTTAATCAATATTGAACCCTTAGTAATTACTTATGATAGTACAGATCTTACTGATTTCAACATTCTCAAAATAGCATAGTTTGGAATAAAACATAATTTTCTCATTGTTAAACAAATACTGAATCATCAAGCATACATCAATAACTTTAGTATCTTAAGTACCATTACCATGCAATAGCCCAATATAAAGTGAGTGTTACATTTGGGTTTGTTTTATCAGTGACTTACTCCCTCCAACACATTAGGAGACTATTGAAATCAATGCGATCAGCACTATTGTAAAAAATTACTAAAATATTTAAATTAATACACTATTGGTAACAGTAGCAGAAAGTTCTTTGTAAAATGTATATGTATAAAGCTTTAGATATCATTACCTTATAAAGACAGGTGTCTATAACCTGGTTTGTAACTGCTTCTAAGTCATCTGTAAGCAGCAGCCTTGAATGTATAAAATCACATAGTTCTTCGTTGTTCATTACATCCCAAATACCATCACACGCTAAAACTAGAAATTCATCGTGTTCATCGTCTCTATCTCGCATAAATATTTCTGGTTCTGGTGACACTAACTGTTCACAGGGACCTCGATCTTTTAATGTTTTGTACTCGTAATCTCCCAGTGCGCGAGAAACAGCTAAAGCTCCGTTAACTCTCTGGATCATTACACTACCACCAGCATTTTGAATTCTTTCTCTCTCTGCTGGTAAGACAGGTTTGTGATCTCGTGTTGAGAAAACTGGACCTCCCGCTCGACAAAGTACAGCTCGAGAATCACCACAATTGGCAATATATATATTTCTGGGAGATACAAATGCACAAACTGCTGTAGAACCAGATTTTTCTGTGCCAGAGCTCATTTCTGGCAAGCCTCTCATTTCATCGTCTAGTCGAAGGAAACCAGAATGAATCCCTGTGATAACATCATCTGCTTTAAATTCTTCTGTTTGCATTATACACTCTAGTAAGTGTTCTGCACTATGCTCAGATACTAATGCACCAGCATGGCCATCGAATACTGCAAAATAACTCCAATCCGAGAGACCACCTTTTAAGCCGGTTATCGCTCTGTGAGCATCTTCCATTTCCATTCTCCAACCTTGCATGCTGGCAACACCGTAGCACAGTCCGTTGCCAGAGCCATGTTCATTGTATTTATCTGTTTTTGGAGTATCCAACAATGCCCCCATACTATTTAGTAAATTCTTGCTGCGTCAGCTTGATTAATTCGTTTCCTTAAGTATTATTTGACCAGCATCTTTTAGCTGATCATTCGTATAACACTTTCTTAAGTTTTACCTAAAATTACAAGGACAAAAAAACAATAGAAAAACCTTCACTCTTTGTACACGACGAAGATTAAACATAATATAATATATGTCATAAAAGTATCGTCCGTTTCTAGCGTTCTCTAGCGATACGGATATAAATTGTAAATGGAACAATACCACGTTTAAAGTACATATTACGACATTGCTTAAAATTTACTTTACGATAATTGGCTTACGCGTGCACCGATCTTATCGTGAGACTGTTTTCTGTTGCTGTTATAATTTTGGTTTTAAGCGGGGAGAAAAAGACAATTAGAACATAACATCGCTCTAAATGCCGAACGTAACGTGCAAAGATTATCTCGGAAATGGTAACATTTTGAACGTGATACGATAACGTTCGCGTAAATGGAAATAATCGAACATACAATTACGCTTACTCTACAATTACAACAGTAAATTCGTGGATGTTGCAAATTAAATAGAATATGGGGGAAAAGTAAGCTATATTAGATTCTAACGTGAAACTCTATTTGGCAGTGCCAAATTTTGCGACTAAAATAGTTTATACCTCGATCTGCATGTTCGCGAAACTTACGTAGGGAGATCGTGACCAAATATCATCGTTACTTCGGAAAAAGTATATATGTGTAGAGCGTGGTATTGCTAATAGACTTGTTTCATATCACTATCACCATGTTCCCTTTGCTAGGCTCAACACACAGAACTAGAACCAACAAAATCGACTTGCATGAATGGCGGATATACACTAGGCGATTTTCTGCGCATGCGTTGGTTATTAATAGCATTGCCTCGTGGCGTCATGAACCGCCAATCGAAAGCCCACGATTTCCGCTCAAGCCTGGGCAATCATATAGGATTCTGAAGTAAAATTAACTCACGCGCGATACTGGAATTAACTCTCGCCAAGACGCATATAAACAAAAACAGAAAGTTCTTGTTGATGATAAATTCTACTGTCACTGATTACTACGTTTATCGGTACTGTTATGCTCGTTAAATTCAATTTGAATTTCGAAATTTCGATGACTGCCCATACACCGTTTAATATTGCTGCAAATATTACAGAAACATTGCCGCGCAATAATGAATTATTAACAAAAAAAAATGCTGCTTAAACGTTATGACAATACTTCTATGTCTGCTGTTTTCAATATTTAAGAAATATTTCTTAAACTAACAATGTTTCAAACACGTTATCGTTTAGGCAAGATTGGAAGAATGTTATTAAAATTTCGAGTAAAGCTTGTAAGTTACAACGTATCTTTCAAAATAATTACGATATTTGTTAAATGAAATCCTATGTAATTTGTTACATATTCGAAATAATAGTCGATGAAAATTTTAAAGGACTAGAGATTATGAACTTTTTTATCTGTTTACGAAATAACCTTATTATGCAGCGATCAAATAAAATTTTTTGTCAGATAATTAAGTTTAATTACTAAATTTATCTTTTTCTTTAATGTGTAAAATATAGATAATACGTAAATATATATATATTTCGAATATAAACATGGAGGACATTATGTACATATAATTGTATGTGTACACAGATATACATAGTATATAAGTGTATACGTTATATCAATATGTTTGTAAGTACTTCGACAATTGCTGGAGAGGGGCATGTAATCATGATTCACGTGCAGATTATCCAGTTAGACTCATTTTAGTTCTATAATTGTTAGGAAAACATATTTTAATTGCCATTTGTATAAAATGCACACACGTAATTTAACCTAATATAACGATAAGATGTGTGGGTAATAACAGTGCTTTAATCTCCTATGTTATTACGCAAAGAAATGATACAATTAAAGGATAAGATAACAAATATTTTATTTTTGTTTTTATAATTATCTTATTTTTGATAAAGTTAACGTTTTTAATACATTTTTCTTAAATTAATAAAATTACATTTTAAATACTGTAAAGCTTAATTAAGTACCAAACTGGTTTAACCAGTTTTCATAAAAATACAGGGTTTATTTTTATGGAAAAATAACTTGCTTTAAAAATGTAAAATGAAAAATACGTCATACCCTTATTTATGTATAAACAACAGGGATTGTATACAGGGTGTCCCAAAAATGTTGGAGGTCCTTGAAAAGGGTGGTTCGAGGGGTGATTTGAAACAACTTTTTCCTTAGGGAAATTGTTGTCCGAGGCTTCGTTGAGGAGATATTAACGGAAAACACTGACCAATCAGAGCGCGTAGATACCGTTGGAGCGACCGCGATAGCGATGACTACGCGCTAGGTAGCCGCTCTCGTACCCGAACAAGTGACTCAACGTGCATCGAAGGATATTGACGCGACCGCTCAGCCCGTAGCCTTCGCTACCGCGGCCGCTCCAACGGTATCCGCGCACTGTGATTGGTCGGGTATTTTTATTAATATCTACTTAACGAAACCCCATCCGACATTTTTGCAAAGGAAAAAGTTGTTTCAAATCACCTCCCGAACCACCCTTTTCAAGGACCTCCAACATTTTTGGGACACCCTGTATACATAAATATAAGACACGTATTTTTCAAAAAGCAGTTTAATCTATTACCATTGACATTTTCAAAATAAATTTTTTGATGAGGCAATTATTTTATATTTCTAGAATAAATAACATTAAATAAATTTATGGAAAGGGAATTTTTGTGGAAGTGTGCTTTATGTACATAAAGCGTCATTTTTGTGCAGCTATTTTATGTTTGTTACAAAACCAAGATCCCTAGGAACCATGTATTCTCTGACTGTGTCATCTGTTAGTTTACTTCTAATTGCTTGATGTGCAGCAATCAAAGGTTGCAGAACATTAACCAATTCTTTTTTAAGTTCTCCTGTTAAAATTTCTCCGCTGGTATAACCCTGAAAATTTATAATTTATCATGTTTACAGATGTTATCCATGTTCATTTATAAATATCATTGTATAATTAAAAAAAAATTACAACTTACTTTTCTAAGTTGTTCTAATTTTGTATCATCCTCTAGGAAGAATCGTAACCATTGATATGATATATCAATTTCACAATTCCCTCCAAGTTGCCTATGTTCTTCAATAGTTGTCTGTCCTCCAGAGAATGCATGTTTGTAAACTTTATTTTTTATTTGTTTAGCAGTGTCTGTCAAGAATATTGCAGTATTATCATTGCTAGCAGACATTTTTGTTTTAGAGCCTTGTAGAGCTGGGAAAAATATAGAATGCATCAAAGCTGGTTTTGGAAATCCAATCCTAGGTGCAATATCTCTTGTCATTCGAAAATAAGGATCTTGATCGATTGCACATGGAATCAAACAATGAACTTTTGTATTTTTAAAAATAAAAGGAAAAGTTCCAGATATTGCTGGTGCTGCTTGAGTAGGTGGAAATGCAATTTTTCCAACAGGATCGCTGTCTCCAAATCCAAATATACCCTTCACTTGATTAAATGTAACACATTTCTGTATCCTAATCATATTTTGGTAAAATGCTGGATTATTTCCAATATGTTCTAAATTAGAGAAAATGAAAGTATTCTCTGGTTTAAAACCAAGGGCAATAATGTCCTTTGCATTATTATAGGCCAGTTTGATTGCATCTTCTATTTTTATGTTCTTCCATATCGCTTTTTCATCATCGGTTAATTGTATAATTAATGGAACATGAAATACATCTTGCAACCATTTGCAAAACAGGAATGGTATAAGATGTCCCAAATGCATAGAATCTGAACTGGGTCCTCTACCCGTGTAAAGGTAAAAAGGTTTTCCTTGTTCATATAGGTTTAAAATTGTGTGCATATCTCGATGAGAAAAGAATATCCCCCTTCTAAGGAAATGATGAGGTTTCTGGCCAGTGATTTTCTCGAATCTAGCCAATAGTTCTTCGTCAATTTTTGAACAGCCAAATTTTTCTAAGATAATAAAAAGAAATTTGTTTAAGTTTTACTTCTGCTTCTTTCAAGAAACATCATTACGAACGTATAACCTATATGAAATCAATGCAATAAAGTAATGGATATATCCATTAATATACTGCAAATATTTTTGATCCTCAAAGCTGTTTAATAATATAATATTTTCGGGAAACTCACTGATTAACTTGTCATAATCAATTCCAGTCTCGTTTTGGGTCGTAACGTCCCAGGGTGTTACAACATCCTCATCTGTCGTTCCATTTAATGTTAACGTATCAATTTCTACAGTTTCAGCTGTCATTTTTCGTTAGTTTAGATTCTCTTCTAACTTATAAACACGACTGGACGAATATCTATAGGAAAAAAGGCCTCATATGCTACGGTTCGGTCACATTATGTGAGACTATTCTGCAACTGAAAACTTCTATATATGCACGTTGATAAACGCCGCCTGACGCCGCCGGTCTCACATCAGTGGTCACAATTCTCTAATTACTTTTACTGTTCTGCTGCTCACTTAGATCAGTGGATCAGTGCTTTTAAAACTGGAGTTCTCGAGCTTTTAAAAGAAATAAAAGAAAGCATATTACGTATATAATAGATTAAAAGAAAAATGCATTTCATAATAGATATTTTAAGGAATTTTGGGGGGTTTTCTGAGGCAGTGTTTCTCAAATTTTTCTTGAAAAAAAATTTCTGGTAAACTCTAGAAGTTATAATGATTTCATATTTCTTTCAAATTTGCACAACTTGCAATACATGCATAGTGATAAATATATTTTAAATATATTTTTACTTGTAGTGCTCCATTTGATATATATTTACGTCTTATATACTCTACGTAGATGAACTTTTAGTTCTAAATTATATTAAAAAAAAGTAGAATTTAATTCTTCTACATACAGGAAGTCATAGCAAAAAAAGTTTCTTTTATCGAGGGAATCCCCTGTAATATGAAGTTTGAGAACCCTGACGTAGATCACAGTCGTTGACCGGATATTACGTTACATCTGTAGGCACACTATTTCTGGTTTCATGCTTATTAAACGAAGCCAATCAGTTTCTTGGTACTCATATCGAACGTACCGAGTGCTTAAGCACATATTCGAACGTACTGTTAGGCTGCCATACTCTTATGCAAGTGCAAATTGTCGGTGTGGAAGTCATGGTTAACACGTAGCCGGCGTTTGACGTGTCTTAGCCTCCTAGCCTAGGCATATAGTGATTTGGTAATTTGTTGCGGGCTGCTTGATTTGCAACGTGTCGAGTGGAAAGAAATGCTAATATGTTTATGGCAAATGTCTATTAAGAAGTAACGGATATATTTCCTATTACGTTTTCAAACTCGAAGAAAATATGTTGCCAAATAGATCATCCACGACAAATACCAGAAAAGATATGTTCCCTGATAAGAAAGCGACTTCTAAGCAACTGAAAACTTCTACATTGACGAACGCCGCCGGTCTCAGTTCTCTAATTACTTTTACTGTTTTGCTACTCGCTTGGATCTCAGGATTCGCTTCTCGACTATTTGCAGTAATACGTTTCGAAAGTATCATACATGAATTCGATCCTTGGTACGTATTTTTACACGTCATTGATAAATCAATTTAATATTTACCTATAGAGATAACATAAAGATATAACTTCTATTAATGTAATAGTTTCATTTAAAACATAAATATAGAAACAACAATTAATTTGCAAAAATCTTAATCTACAACTTTTTTTATTGATGTAGGTTTAACTATAGAGCAACAGCATATATGGTGCAACATGGATTTTATAATTTCTTAAATTGGTTTGATGAAAGAGCATGGTACCCATTGGGCCGTATCGTGGGTGGAACCGTTTATCCTGGTCTAATGATCACATCCGGATCCATACACTATATATTACATTCTTTAAATATCCCAGTGCACATAAGAGACATTTGTGTATTCTTAGCTCCAGTTTTTAGTGGCCTTACCGCCATTTCCACGTACTTATTAACAAAAGAAATATGGAGCGCTGGCGCTGGTTTATTTGCAGCATGCTTTATTGCGATTGTACCTGGTTACATTTCAAGATCCGTAGCTGGAAGTTATGATAATGAAGGCATTGCCATTTTCGCGCTACAAATTACGTATTATCTGTGGGTTAAATCGGTTAAAACTGGCTCTATATTTTGGGCTTCTATGACTGCTCTATCCTACTTCTATATGGTATCTGCGTGGGGTGGTTATGTTTTTATCATTAATCTAATTCCATTCCATGTTTTCGTGTTGCTGGTCATGAATAGATTTAGCAATCGTCTTTTTACAAGTTACACCACATTCTATATTTTGGGACTTTTGTTAAGTATGCAAATACCATTTGTTGGTTTTCAACCAATAAGAACATCTGAACACATGGCAGCAGGAGGTGTCTTTGGTTTACTAATCTTTGTAGCAACTCTCAGGTATGTTAATTACATATATTCATTAAATTGTTGTATAAATTATCTCAATATAACATTTTGTTTTGTTTAATGCAGGTACTTAAGAACTGTACTTACTAAATCTGAGATGAAATACTTTGGAGGAGTAGTTGCAATTACTGCTGGTATTCTTTTGTTGATTTTAATCTGCTTGACCTATGCTGGTATTGTTGCCCCTTGGAGTGGAAGATTTTATTCACTATGGGATACAGGCTATGCAAAAATACACATTCCAATAATAGCATCTGTTTCTGAGCATCAACCTACAACATGGTTTAGCTTTTTCTTTGACTTGCACATTCTTGTTACAACATTCGCTGTTGGACTTTGGTACTTAATTAAACATATTAACGACGAACGCGTTTTTGGTAAGATCTAGCAATCAAAATTATCAGTTATTTAAAATTGTTCAAATATATTATTCATTACTATTTTTTTTACAGTTATATTGTATGCTATAAGTGCTGTTTACTTTGCTGGAGTAATGGTCAGGCTCATGCTTACTCTCACTCCAGTTGTTTGTATGCTTGCTGGTGTTGCATTCAGTGATCTTCTTGAACTATTCTTCAAAGAAGAAGATAGCGAAAGAAATGATCGGAGCGCTAATGGAAGCGAAGAAGAAAGTGAGGAAGAAAGAGAGAGAAGTCCAGGCAGAGCACTATATGATAAAGCGGGTAAACTACGTAGAATGAAACATGAGAGACCTACAGGGAATGGTGATGGTCTAGGTGTTAATCTACGAAATGGGGTTGTTATTGGAGCATTTATGTTGATGATGATGTTTACTTTGCATTGTACTTGGATTACAAGTAATGCATACTCTAGCCCTTCAATTGTTTTGGCATCATATAGTAACGATGGTGGTAGAGCTATACTCGACGATTTTAGGGAAGCTTATTATTGGTTAGCACAAAACACACCCACTGATGCCAGAGTTATGAGTTGGTGGGATTATGGTTATCAAATTGCTGGAATGGCTAACAGGTATATTGGCGAATAAATAGCATCTAAAACGTTGTTTATCATGTATCTGTATAAAGTAAAACAATGTAACAAGTTCTCTTCTTTAAATTTAGAACTACACTTGTGGACAATAATACTTGGAATAATTCCCATATAGCTCTGGTTGGAAAAGCAATGAGTTCAAATGAAAGTGCTGCCTATGAAATCATGACATCTTTAGATGTAGACTATGTATTAGTTATTTTTGGAGGAATGATTGGGTATTCTGGAGACGATGTTAATAAGTTCCTTTGGATGGTACGAATCGCCGAAGGTGAACATCCGCAAGATATTCGGGAAAGTGATTATTTTACCGAAAAAGGAGAATTTCGTGTGGATGCTGAAGGTTCACCTACTCTCTTGAATTCGTTAATGTATAAATTAAGTTATTATCGATTTGGAGAAGTTAAAATTGATTATCGGTCACCTTTTGGTTACGATCGTACACGTAGCGTAGAAATAGGAAATAAAAATTTCCAATTAACATATGTGGAAGAAGCTTACACATCTGAACACTGGCTTGTTAGGATTTACAGGTAATATATTTGTATGAAATATATTTATAATATTTTTGTATATTATAACAATGGCTACTGTAGTGCATTATTCATTTCAATAATGAATTATCACTTACTTATATATTAATTCGTACATTATAAATTACATATCTTCTTTTTTTATCAACAATTTCACAGGGTGAAAAAACCAAACGAGTTTAATAGACCTAGTATTCCAATATCTAAGCGAGTTGTTACACGTAATGCCAATTCATATGTCAGTAAAAAGGTGAGTATTTCACTTCATATGGAAATACGAAAGATATATATTTTAATTTCTTGAATTATCTATCGTATCGTTTTCCATTTGATACAATATACATTGCATGATCTCGAAACGTAGTTGAAGTTGTGGGGGGTTGGATATTAATGTTTCAGACACCACGTCGTAAGAAAGGTTACATAAAAGGCCGGCCAACTGTTATTAAAGGACAGAAACCTCAACGAAGAACTACGTAACAAACATTTATTATCTAATTCATAACAGTTTTCAAATACAACTTTTGTAATAAAAAAGAAATTACCGTCCCTTGGGTCTACCACAAACTATACCTCAAACTAAGAATTTAATATCACGACAAATTCAATTGATTGAAATATAAAATGAAAAAAGAATTTCCAACATTTGAAAGAATTTAAACAATTGTTTCATAAATATAATATAAAAGCGGGGGATCATATTTTTAATTTCACTTACTGACCTACGTTTATTTCTTGTTGAATTTCCTAAGATTATTACAGGTTGTTCATGTATGATTGTCCTACATATCACACGAAGTATAAGTTCTATATGATTACAGTATATAATGCATTTGATCTCATAAAGAATCCATATAATGGGTTCGTGTTATTTATGAATTGAACTCATTCTATCTCCAAATTCTTCTGTACTTAACTGTTCTCTAATTCTTTCTTAATTTTTTTTGCCAGTTATTTTAAATGTCTTTTCACAAATGCATTTTAAATACAAGAAATTATACCTTAAATTCTCAAGTAAGAAACTTCATTAGTGAAGTCGCGATTAATGTCTAAACTTCCGTTATGTCTGTGTAATGCATATTAAACTTTAATAAGTAAAATTCGTTAGTCGAAGTGAATAAAAACATTTATTAAATATCAAGCAGGTGAGATCAGAGGGATTGAATATATGTTATTTGTATACAGTTTATTGTATAGTAATAAGAATCTTGTCACTTTAACATATTGTATTATCTAAAATTTCACTTTTATTTTTTGTATAGGAACTAAAAGTGTAAAGAATTCAATTTTATGCAATAGAAATATGTTTGTAAATGTATTATATCCTTTTTGTCTTATGATCTTTTAACTATTTGATTAATTGAATTCAGTTACATGCTTTAACTTTATTATAAAGTCTGCACTTCTTATTTATGATATGCATATAACACAACATGGTTACTGACATTAGTAGATGTATGTGTTTGTAAGGTTACAAAATTATATCTGAGCAATGTTATGTACACAGAGTAATTGAGTACATGGTCATTGTGTATATTAATTATAAAAAAAGCAAGAGAAGAAAATATAAATGAAACAAAGTTGTAATATATATATCAGTGTATATTATTTTACTTTTTGTATGAAATTTTAGAAAGTATGTAGTCATATTAAGGTGATCAATACTACATAATTAGAATCAATAAATTATTCTCTATACATATACTATAAATGAACAAATATTTTGAATGCAACAAATTTATTTATATAAATCATATAGTGAATTTACGTTTGTTAAGAAACTATGAATGTTTCATAATATTCGAATCAATGTATTGTTTAACAGGACAAGTTGCGCAGTGTGTAATAAACTATCTATAACATGTAATCAAGATTTATTTCGAAAAAGACAAAATATACAAATCAACAGGTGGTACTTGCCAATATTTTGACGCGGATAGGTTATAGTCTTTTAAATGTCAAAATCAGCTGATCAGTCGTAGCAATTTTTCAAGGTTACTAGTCTTATTAACTAGTTTAATTTTTATTGCGTTCAACTATTAAATAAATATTGTATAAATATTTATTACTAGTTCAAAAATTAAACGTTGTTTTATTTATATTATTATAAATAATAATACTAATAATAAGTATAGCAACATTGTTTGGTTATAGAACAATATACAATACATACGAAAGGTACATTAAGTATAATTTTACATAATATTACGCTTTTAATATTTCATATGCAAAAATATTAATAGGCAGTTTATAATATATTATTGATTATTTCGATTTTCCGTAAACAATATATTTAGGGATTATTTTATAACGGATATGTATAATTTTAATTTATCTTCCATTTATTTGTATTGCTACATAAATTATTTTTTTAAATATTTCTGACAAATTTCTAAAATTATTGTACAACGTCTTTTTATTTTTAAGTAAAAAATAATTGTACTCGATACTTTCGATAAAAAGAATAGAACTTTTTATATGATGAGTAACTTTCTGAAATTACATAAAAAGTATTGTTTACAAATAATTTTCCAAGTATTTCTTTAAACTTTATGTCAATTACAATTGTCATAAAGTAAATATATACATATACATACATGTATATATGTAACTTATGAAAATGATGTATACATACATATATGTGTATATAAAATTCCAATACTAACTGTATTATATTTACGTAAAATAATTAAATCCACTAAATAACGAGAACACATTTGATTTCGTGTATCTTACGAAATTTTAAAACGTTATTATATAAAAGATTCATAAAATTATGTAAAACGAATATAATTGTTCCAAATGCGATGCAACATCCAGATTTCGAATCTCTTGATAGAAGTTATACACGTGAAAGTCAAAGAAATGAGATTTTACGTTATATATCTTTCTAACTCCTCTTTATTCGCATTTGTGTAATTTACGACAGGGTAAACGAGAACAAAGTAAATGAGACCTACATATTACATATGTAAAAGAAGTAAAAGGTTATGTCGTAGTGAATAACGAAGGACAATCTAATCGTTCCTGATAATAATATTCAAAATCGTGCGAAAGTATGTTTTTGTGTAGTATTATACGAGATCAGTTGACGCTCAGAACGGACACAAACTGTTTGTATATCGAATTCAAAGTGATAATACAGTGAATTCAAAGATTTTTCGCATCAGAAACTGTTCGTGTGTGCAGCGTCCGCCATTTTGCTTCCCTTACATCTGACATGTCTTTCTAATGTTATTATCGATGAATGCTGGAATTTGTGCGTGAATCTTCAATCTTGTTGGAGTATATCTTCCAAGAAAAAGGTTGAATTGCCTCTGATTGGACAACAACCTCCATTACTATTGGGAGTAATTTACATTGTCCCAACCTCGGTTAAACTAAACGAAACATTGAGTACATAAAAGAATCTTCGTGAAGAGTATCCGTGAATAGTTTACCCATGTTAATGGGTGGCAAATATGCGGCAAAACTCATGCGATGAGCTTTCCTGACCGTATTGTTGAAACTTGATTACAGTATTTTGCACAGTGTTATATTGTCTATATAAGGAGTGAACATAACCAAACACAGTGTTGATTGCCAACATCGTGTACTGATGTCAACACTGGAGATAAAACGCTTATTAATATGGCTTTGACTTGTCAGAGATTACTAGAACTCCTAGAGCCAATATTCGATGTTTTGGTGTCTCATGTAATGCGATTACTCAAAGATGTGTAGGATACGTTCTATGTGAACTGCTATGCGAGGCAAGGATTGTTTTTATCCTGATCTAGCCATGGACTAAGTTCACGCTAACTGCTTGAACCAGAAGACTTTAGTAATTATCTCATACATATTATGTATAGAAACATAGAGTGATACATAGCTTTAATTGGTATAGATGTTGACTGCTAAAGTATTATTTGCACTTTTAGACCATAGAGTAAATATTGTTATCGTTTAAACTTTTGTAAGGCACAGCTAAAAAGATTTGATACTAGATGGTAAATAGCAAATTTTAATCTTTCTATTAAAGCAAAATCCATGACAAAATTAAGTTTTGTATATATGCACATATATGTAAATAAGAAATAGCCAAGCGCATGCTGTGTTAAATTTTTCAAACACAAATAGTGCACACGACTATTTTATAATTTATTATATTTTGTACAAAGATTCATTTTATTAGATATATCGCCTTAACGCATATAAATATTGATGTTTCCAAGGCAAATGCAAAAAAAAAAAAAAACAAACTGTGATATAATACAATAAAAATAATTTTTTATTTTTTTATTCTCAGTATTATGAGTTGAAAAAATAGTACTGTCTGGACTTGGATCTTGGCACATGGCGTGAACTAAGTTTTATCTAGATAGGAAGAAAGTTGATTCAGAGGGTTTGAGAATGCAGGTAGAACAGGAGACGAGAGAAGCGGTTATCAATGAAGGTCCCCATATTCGAAAACTCAAACATGGACAATAAATTGAAGTTTTCGGATCGCTTGAAGGCTTTACTGAAAACTGAGGCTCGTCAAGATGTCGATCCATATATTTTCAGCGAACCGGAGCCATTTACTACATCAGGAGGGAGAAATGTTACAATAGTTTCACCTAAAAATCCTAAAGTAATGCAAAGTTGTAGAAATATTAAGTCTAAGGGAAAGTGTATGAAACAAAGGATAAGGATAACACCTATACCAGATGTGGAATACAAAGCAGTACAAGATCGTGCTATAGAACTAGATGTTGATGCTAGTGTCGGTGGCAGTGGTAGCGGTGATGGTGAAAATATAGATTTTAAACTAGCAAAAGCAATTCAACACAAACAACGGCGCATTCAGAATTTACAAAGATTAAAATGTAGAAGGCAAAGCCGGGACCATACCCTATTGTATTATCCTAAAGCTGGAGACGAAATATCGGATAGTGATTCTAGCGGCGATGAAATGACAGTCTATCAACGCTATTGGTTTTCAGGGGAAACCAGTACAGCGTTGAATCGCTCCGCGCGTCTTTCTCAATTGCGTTCCCAACTAAGACGACGACTGATTCAATTAGATAAAAGTGGAGCAGACTCTGAAGCTTTGTTGCGCGATAGAGCTAGGTGTTTATTGGAAGCTGCTTACAAAGATCCTGCAACTACCGCGAGAGCTTTGAGTGATTTTCCAAGTACAAGTAAACTGGTAGATGGTCCTCTTCTTGTTGGTGGACTCTGTGGAGCCGAAGGCTGCCAGCAAACATCTTTGCCCTGTACCCGTCATTGTTCTCGTCACATTATGTTGAACGGAGATCAACTTTTATTTGAACATTGCACTGCCAAGTTTAGTGATAATACACAATGTTGTATACCTGTATTCGATGTTGCACATGAATTACCTCTTTGTCCAGAGCATGCAAGAAAAAGGGATAACTACCATCGTAAGGCTCAAGAGTCCAAACCAAAGAAAGCTCGTAAAAAGCCATCATCTCCAACAATTCCTAGGCCTAAACCAAAATCCAGGCCAAAAAAACGAAAACGGCCTCCGACGACTAAACTCGAGACTAAAGGTCCCACCTTAGCACACGAAGAGAGCCAATATTTGAGTCAAATGAACTCTAGTGAAAATCAGATAAAAACATTGAACAATTTGAGTACAGTAGCGCACGGAAGTTCACATTCTTCTAATTTAAATTTAGGATTAGGACTTGGTCTTGGAGCAGGGCTTAAGGTGGATCTAGGAGATCACGAAGTGTTTCCTTCTCTGGATTCCGCGGAGCACGATTTTGGCAATGTCCTCAACAACTTACCAGCTGATGCTTTTAATGATTTGTTCATTGGTAATTAGATTTTTAAATATTTTTATTCCATACTTGCGTGACTCGCTCCAATATCAAAGGTGGACAAAATTCTTACTTAGATCAAAATTTCGAATAATGAATGAAGGATAAACAATTTTTTATTTATTATTTGCAGAATAATTGCTCGTACATTGAATTTGTTCATCATGTATTCTAATTAGATTTTGCTCATCTTTGTTCTGTATAAACTACATGAGTGACTTGTTCACTATTCAGAATACCAAAATAGTGCAAGATCTATTACCTCTTTTATAGAAAGCAGAAACGGAGAGTATGAACCGTCGAGAGAAGAAGAGGAGGAATTAGAACGAGCATTAGAGGCAGTAGATAAGGATGTACGAAATTTGGAAAGAATGGGGCAAACGCACGGACTTTTAGAACCAGCATTACTGGCTCAACTTATGTCAGATATTGCTTCGTAGCCCCGTCTATTTTAATAATATAATACTTTGAAAACGAGTTCGCGTGTGTTCCTTATAATATAGAAAGAAATACTGTTTGTGTCTGTGCTGCTAAATGTAAGATTATGTTATTAACTTTCATTGCATAGATATAAAAGTCCAAGGTAATAGCAGGGATTGACATACAGAAAGTAAAAAAGAAATATTAAAGTTATTAATTTAGCATAAACATCATTGGGTACAACATCGTAACATAGCTAGATTCATATGCAGTAGTTCATGTTTCTTGTAAATGCTGAAAATTCTTTTTAGCAAAATAATCGTAAACGGATCACGATATCATCTTATTTTGAAAGTTCAATTATCACTTTGTAGTTATAATAACATGATAGAGTCTTTTCAATTGTGAAATGCATGAATATTAAAAAAAAAAAAATGGAAAACATTTTTGCAAAGTAATGTAACGTATTTGACTTTTTCAGAGTACATAGATTGATATTTTATTTATGACTGCTATTTAATTCAGATATTAATTGGGAACACACTTTGTTCAAACAGATTTGTTAATATTATTTGCATTGATAATAATCTTTATTTTGTTTTCAAGTACTCTGATATATCTGTAAGACATTCGTAAATAGATCCTAAAGATATAGCGAATTAACTTTGGTAAAATCTAATTTTTAATGAAATATTAAACATTAATGAATGTATATGTGTTTTATATCGATATTTGGTTTGCTGTTTCTTCTCTATCTACCGTAGAAATTGAACCAAATCGTTTGATATAAAAGAAGCATCAGTAATAATTCTATTAAAATGTGAAACTCCCGAAAGTTACGCAATAGTTACAATACGTTTTGAATAAGATTGAAAATCTCTCATTCATTGTCTGAGCCGAAGATTAAGTACAAGCACTACATTGAATGTATGTTTTCATAAGAATGTAACTTAGTTCTTTGTTTAAACAAAAGTTAAAACTGTTTTAACAAGTTACCTTTCATTTGAAAAACTTTGTGCATAGAATACAATTGCATGGGCACATGACTGAACTTAAAAAAAAACTACATGTACACATAAATAGTCATTATTCATTTTCATCATCTAACTGCTGTAATAATATATGCAAATAATCGCGAATAATCTTACTGGCATACGCATAATTACCATTATCATCATGTTCTTCATTTTGTAATATAATCATGTAGGCAAATGTTCAGTGATAGATAGCTGTAACATACAATTAAAAATTCAAATTAATAAGAAGTGCCGAAATAGTTTCATTTTTGATATTTTTAGTAACTATAATACGTTTAAATTTCTTTTGCAGCCTATAAGAAAAGATGACACGCTGTGCGTTATTTTATTATAACAATATTAAGGAATAAGAATTAAAAGAAAAGATGTTAATATGGCACAGATTCTGAGAGTAAAACTAGATTACCCTTGTCGATCATAAGGACGGTTGGATTACTTACTGCCATTTGATATTTAAAATATCGCAATATAGCCGTAGCGTTGATACTAGTGTTATCTGTGTAAATGTAATATTTCAAAGTGTACACAATATACTTCAGATTATCATACTTTTAATACATATCGTAATTGAGATCGAATAAACCATACGTCGAATCGAGTTGTAGATTATAAATAAGTAACATTAAAGTAAAACAACAAGAAATGCATTTTACATGTAACACCAAGATTGTACAGATTTTTGTGAGGTCTAGTTTTTATTATCAAAGTCTCTGTGCCAAATATAAGTAACGAGGTATGAATTTTTGTACCTTATACATGCGTGTCACTTATTCACACATAATAGGTCGCAAAGAGGTATACCTTGAATAATGAATGTTTTAGCTAAATGTAAACCATTGCAAATGAACAGTAAATTTGCTACTTGTAAATGAAGACAAAAAACAATATAATTTACAATTTAACCCATATTGGGATTCAATTAATGTCATATATATGTATATGTATGTATCATATATGTCATATATATATGTTACTACATATATTATACGCATATATATATGACATTAATTAATTGTTACTATATATCGTGGTAGTAATTAGGTACAATAATTATTTATAAAAGGACAATGCAGAATTTAATCGTGGAACAAATGCATTGCTTCAAATGTACCTATATGTGTATCTCCTTGTAAAATATCAGCATTAGTACTCATTATTAGGCATTACCAATTATAATAAGCATATTTTTTACATTGTCTTATTGTACTCAGTTTATCCACCCTGATCACGTGTCCCTTAAAACAGTTTCTCTGAACATATGTGTCTATATTTATTGATAGTTTATGTAACAAGAAATTCAATTAGTATTTTATGCTATGTGCTCTTTTCAATATACATATATTTCAGTACATGTTATAGAAAATATTGAAAATAATTCTCTATAGTTTGCTTTCACGGTTTAAATTTACTTTCAATTCATCAATAGTAACAACATTTTATTCTTCCAATTCAGTATTTTTATATTGAATTAAAATTATAAATTAAAATACGAAATATATTAATCGAAATAAATATTTCGGAAGAATTGTGCCCGCTTCTTCAAAAAAAAATACTGATTTTCATAGAAACGAATATGATTTACAAAGAATCTAATACAGACACATATATTCAATTAATTGGTTGTTATCAATCCATATTAATATTACACAAATAATAAAGCATATTTGAAACAGCAATCAATGATTAGTTTTTATACCGCTTCTTTTTTACTCCATTTTAAAAAGTATATCCAATAATTAAAATTTTAATTTAAATGTTAATTTTTGTAATGTATTCCATAATGTACCTATCTGTACTGATTGTCGTATGTTTGTTTATAAACTTATGTAGTAATGTAGTATGTAATGTAGTATGACGTATGTCATTCTTGCCTTCACACGAACGACAATTTTTTAAATTGTATTATTTGTCGAACGTCTGACTACGAACTTATGTTGCTTTGATGATTGTATTTACACACTAATATGGATTGATAATACTCGATACGATTCGATAGTAAACTACACAACGAATGTTCATTAAATTGATTTTAAATAGTATTGTTCGTTCATTATTTGTATTATTTCTATCCGTATATATCATGAATGTCGGTTATGAATCGGTAAGTAATTCAAATTTCAAGATTACCATTTACTTTTTGGTAATACATATGTATAAATTTCAATTTTTGTTATAAAGATACATTTTAACTATGCTATAAGTTTTACATCATTTTTTCTCGTATTCATTTATCATTATATGAAGGGTAATAACTATTTTACACTGTTAATATATATTTATTCAACAAGTTCATATTGTTTTCAAAAAAGTTTACTGTTTATTTTCCAAACTTTCGAATGATTTACAAATAATAGATTATTAACTTACATTTTAAAATTAAAACTAATTTGTTGATATCGAATATGAGTCTATATTTTTATTTTTATTTTTTTGGCGCTTAATTTCTCTAATTAACCATTTTTTTCTTGCTTCTTTACGTGCAGTTTGATAACCTTTTGGTGAGATATTACTTATTTCACTTGGAAAGTCTAGGGCTAATTCAAATTCAGATTCAAATGGCGGGAGACTTCGAGTTCTTACATTTTTATTCTGTGAAATATAGAAATATAATGTTACTATTGAACAATAAATCCACAGGTATACCGAGAAAATATTTATTATAGAAACTCACTGAATCTGACGATATATCTTTTGTACTTCTCCTCTTTTCGTATACTCTTTTATCAGATAACTGAATTTGATCGAGTTTTTCTTCGTCATGGGGCGTTAACATTATATCGTAATCGTCTTTATTCTCTCCTAGAATTCCTATTCTAATTCCTAATTCATGTAACTTATGTTCTTCGATAAGAAGAGCATTCTCTAGATAAAGAATTCGTTTGTCGCTTGAATGATTCCCCATACCTGTTAATGATAATACAATAGTTGTCTTTTTGTTTAAAATAATGTATATCTAAAGAAATAACTTACCTAAAGATAGAAGGCGATAATCGCAGTTCGAGTATATCAGTTCTTGTATTAAAGGAGAATTTCTTAATAATTTTCTTTTCTCTTGTATTTTATGGCCATGTAATACTTTAATATCATCTATTAACATATCTTGAATGATTTGACTTGCACTTCTTCTTTCTGCTATGTTATAAGCTTCAGTTCTAAATAATCTGTGTAACTCAATTTCTAATAGAACATTGTTTTATTTATCAAACTATAATCTTTTTTTGATTGTTTTAGAATATTTTATGTATTCTTTTCTCCATAGATCAACTTACCAATTAAATTAAAATATTTACGTCGTAAAGCTATCCAAACAACGCGGTGTGTCATACAAATTAATACTTCAAACATTCTTAAATCTTTTTCTCCTTGTGATTGAGTTACAGATGTCATTCCCTTTTTTCCACCAGTCATATGATGATATTGAATGGTATCTTGGCAACCTATTATTAAATCAGCATATTCTTTACCTAAAACACAACGTAGATTTTGCATATCATCAGCAAATCTAGATCTGTAGCCCTGAGCTAAAGGGTTTGGTGCTTTTTTCATAGTAGCTGCACGTTCTTCCATTAGTTCTTCCCATGTAGTCACATAATATTGAAAATAAATTATTACAGCTCTTAAGAAACGGTCCATGATTGGTAAATGAAAGAAATTTATAAATTGTGGACTAACAGGTGTTGCTAATAGAAACATTACAAGATTCTTTATGTCTTGTAAAATAATAACGTTTGGTTTGTCTGGAGATATCTTCCGTAAATATTGTCTTCTAAATGTTATCTGGAATAATATGTAATTAAATAATGAGGTGTTCACTTAGACTATAATAATTGTTTCTTTTCTTTCTCAATTATTTACCTTTTCACGTTGGCTTAAAGTTTCATGAAAGTTTAAAATTAAGTATGCGTGTGGACAATAAACTTCTGAGCCATGAGTAGAATCAGATTTCTGCTTATAACTTTTAATTTGTATATCCTCTGTTTTTTGTATGCTATGTGTAAATATGGAAAGAAATAATCATTCAATTGAATATTCTGTTTATTTTATATTTGAACAAATTAAACGTATTACCTAAACAAAAATAATTCATCAGCAACATCATCCCATACAAAACATTTATCTTCCATACTTAAATATTAAAATAGTAGAATAGCATACTTATTATTTAGAATACTTAAGTTAATGAAAATTTCAGGTTAACCAATTAAGAAATAAAAGTCAAATCATAGCATGATCTGTTCAGTTATTGATTGTATGTACATATGTATGTTCACACACCCACACTGTGATTATTAATTATGTGGAGAGGTACCAAAGAACCATTCTATCATCTCATGTATATACATATATTCTTTTAAATGCGTTTCTCATTTACATTTATTGATTTACCTCAATGATACAAATATATAAAAGCAATAGATGTTTGTGTGTACAATTAATTTATATATATGATTAGCTATTATTGGAAAGAAAAAATGATTCAAACAGTAAATGTACTTAATTTTATTAGGATAATAAGATTCTTAAACTTATAATTCCGTTTAAATTAGATTTTATTTATATTAGACATTTTACATTGGTGCTTTAGTTTGCTTGGTAAGCAAACGATGCTTTGGTAAAGAATCCAAAATTGGTTGATCTTCTGGGAATATTGCTATATTAGGTAACTCCCAAATAGGCACTGGTTTTACAGCATCTAATGAAATTTGCGGTTTAGGGTTCCAATGACGTATTTTACATCTGACTTTCACTTCTTCCAAATTATTGATTTTGACAGTGACGTAAAATTCTTTGTTTTCGATGGATAGATCAGGTCCAGATATAGTCTTTTCTGGAAGTGTTATTGCATACTCAGGAACAATTATGCATCCATGACGAAAAGCTACTCTGACGTGCCACTTTTCTATGGTCCAAGGTGTATGCATAGACATTGGTATGCATAAATAGAACTGAGATAATAAGTTTACTGCTCTTTGTGCAAACTGAGAACTGCCTGTATTAATATCTATCTTATTCAAGATATCTTTATACTTTTCAATATTTTCAGGAGTTGCATATGTAGCAACCTTTGGTAACAAATATTTTGTATATGCTGATTCATATTTCACTGCAATTTGCTGACCTCTAACACCAAGGCCTTCTACTGTTTTTAACAAGATTAGGTCAACGTCTGGGTATTTTCTGTGATCTGCATATTCTACGAGATCATAAATATAATTTCTATGCCTTAATACTGGTCTAAGTCGATTTTTCTTGATCAGTGGTACTGGATATTGTCTTTTTAGGATGAATGTATTCTAAAAAAAGAAATTATTTACTAGTAACATTTTAAATTTAATAAATTGTTATTAGATAATATTTTTTAATTAATTGTACATTGACTGATAAAACCTTACCCGAGTTTGTTGTGTCACTAAATCAGTCTGATTGGAGAGAAGCGTTGTTGGCCGTGTTTTTAAATGATTTATACACAATCTTGTATATTTCAACATAGTTATTATCTTATTAAATATGCCGAACAGTAAAGTATTTTATTAATACATGAACAATATTCGAAACAGTGTGAAATCATGCGAAGTTATTTTAGGTTAGAATGGTTGTATAGAGGGCACAGAGCAAGCTGAAAGCATTCCCTTTGACTTCCTATAATACCTAATAATACCCATTTTGTTTTAAAATACAATGGAATACAACTTAACAGTGCCTATTGTAACTACGTTTTCTGCTTATAATATAAATATATGTATATAATTATCTATCGATAAATATATAAGTATTATGTGCCTGCTCTAAACTATATAATTAATCAATCTATCATACTGTAATGTTTCTTATATGTTAATTTGTTATACTTATTTGTCGTATTAGTAAATATATTATATAAAAATTTAATGGACTCATTTTATTATAGTGTTATATCTATTTTATTCTTCTATTAGTAAATCATTTTTGTATGCTCTTCTATATTTATAATATAAAATAAATAATTATGTATCTCATTAGTAATATTAGTAATATTAATAAATATATTGATAATCTATGTACAAAGAAGTTTTCAAATAAACCTATTATTGAAATGCATAATTGTTTACGTTTTTTCAAACCTACAAGCGCATCAACGGGGTGACTTTCAGTATAGCCATCTAGCGGTGAGACAGGTGAACTAATTTTGCTGTACGCACAAACGTCTCGCGATCGCTATTATTCATAGAATAGTAATTAAACTAATAGTTTAGTACTCCTAACACGGAGTAATACAGTGTATATTTGCAAAAAAACTTAAATAAATAAAAGTTTTTAAAGTCGGTAATTCGATACTAGTCGCGCCATCTAGCGGCAAAGTGATCAAGTTTGTCGTGAAATAGTTTCTCCTTCCTGCCACTAGATAGCGGCATTGGATGTAAATTACCGAGAATTATATTTATTAAATAAACTATATTATAAATATGTTAAAAAAGGAATAAATTTGTGGTGTAGAATGTTTATAATCCAATTTACATAAGAATAATCATTATTTAATAAACTCCTAAAACCATGATATAATAGTTTTGTTATATTTTACGCTGAACACTTTACACAAATTGCAGTCATTATATAATTTTCTAAGTTACATTATGCTGTTTGCGCATATCCCAAACTTCAATCAAAAGTAACGATCTATGATCACTCTTAGTCTACTTATCTATTTTAATTAATTCTAGTCTAACTTATTATTAAGTTTAAAGCTCTGGATTTGAGTATTATGCTAATGTAAGCGTAAAAACTTATGTACAGTAATATAATAAAACAGAGGATTGAATGAATAATCTTTTCATTATGGCCAAATTGATTACAGAGATAGAGTGTAACTTACAATTTACCATCACTTCACTTATTGCATTAGTACAAATTAAAGTAAAGTACAATAAACAATGATGAATTATTAGAGTTATTCTTCCTATGCAGCAAATACTCATCTGTAAATTATCCTACCAGATTTTAATGACAGAAAAACAGATATAAACAAATTTATCTTTTCTTTAAAGTATCGTATTTTTAATAGTGGCTTTGTGTCACAACATTTGAATTTGTATATGAAATTTGATTAGTAACATGTTTAGAATTCAATAAATAAATAAATTATCAGAACTTATAATACCTGCATAAATATCAAAATACTGATACTGTATATAAATGCTGAGTAACTTTAAAGTAAATTTTAGGATTACTAAAACATTCAGCTCTGTTTTCGATTTGCTATCTGTATCTTTCTATTTATAAATTCTAACAGATTGAATTCGTTGTTATTACACATATTTACAATGTAGCATGCAGTCCGAAACAACATACTATACGTGAGATAGAATCTATTTATCTAGAACTAATTTTAGACAAGCAATTCTTTGAGCCTACAAAAATATCTATTACATGCTATGTGAAATGTTTACAAAGAAAACTGAGTTTGATTGTCTAAATAATGATCCCTTTTGCAATGATACAACTAATTTTCCATAATTTCCCAATGAATGTATGTTTTAAAAATAATTTAAATTTTGATATTGTTGCACAAGACAGCAAACAGAAAAAACACTCCAGTACCTGCAAACTTTCAATTGCTCGCATTATATTATGCTTGTTGTAAGTGGATGTTATAACTATAGAATGATACAATAAATTAATTCTAACAATAATAGAACTGTTAATAGAAATATTTTAAGAGATTCAAGGCCTTTATGTGGTGTGGAACATGTGAGAGTTTAACTGAAATGTGTAAGAATATACAACTTTACAATTAAAGGTTATTAAACAAGAAACAGTTTTGAATATAAATGAATTCACATTGGTTACATTCTCAAGCCATTTTTTAAAAAAATCTAATGGAAAAATAAACGTACATAGAAAATATGAAAGTGAATTAAATAGATGTGCAATGATGAAATGAAACATCAACATTTTTTATTCTTGATGATAATGAAAATATAACTTATATTAGAGTTATAATAAACATCTTATGAAAAATCTCATTTAAAGCGCATGTTATAAAACGTTATATATAATTAAAAAATGAGAAATTATCATTTCAAAATAAAGATTGTTATGATTTCATGTAACAATTTATTATAAATTTCAACGTTAATGATATTTAATTTAATATTTAAAAATGTGTTTCATTCTCTATACATTATTTTATCACATACAATTAAAAAAGTTAATCAACAACAGTTGAAGGATAGTGTTAGAAAGTATATTTTTCTCAGGAATCACTCGTTTTTTAATTGCACTAGTATTATAAAACATTTACCGACGAGTTGGATTATAATTATACAGACCCGTAGTTAACTATTTCAGCAATAGATTACTAAACATTGATGACTAAAATAAATAATTAATTAATACATAATTTAGGAAAAAGGTCTAAAAAAATCACTACAAAAAAGCCAAATATATCTTTGATTAATTGATGAAGCAGTAATGTTTCAATTGATGCAAATAATTTCTTACTTATCAAATATAACATTATAAAACTAGTGATCTATTCATTACAAATTATATGGTTAATATGAAATAAATGTGATGTGAATAAAGGTACAATTATGTTAACGAATTAAAAAATTATATTGTCATATGGTTAATTAAGTATTAATTAATTTATATCAAAATAAATAATAACCTACTTATCGAAGTACTAGTCACTAATAACTGCTACTTAAACATTAATTAAATAATTAATAATTAAATTAGTTCTTTATACTGCATGCCAAAGTACCAAAAAGTATCACAGAAGTATGTACTGCGACGTCATCATAATGAATAAATAAATCTACAGTCCTATTTTTTTTTAAACTATGCGTCAAAGTTTTATTTTCTGTAGACTAAGTACCACCATTCCGAATTTGTTAATCAGTTACAATATTGATAATGAAGAATTAAATCGAATGCTTGCTTAATTATTAATTATTTATTTATGTTTGTAATTAATTAAGCAATTAATTATCTATACATTGATATTAAATTCGTTGTGTAATTAATTACACAGACTAAGTAATAAGTCAACTGTTGGAAATTGGTAAACCAGTCAGTTACAAAAATTTATTGACTTAATTGTTTAACTAATCTAATATGGACATTCTTATTAAAGTAATCAATGATTTAATTCGTCTATTCTCTGCGGACATCAGCGAAGATTTACCATGAACTGAAAAATGTTAGATAAATGAACTCTCAATTTTTAGTAATTCATATTGTTTGTCAAAGTCTTTAGTCATATCACTTCTGTTCTGTCTTATCACAGGACGGCATGCACTTGAATCTAACATCGAAGTTAATTTGTTCTTGAGAGGCAAAAGAACTATTGTCGTCTTTTTCTATATCCTCTTCGTCTTCATCGTCTTCATTGTCTTTTGTGTCATTTTCATCTTCATCTTCTTCGTCTTGTTCGAGTAACTGTTTTCGAGCCATCTGAACTACTTGCCACTCTCGATAATGGCGTTTTCTCTTTGCTTCAAATGCTTTTCGTTTTTCTAAAATTTTTATAAATAAATTCATATTGTTGGTGTCATTTTTAAGAATATTTTTGTATTAATTTTCTTCTTTCTGGTTGAATTTAAATTACTGATCATTTTTGTGTATATTTTAATAATAATGTTGACGCTATATATATTCAAGCTTGAAACAGGTAAAAGTATTACATCCTTTTTTAAAGTATATTAAGTCCTATAATGCTTACGTTTTATAGATCTGGTAATTAACTACATGTGTATAAACATTGTAGGGCCAAGAAATCGAGTAAATATTATGAATTATTAAAAAATTCTTATTAATGAACTACATTCTTATATAATGAACTACTTACCTCTTTCCTCAGGAGTTTCTTTTTCTTCTTCGTCGTCACTTGACTCCTCAAATATTTTTGGTTTACTGCTTCCTGCCAATCTGAAGTTAAAAAGTAAATCTTTAAATATCCAGTTCTTAATAATTAAATCATAAAAGGAAATTTAATATCCATTCATTCTAATGATTTATATTTATAGCTGCCAGCAACGTAAAACATTTATAATTAATAATTTTATGAAGACATAGAAAATATGTTGGTTATTGTATTAATGGTAACCTTGCCATTTCAATAATTTTAATTAATTTTTACTTATATTGAGTATGATTACAATAGTTACTCATAGATTTTTAATAGTTCACATGCGATTTCCAAAATAAAAATTTATTAAAATGTTTTGTATTTAATAAAGTTCAAATATTCTATGGCCTGCAAATATGTTTATTATGGATATTCATAAGCATATTATATAGTGAAATTAAGAACATGCTTTTCATAGTATTCTATACTAATGTAAAACACTATTTAAAAAGAAATAGATAACTCAGAATTCAGGTAATAGGAAAAATATACGATTTCTCAAGATCTCAATAACCAATTATTAAATGATTGCTTGTTAAGACTTTATATGAATAGATAATAATATAAATAAATATGTCAACTGTTGATACATTTTTGAGTATAGGAAATTGTTTACTAATAGTTACATGAAAATATCAAATAGGATCTTACATTTCATCAAAGGGTCTCTAACTTTCTGGATGTGCACAAAGTGTATTATACATATCTCAAATTTCTACTATAGTGATTCAATCTCTAATTAAAGCTACTTAACCATGTTTTCTCCTTTGCTTACAGTACATGCCAAATCCAGTTAAGTGTTAAATTACACATATTCATAATATGTGTTTGAAAAAAGATGTAAGAGAGTTTTTTGGAAGATGTGTAACACCTTAAAATAAGAACAAAACCATCGTTCATACCAATCAGTTTTTACGATTTTTATACAACATATAGTTATGTGTTTTTGTACATTATTAATTATTAAAATTGCATGCACGCTTGGCATCAGATACATGTGCATTCAATTTTGACAACTGATAATATTTGAAAAATCATAACTATATATTATATAACTCTCGACTTCAGGATGTTACATACCTTCTGAAACACTCTGTAAGTTTCTTGGTGTTCATATTCAATTAAAACTGTTTGATCATTGTATTTGTACATAGTATGAATCATCTTAAAAATTGGTCCTTTTTATTCAATTATGGAAATTTAAATAATATTGTACTGAGGAATTCAAGTAGTTTCCATACAAGTAGCTCTTTTTGTGTAGAATTACTGAAAACAATAAAGGAATATAACTCTGAGAAGGAAATATAGCAATTACAGAATTTTACTATTTTTGAATGGAAATTCTATCAAGGATAGAAAAGAATATTTTTAACTTGGTTCAATATAAAGTCACACGTATACTTTACAATGGAGAGGAGTGTTAACAGGGTAGATTGAAAATGAACAAGATAGGGTAACAAAACATATTGATTGGAAATTGTTCTTGACATAAATCATTATACTCTATATTCATAAAAAAACAGTATATATCTACAATTACATCAGAGATGAAACTTATTGAAACTAATCCATGACATGAATCACAATAATAGTAGCGTACAAACATAACTTGAAGTGTAATCTTATTAGATCTTTTTTGCAAGTCACAAGATAAATACGATACTGGTAGGAAGCCCTATCAAAACATTAACTTATGTTGAACTACATTGGTGTCTATAACTTTAGCTTTTACACAATTATATTAGTATTGAAAATTAAAGGTTTACACGGATTGTATACTATTGATTCTTTTTCATTTTTTCATATAATAATATGCTTTGCAAGACAACAGAATTTACCACTGAAAGACATTTGGAAAATAATAAATTGGATATCCATCACTAATTAACTTACTTGGCAGCAACAGCAGTTGAATCTAATTGATCAAATTCAAATTCACTGTTCAGGCCTTCGTAGTTGTATGGGGTTTTTGGTTCATCGATCTTCATATGACCATAATCTTTTTCTGGTGGATGCAATGTCGCTATTATATTCATTTCGTCCCATTTTGTTTCTTTGCTGGGTCTGCAATAATAATTATAACAAAGTATTATAAATTTAGCTATAATAATGGTACTTCTACAGCAAATTATATTCTAATTAAAATTGTTCTTAAAATTATATAACTATCTAACATTTAAAATTTTAAATTGTTCTACTAAAATTCAAGAGATTATGCTTCTAGTACTATTTATTTACATCTAATTTAAGCTATACTTTATTTATTGTAAATACTCTTGGAAATCAAATTTTTGAAATTACGATTGTTGATTATAATTTGAAATTGAAAATAATAAACGAGACATATAGATATTCATTTATAGTTACAAAATAGAATATAATCTAATAAAGAAAGAATATGAAGTATTAAAAACATGGTAATAAATTTTAATCAACCTAACCTTAAAAACAATTTTCAATTTTAAGTACACTACGTATTCGATTATTAATTATGAAAAATAGCTGTCCCATTTTTGTAATTCTTAACAGCGATTAAAATAATACAACAATGTTAATGTAAAAACATTAATTTAAGATATTAAATAAGAAAATTGTTTACCTAGATATATCCGGATTATCGAAGCTGCTGGATGTTTTTAAAATCCCTTTAGGAGGTCGTTTCGCCAGATTTTCTGCCATTTTGAGAAGAATTGATTCACAGTTGATAATTATGAAACATGACCGATCTTTATAAAGTTAATTTTTTGTCGCAACGTTTTCACACAAATTAAGGGTAATCAGGCTGACAATTGTTTACAAGTGATAGCAATTTGCCACCTTAAAAGTTGTAAGTTTAAATCACAAAATCACGAGCTGTGATTGGTGTCATGTTGCACAACACGTTACACGGCGGAGAATGTTTCGAGCATATTACTTTGTAACTGTTTGCAACATTTACATGCGTTTAGAATGGTTACTGGAACATTAAAATCTATTCCTCGATTACCACCATAATGCAACGGAGAAGGAATTGTAATGTTCATGTGCAAAAGCATTCTTTATTATCTAATGACTCGGTAATCAAATCAAGAACTTTCTATAACATTAAGGATGAGTTTTACGTACTGTTATACATCATTCAATACAATTCAATTGAATTCAATAGTCGAGATGTGATTTAGAATACTGAAAGACTGAAAACTGAAACGCAAAAGGATAGCTGATTGCCAACATAAATTTTTCACCAACTTTTCTTCGCTAAATTACTAGTAAATATCATTATGTATTTATACTTCATCTAAGAAATTTTGTTCATATTCTTTGAAATGAATTACAATTAGTAATATGGAGGTTATATTTTAACCCCGCATTATATTCTTAGGTAAAAATATGACGAGATTTATCACAAGTCATATGATTTTGTTACTAGCGTTCACTTTTCCGTTACATGAAAATAACCACATTCTTCATGTTGAGCGATGGATCGTATTTCAACACATCGATGTATCGAACTAGAAACATTTAGCGATGCATCCTTCATTAGACATGCCTCCTAAATGTTAATAAATTGGAATATATTGGAAGAGCTTGAGCTCGAAGTTTGAATAAACATTTGAATGTGATAAACTTGCCCGGTAATTAAATGTGCCCTGAAATTAATGTGATGTCGACTGTATGTGATGGCGGGTAAAGAGTTAATAAGCCATCAGCAGCAGTTTGTTGAAGAAATTAACTACAATGAAATTGAAACCGAGCAGGTATCATAATTATACAGTAATTTTATCAATTTCTTAAAAATATTAACCCTTATCCTTTGTTACTATGTAATAAAATATGTACAAATGCTGATTTTCTCTAGTTATTTGTAATTTCCATAATTTGTCCTTATCGATTATTTTTTTTAAACATAACCTAACCAATTTCAAGAAATTTTCTAATTGTTGATGTTGATGAAGTGCAGCCCACATTTTACTGTGTCATTTTGAAGATAATATTTATAAAATGATTTTTGTTTGAAGGATTATCGATAAACACATTTATCTAATGTAACATGTTTCAGTAAATTGTTATTGAATTTGTCACTGCATAAAATTTGACATAGATTACGTAAAATAAATTTAACTTAATTCAAATAAATCTATTTACCTGAGGTCAAAAAGTCTATTACTAAAATATTGCTTAAATTTGAATGGTATTCGATGTGTTTTTCTTAATCATTTTCTTTCATTGTGTAATAAATAACTTATAGATTATTTTATTAATTTTTATTTGTTTATTACTTAATTACTCAGAAAAATTATTCGTATAAATTACAATTCTAAAATAAATTCATTCATCTTACTTTACATACAATTGTTTTATTTAAACATAAATTATACTTTTATGCAGGTAGTAGGAAAAGGTTCTTTTGGAGTAGTGTGGAAAGGTAAATGGAGAGGGCAATATGTTGCTGTAAAATACATAAATTCAGAAGGTGAAAAAAAGGCTTTCACAGTAGAAGTCAGGCAATTGTCAAGGGTTGTACATCCTAATATTGTTAAACTCTATGGAGCTTGCACAAAAAATCCAGTTTGTCTTGTTATGGAATATGCAGAAGGAGGTTCCTTATATAATAGTAATTTTCATTCACTTTATACATAAAAAATGAAAACATAAGAATCTTTTTGAAAAGATAACTAATACTCATTTATATTTTGCAGTTCTGCATTGTAATCCACAGCCACGGTATACTGCAGGTCATGCAATGAGCTGGGCTCTACAATGTGCACGTGGTGTTGCATATCTTCATAATATGAAACCAAAACCTTTGATACATAGGTAAGAAAATTTAATATTTTATATGTATATTCTACTGGATTGGAAACTCAATTTGAAATTAACCATTCAATAGTTGTTTCTTGTTATTTCTTAAGTTTACCTAAATTTACATTCTGAAGACAAGTTATCAGATAAATTCTTTTAAATTGAAGGCTATACTTGATATGCTGTATTGTTAAAAGCCACCATATATTCAAGAATGTCAACAATTTATATTTTCAGAGACCTAAAACCACCGAATCTGTTATTGGTAATGGGTGGACAAACCCTTAAAATTTGTGACTTTGGTACAGCTTGTGATTTAAATACATATATGACTAACAATAAAGGTTCTGCTGCTTGGATGGCTCCAGAAGTATTTGAGGGTTCTAAGTACACAGAAAAGTGTGATGTATTCAGTTGGGGTGTTATTCTTTGGGAGATATTGTCCAGGAAGAAACCATTCGATGAAATTGGCGGCTCTGCATATAGAATAATGTGGGCAGTGCATGTGGGACAGAGGCCTCCTTTAATTGAGGGTTGTCCAAAACCAATAGAAGATCTCATGACCAGGTACTTATCAGTGTTAATCCTTTTGTATAACTACAATCTTCTAAATGCAGTTTTTGTAGTTTAAATTGTCAAGGAGTTTAAATTGAGACAAAATATAAATGAATTTATGTGGTTGAAGAAATAGCACTTTATGCATATATATTAACAAATATTATATTTCAGAATGGATGTGTGAATGAAATCTGATATTCTTGGAATTAATCTAATCAATCTCTTTTCTAAATTTCATCAAGAAATTTCTATTCAAATGTAAGAATGTGTTAGTATACCAGTTGTTAGTTTCATGTAATGTTTCTTCGACAATCTTGTATCCTCTTCACAATTCGTTCGTACTTCTTTTATTGCTGATTACAATAAAATCAGTATACAGTTCATTCCTTATCAAATTTTATGTACATCGTGCCCACGTCGTTACGAATAAATTATGTTAGTAGACTCTAAGGGGATGAATTTTTTTCTTCGTTAATGTAAATGTTCCGCAATTCAAATCATTCTTCATGGAAAATATGGATACTGTTTCTACTTGTCCACAAGATGTAATCGTGGAAACTTCGCTCGTTCTGAGTTTATTCTGCACCTTTATTTAGAGTTTTTCTAAATTTCTTCTTATGAATTTTAGGTCTTATCCTAGGTGAGGGTGAAGATTGGGGCACATAGTTCATCATAAAATTTTCATTAAAGAAATTGAGGTCTTTTAGCAACTCTGGATTCTTCTTCGAGACAGCGATCCACTCTTTCATCCCCTTCGATGGTTAGGCACTGGGAGCAAAGTTTAGTGGTAAGTGAAATTGTCTTCAATGATACTTGTCCATTATGGATTCCAGGAGTCCAATGACTGACTACTTTCCCTTTTGATTTTTTCACGAAGACTGGTTAGATAAATGTTACAAGGAATGGTCTTTTTCTCAAATTCTTGTCTATAATAGTGCAAGTGGATTTTATGAGAAATTTGATGAATGCTCCCAGTTATTTTCATTGCAAACCTTTCTGATGTTAAAATGTGGAAGGAAAAGTGTTAAATTCAGGAAGAAGATGGAAAATAGTTGTGGATATTATTATTAGTCTGCAATAGTTTCCAGAACAATATCCAAAAATGGAATTACGACTGTTCGTTTTTGTAAAATGCGTCTATCCTTGAAATTTCGACTTTCTGAATACATCTTACTATTAGTCACTTTTGTGTTTATTTCTTGGGCCATCATAGGTATACATACATTTTGTTCTTAATATTTCAGGTGCTGATTTTCTTTAAATTAAATATCATTTATTGCAGGTTCATCTCTACTTAACTTATTTGAATAAATTATGAACTATACTAGTACAATATATAATTATTAAATATAATAGACACAGATATTTACAATCCAAATAACAAAATATATTCATAGTTCCAAAGTTAATATTTTCATAAATTGTTTTTGTTCATTGAAAAGAAAACAATTTATTTTTCAGGTGTTGGCATAAGTCTCCTGAAGAAAGACCATCAATGGACGAAGTTGTAGAAACAATGACAATCCTTTCACAATTTTTCGGTGACCATTTGGAACCTGTTGAATATTCTTTAAGTATGTAATACTTGCAAATATATAAGGAAAAGAACGCAATGTGCATATCTTAATAGAAAAAATGTGTACTGACGTAACGTGATATTATTATAACATAGGTGCTGAATCTGACGAAGGCAACGAAAATGATGTTTCTAAAGATGACACTTTAGATGTGACTAGCACTTTAGATTCACAAATAAACGGATACCCTGCTAATGGTACTATAAGAGTTAGTGTACCTGTTTCTAAAGAAAAGTCAGAAATTATAAATGGAAAAGATAGTTCATCAACTCCCTTGTACGATTTCAGAGATGTTTCTTGCAAAAATAATAATTCATTAGACAATACAACTCACACAAAATTTCAAAATAGAAATTTTGCACCGCTTCATATCGATTGCGATCCGGTCAGTATCGTTTGATTTAAGTTTATTATATTATTTGTTTAAATGTCAGTTTCTGTAAATATTATATAATACATTTTTGTGTCTTTAATTACAGAATGCTTGGGAATTACCAAGTTCCGATTTACCATTGGACTCACCTGTACTGAAAGCAAAGAATACCGTGCAAAGTAAGTTCTACATTTTTATAATCAATTCAATTTAAAAATAATTTGAATAATATATATTTTGAGACATTCTACTTATCTCTGTGAAGTATTTATTTTAGAATTGTAAAATAGATCATTTTTGTAATTTATTTTGTTAACACGTTATTTTTCTATATTTGTTACCTATACACAGTACACAGTACAAATGATTAAATCGGTATTCGTTGATGAGTTCGTCGTTGTTCTATAACTGCAGAAGAAGGAGAACTCGCTTGGGGACGAGAGTTTTGAATCTGTGACTCACCGCGATAGTACTCTAATCCCAAAATAACGTTCTCTGTATGTTCCACAAAACCTTGCTTTTAGCGCGGAATATGTGTACTCAGACCTATTGTCGCCTTTCGAATACTTTTTTAAGTAAATAATTCTTTTATCTAGTCGGTAAAAGTTATAATAAATATTATTTAGTAAATAAATAAATGAGGTCACAAATAATTCGAGAAATTAAAATTAATTTTTAAATGTAAATGTATACATTTTGAAATTAATAACTTCAGTTTAAATTAGCAATTGCAATTCAATTTATTATCAAAGCTGAGTAGACTAAAACTAAAGTTTTATTTTATTCATGCCTGTGGTATGAATGGTTCGTCTTCTTTCCGAGAAGATTTATAAAAGTGAAATTGTAGAAAACTCAGACGTTGCACCTGGCACGTTGCGATTTCGCCGTGACGAATTCCTTTGAGGTTCGTCGATCGGCGAAATCTACCCTGGCAAAGGGCCCGCAAAAACAGTCACATTGTGCAGCTACACTAAATTTAACTGACGACTAATCGGTGGAACCTGCTTTTGATTGACACCTATCGGAGACAAAGAATGTTTCTCTAATTGAATAGTTACTCAAATAAATGTATATGTCTGTACATTTTTTTGATACAAGAAAGTGACAATACACGGTTCTAGAAGTATACTAACAATTCAGGGTATATGTGATGTACAGATTAGCGATTGTTTATCTCTGGATGTACAACTGAAATTAGCAGTTAAAAGTATAGCGCAGTGTTAGTGTACCACAGATGTTCTTTTGCCGCAGGTTCAAGTTTGCTTGAGAGATTTTCATAAGATATAATTTTTATTTGCTCCTCTCATGCTCCTTTGGTCATTCACCGTGACGTCGCTACGAAAAACAGAGTTTCGACCTAATCAGCCCTGAAGATGAATTAAGAACTGAAGAACCATATTCTCTTCTTGGCTCGTGCTTGCACGTCATGTCTGGTGGGGGATACCTCGAAGCAGGTGTGGCTGACTCACCAGGCCCAATATAGATGCACGTTTGTTTAGTGCTCTCCCGACCCACCATCAAGAACGACGGTCTTTCCTCTTCTTTCTTCTTTTTCTATTATCCTCGTTATCGGAAATCTCGTAGCTACGAATTTTTCCCATCTTTCTTTATCATCGTTTGATCAGTTAATTACCACGGTATTCGAGTGGTTCGTGGACATTGATCGGTGTGGCACCTTTCATGTGAGAACCTTGATTTTATTATGAACGAAGCCTCGATAGGCTCCAGTATTTGGAAATGTGCGAGGAATACCCAAACATCGTGGCCACGGACACCCTAAAGCGGTGCTGGGTCTTGTTGCGTTAGTACTTTTGCCTGTTTTTTGATTATCAGAGAGAATGAGTTGCCTAAGATTGAGAAACTTTGGAGTAGGATGAATAGGGGTTGAAATTTTCGCCGCCTGGCTCGGCACAATATTTACAAATGAACGTTGTTAATTCAAGACATAATTCCTTATATTTTAAACACAGAATCGAGGTTTGAAGTTAGTTATCTAATTTGACTGAAACTAAGTTTAAAATAGGAAGATAAGTTTTTAACATCCAAATCAAATGAACTAATATAGTTTGATGTCAATTAATATGGAACTGATGCAATGTTAGTCACATTACACACAATGTAGTGGAGTACTTCCATCTGAAATGTGACATGTGCTTCTTGAATATAACTTGTATAATTAATGTAGAATTTTGCTCCTAGTACAAATGTAGAAGTTCTAACATTAATTTGAGATTTTACACAAAATTTCGTTTACTTTTCTATTTAATGTACATATGATTTACATTGGATCAAAACATCAGGGTACTTAGGAAAAAGAATATTTTTTTACTCCATATAAACTTTTATGTTTATTTAAATACAATAAATTATTATTAACGCCATGATTAATCATCTGGGGATTACACTATACAAAATAGTTTAAAAGGTATTTGCATGTAGCAAATATATTTTAGGATGTTTGAAAAATATAATTGATTAATTATTGACTTAGGTTTATTATTTTTGATCAACAGATAATAGTACAACCAATGAAGACCTAGATAATGTGTATCGTTTGCTGGATGCAGATTTGAGACCATTAACACCAGATCAAACTTGTGAAAGGTCAAAAGAAATTTTTGAGGAGCACAAGCAGCTAGCACAGGAATATTTGAAAGTACAAACAGAAATAGCCCTCTTAGGGCAACATAAAAACGAAATGCTTAAAAATCTCACTTTAGACAGTTTAAGGCAGCAGGAGGAACTTAGAAAACTTGAAGATGAAAAGGTAAGTTGATCTAACTTATAATTAAATTTATTATTATTAAAATCTTAGATTGATGAAGTTAACAAATCTTTTATACGTAAAATTAAGATTGAATGTAATAAATGAAGGCCTGTTCTCTGATTGCAGGAATCCTTAATAAAGCTGTATCGAAATTTAAAACGCCAGTTGGAAATAATGAAGAACCAAAGAATAAATAGTGGCCTTTCGAGCAACTCTCAAATGATGGGTCCCGCAGTTTCAGGAAACAATGGGTGGTTTATGGTACCTTGTCAAGATCCCTCGAGACACACCTGAATATCAGGAATATCTAGATGAAAGGAAGAAGTTTGTTTTTGTTACTACGTCTAAAAAAAGACGTCTTCGTATTTCGATGTCAACGGAAAATGTGCAATTTTCTGTGAAAGTAACGGGAATTCTTTGCTAAAACGGATACAAGGAATTAACTACGAAGAAAGTAGTTATTATTTCACAGCATAAACTGCCTATATAACGCTATACTTAAACACTAAACAACTATTTTTTTTTCATTTAATAGAAACTTCTGCTAAGTTTCCTGCAAATTTTGAAACCGTTTCCGAATACTTTATTTTTTGAATAAAGAGTTATAGAGGATTTTATTATTCATTATTTTCTTATTTCTTTGTTGTAATTATTTAGATTGAAAAATTTGTTTCAGGCCAGTGAGAAATCAAGAAGTAGTCTTTTGAAGTAGTCCTAAGCATGCATCGTTTTTGTCATGTTCAAATCATCGCTCTCAAAAAAGTTCAGATTACTGGAATTACAAATTCTTATATTATGCTGCTTGAAATGTAGGTAAAATATTCATATGTTTATTTCATTGTCGCGTAAAGTAAACATATTATAGTAAAATGGTGTTTGGGTATTTTGAGTCTGATTTTGTACAATTTAAATTCAACATGTAAAAATAATTTTTAAAAACCGTTGACAAATTGGTAATTCTTGCTTAGTAATTAACGATTAGCTAACTATCTGTAACTTAGCACTTAGTAGATTTACGTATATAAGGATTAATAATGACAAGTGATTAAGGATATGCCGTATTATTATTGTGTCACGCAATAATGTTATTGCTGACTATGCATTCTTGTCATTACAGTTAATTTGTACAGTAATTATTAAATTAAGTATTTAATAATTGATATAATTACGAAGTATTATAATTATATATAATTAAATATCGAGTCTTTAATTAATTCTTATAAGATAAATAAAAGAGACTTGCTTGTGTTTACAGAAGAATTGTCGAAAAAATCTGATTTTTGCTTGCAGAGTTTATGTATCCATTAATTACTTAGTTAACATTTATGAAAATATGCAAGAACTATCATTTTTGTTTTTTAATTGTATGTAATAAATTACTTTTTAATTATCTTATAAATTCCTGTTACTTCGTACATTATTTATATGTTTATAACTTTGATGTTTTTTATGAAGTGGTAAATAAACTAATCGAATTCGATATAATAGGTTGCTTTATAATTATTATAACTATAAATTTTGATTACAAGAATTATATATTTAAGTAGTCGAAGTAAACAATGTAAATTCAATTACATACAAAAATCATACTGTTGATTTTTAGAAAAAGAAAGCTAGTTCTAAAGATTTTTCGTTTTTGGCTTCGACATGTTAATCATAAGTTGAAACAGTAGTTTCAAATAACATATGAATATTAAATAAATAATAAAGATTGGTTATTCCAGTTTTTAAGTTTTGGTTCCATTTCATATGTGTCGGTAAAATATTTCCTTTAAGAAAATGTTTCATCGATCATAATTGCACAAATTTGATTTATTAACTTAATTGAACATAAGAGTTTTTGACGAATTCCTTAAAAGAACCGAAAGCCAAAAACCACTGTCACCAATACCCATCCTTTATGCTCTCTATGAACTAATATAATTTCATTCATCATCCTTCCCTAGGGCATTTCCTATCCATGGTCCCAGAGGATTAAAGGAAAATCAGGAAGTCGAGTTACAGAGAAGCGCGCCGATTTTGATGGAACTTTCTACATTGATTCAGCCCAAGTATTACACATTAAGGGAGAAACCACTCTTTACATCAGAGGCATTGACTTCATTTATACTTCCATGACTCCTGACTTAGTATAAAAGTAATAAAATGTAAATAGAAGGGACGTTTAATTTATAGAAACGCTGAAAAAATGGTTTGAAATTCCCACTAGCTCATTTGAAAAAGACAATCTTAAAGAGTTGAAAAAAATGAACATAGTTCTCAGGTTGGACCAATGAATCCCACAGAGTTTCATTGAAATCGACGTCCGACTTTCCTTGTTAGAAGAGAAGCAGTAACATCCGAAGCAGCGATAAGGGAGACACCATCACCCCCGGATAACGCAGAAAAACATCAAGTGTGGGATGCGCACGCACTCATCGCGACGACCACTGTACATGCATAGCACTACTGGAGGAATAAGGGGGTGAAAACGGAAGTTCGCGTAGATAGAAAGGGTGCAGTCGCCTCAAAACGTCTGCTTGATCCTACTCTTGTGCCGGACCTCCCCTTTAAGCTTTCCGTTCATTCGGTTCCACCTTCGATTCCTCCCTTTAACGATCACCCCCGCGATGGCTCTCGATGCCACCGAAAAAAGCTACATCTTGGACGCGAGGAACAGCTACGAGGATGTGAGTAACGTTACGTTTAATTTATCGTAATCTCTGCGCTTTGTCTTTTGATCCTACGATCCGCAGGAACATGGTCGCGCGCGGTTATGCTAGAGATTGTTTTCCCCACGAGTCAGGGGATTGGATTGACAAAAGACGGGTTACGTTAAAAAAGTATACCAAGGGATAACTCGATTACCGAGAATGTAGGATTTAAGTGATCCAGTTACTTGTTCGAAGTGGCTCGAACGAGCCTTACAGTTTGTAGGTGTTGGTTAACGGGTTCGTGCACACGGATAAATTGATCTATTCCTCGTTAAAGTTGATCAGATTGCGAACTCTGATTAAAGGGTCAAAATGAAAACGTATCGACGCTATCGGAATTTAATAGACGTCCTAATGCTTTAACTACCGGTTTAGTTAAAAAGAGTGTACAACTTGGAAGAGGATTTTTCAAATTAAATTTATCTTCTGGAACTGCTAGAATTAATGAGCTTGTAAATAAGCTTCCGGTAGATAAAATGTTAAGGGTACAGCTGAAGTTGCAGTCTGATATTCGAGATAATTGGCTAGATCATTTATCCTTTGTAGAAATATGTATTTTTAAAATTCTGATTTAGATAAGTCTGCAATTTAAATTTTATAATATCCTCTACTTTATTGGATGTCGAATTAGAAGGTAAAAATTGATTTGCACATAATATTTTCTTATGAAAGCATCTTATAGCTCTACAGAATCAGTCACTTATTGTTTACATTGAGTATTATGTCGTTATAGAGAAATAATTAAAAAAAGAATTCCTTTTCTGTGAAAAAGACGTCTTTTAAGCTGTGCAAACAGAAATTATTGAAAGAATAGGTGTCGTAAAAGTCATTATTTATTTAAAAAAAGAACAAAATAAATATCTCGTATTTCGAAGTGTCCGGCATTACTATTACAGCAAAGGAAGAAAATCTATAAGTCATCTGATGTGTATATGTGGATTCTCTTCCCACGCATTTTTCTCTTTCACCTACTTGAAATATGATGGAAATTCTTTTTCTCTCACATGTACAAGGCGAGTCGTTTAAACGGAAGCACCTAAATATCATCTTATGAATATATGAATAAAATTATTTGACAAATTACATTTGATATACTTCCATACTTTAGTAAGTTGATATGTATGGTCTTTTATCATCATAAGCAAATATTTTTGGGACTCCCGAGTTTTCCTACGCTCGTTTCTTATATTTACAATTTGGGATACTTAAGTTCGCATGAATGTTTGAATTTGTCTATGTACATTTCTGTATATTTTTATTTTCTTGTATTTAATCGCGTTGAAGATAATGTAGATTGTAAAGAGATGACAAATGGATCCATAAATATGGTCGGATAGGGTGGGGCATTACAATAAGACAATTTAAATATTCCAATTATTTCTAAACATCCCTTATTTTGTTTAAAAAAATTATTAATCTCTTGTTTGATTTCTAATTGTAAAAGGAATGGTCAAAATGACATATTCTAAATTTTCGTTATAATTTTAGATGACTGTATCGTGATTAATATTAACAGTTTATTTTTATTCCAAACAGGGTGGCAGTCTCGGTTCTGAGGAGTCCTATGATGATATGAGACAATTAGTCGGGGTAAGAGAGAATTCATTATTCATCATCCAATTCGAATCCGTGCTCCATCAGCTTTAATTGCTATATACTTCACAGTATATATCACCGAAATTGAGAATTACATTAATTTACGCTCCAGTTTCTCTTGTGCTTTTTTTGTACACCTACCGTGTACAATTATATTTACGGACGGTTGTTAAATATGTATGAGCGTAAATGGAAAGCACGATTCGAAGAACTGTGAAATGTATAGTAGCTGGATATATTTTGTCATATGCGTGTGTGGCTATAATGATACACCGTACACGTGGAAAATCGATTGATAGACATCAATGACTACGGGTGAATATTATTCTGCAACAATATCCATTTGCGAGTTGTTTAACTTACTATATATAATAGAAAGCAGAATATCCAAAGATAACGTGACTTCGTTCTTTACGGAATAGCTAAATCGATTTTCAATTAATTATTAGTATTTGTAAATACGTGAAATCTGATTTTGCAGGAGAAGAAGGAAGAATCCGGAAAATTCAATAGTCTACCTCTGGCCAGTTTTAATTTCATCAATTCTATTATTGGCAGTGGTGTCATTGGTAATTAAAAAATATAATTAAGAAATTCTTCCTAAACGCCGAAGTTTAAATGATTGTCTTTGAATAATTAAATGTTTGACAAATGCATTCGTGAAAAAAACAATACACAATCTTTTTACGTTCAGATACGCATTAATTATGTATATACTAGGTATCCCACTTTCATCTATAAATTGAATTATTTTTTATATAGAATTATTGCATATTATTATATGTAAATGTATATATTTTTTTTAATATACAATAATATACAGTACAAAGAATAAAGCGTTTGACAAAGAAAAAGATTTGACCATAAAATGTCATTGGCGTCTCTATCTAAAAGATCGTAAAAGAGTTGCATTTTGCACGATGAGAGCTGGGTAGACGAAATCAAGATCCTTGGCCTTCTTCAAGCTCAGGGGTTCGTATTACCTTTGTTTCTTCAATCGCTATTGGCTTCATGCCTAAATTCACTTAGAGACTCTGTATGATGAATGATTCATCGGGGAACACCTATCGAGGAGGCTGGCTTTGCTCAATATAATAGACAGTATCGAACTTGAATAAATACACAAATGTACGTAATCCATAAGCGTACATGTAATTTTTCGATATAAATGTAAATACTGTGCACTTCAATTCGCGAATGCATTAAACTAAATTAGATATTCTAAATTGGCTGAATTATAGCAACGAAATTTTGTTCACGATTAAAATAAAGATTACTTCGGTGTGTAAGAAGGAACAATAATTCTTAACTTTTGAGAAGAAAAATGAAATTTTAATAAAACGTTTCAGGCATACCATATGCCCTCCATCAAGCTGGATTCGGTCTTGGAATAGCATTATTAATAGTGGTAGCTGGTCTCACTGATTACTCTTTGATTTTAATGGTCAGAAGTGGCCATATCTGTGGAGAGATGAGCTACCAGGGTTTAATGAGGGCTAGCTTTGGTCGTACTGGATTTTACATTCTCACCACTCTACAATTTATTTACCCATTCATAGGTAAATGCATTTTTCATGTAACCTATCCATTGTTCCACAGTCATTATTATAAAACTAAATTAATATCACCTGTTTGCGATTCTCATTTTTTCTTTATTAAATAAGTCAATTTAAATTGATAAATTTGTAAAATATACAGACAGAATCCAGATACTATTCAGTGATTTTATCGCTTCGTTTTGTTTAGAGATCTTAAATGTACTTGAGCATACTTTTACAGTGGCGATTATATAAATAGGGAAAATGTTTGGACACAATCCAATTCAATATATGATCATATCTGAAAGTAATAACATAGATGGATCATGCGTTGTAAAACGTACATTGTAAAATGCAATACAATCTGTTATGCAATCAAATTTAAGCCTATCTTGGGTTCAAGTTAAAATATTTTTATATAATCTTTTAATTGGCACTCTTCCTTAAAAATAAAACTTTGAAGTGACCTTATGTTTCTTGAGCGCTACACTCCCAGTAATCTCTTAATTGAATTCTTCGTTGAATTCTAAACAAGCAGACAAATAGAAGAAACCACTCAACACGAATAAGATAAATGAAATTAACGAAAGTGCACTTAATACAATCCCTATCGACCGTTGTATCAACAGTGGAATTTGAAAACGCGTATTTTCCTATTTATATTCTCGCCGTTGTACGTACAAGTACCATTATTCGTGGGCTAAATTAAATCTTCCGTTCTTTCCAGCAATGGTCTCTTATAACGTTGTCGTCGGCGACACTGTGACGAAAGTTCTAATAAGGGTAACAGGGATGAGCGAGACGAACATCTTCGCTCACCGTCAAGTGGTCATTTTCTTCGCGACAGTCTGCATTACAATACCACTGTGTCTTTACAGAAACGTTGCACGTTTGGCCAAGATCTCATTCCTTTCGTTGGTCTGCGTCGGTTTCATACTCTTGGCTATCTTAATTCGGATGGGTACGATGTCCGCAATTGTGTGAGTGGCTCAGTTTAATAAAAATAAACCCTCAGTACAACATAAATGCATACAATCCGCAATCTATGGGTATTAGAAGTAGAAAACGTGGAAAAGGAAGGAACAGTAACAGTAAAAGCACTTTTCATTTCCAATGTGTACAAATAACTTTCACTGTAGCTGTATCAGTTCATTGATTGAAAACTTGTTACCAGCAGGTTCCAATTCCTTAATCAGACAGTAAAGTATATTGATAAAGTTTCCGAGTGTATTTCAAATTTTCTCTTTTACATTGTCCGTTCATCCGATTTCTTCCAGAGAATGTCATCGCTGAGAGTGATTAAATACGAATCGATTTTCAGGCCAAATCAAGAAGATAGCTGGCGTTTTGCAAACTTCCCGGGCATAATACCCTCCGTTGGAATTATGGCATTCGCCTTTATGTGCCATCATAATACGTTCCTTATCTACGAGTCTATAGAGAGAGCTACTCAACAAAAGTGGGACGTCGTCACCCATTGGTCACTGTTCACTTCGTTTTTGATAGCGACTGCCTTTGGGATCATCGGATACGCTACTTTCACCGCGTACGTACAGGGTGATCTTATGGAGAATTATTGTTGGGACGATGATCTGATGAACTTCGCCAGGGTTATGTTCAGCGGGACTATCCTCCTGACCTTTCCTATCGAATGCTTCGTCACGAGGGAGGTGAGTTAACACCATTTTTTGTGACTCTTTTGTCTAAAGAAAATTCCTTGAATGAGTCTAGCTATTATTGATGCATTTTTTTAAATATACTCCAAAGAAAAAAGTAAACGAAAATTAGTAATAACCACCTGATAATGTTATAATGACCTAATATAATAACGTGGCTTGAAAGCTAACGTCAATTAGGAAGAAGACGCAAACATCTCTGCGAATATGGTTAGAATATGATGAATATGGAAGTAATGGAACAGTATGTATAATACCTTGCGGGAGAGAGTGGATCGCAAAGAGGAAATGTAGAATAATGAACAGGAGAACCGCGTAAATTAAAATGCATAACGAGTAGGTACTGAATAGAGATGAATGACGATAGACCCCGATGCAAAACTGTGTTACTTTACTATTTACTTGGTAAACTAGTAACTCGCCAAGTAATAACCAGGCTGTTTATACGTTCGCGAGCTTCGGTACTTTATTTCTGTTTGTAGAAACATGAATTTGCATAAACACCCGCAGTCTGCTAATAACAAAAACGTTAAAAATCTTCCTTTATCCAGAGTATTTTGAGTAAAAGTGCTATTTGTTTGTAGGTGATTTTGACAGCAATTAAAGGGACAGACGAACTAGAAGACCACACAGCATACGTTCCTAACTCCGACAGAAAGTACTTGATTATCACTCTGACGATAGTAATCGTGGCATACCTGATTTCGATGTCCACTGATTGCCTTGGGTTGGTTCTCGAATTGAACGGTATCCTAGCAGCTGTACCTTTAGCCTACGTTCTTCCTGGCCTCTGCTACCTCAAACTGGAAGAGGGACCAGTTCTTTCGTCTAAGAAACTTCCAGCGCTCGGTCTGATGACCGCGGGCGGTTTCGCAGCTCTCTCTGGGCTGCTGTTGTTGATTTTGAATCGTGGCACTTCCGGGTCCTGCGTGCACGGAAAGGTAATGCCATATTGTATCAATAGCTCGAACAGTACATCCTTCAATACGACAACCATCAGCTCCATATAACTATCTTGCCGAGGAACTGCAAGCCGTTATTTTCGGAACAAGTACTTTTGTACTTTTGAAGTCGAGCTCAAATTCTTGAATAGAATCGTACTCGTGGCAGCTACTTTGAGACTTGCTTTTTCGACACAAATTGGGAGAAGAGATAGCGAAAGGATTGGCAACGAGAAGGTACAGAAATCGCCAGTGTAGTTTCTTTACCATTGTTGAGACAGAATGGAAGCTGTACCAGACAGAATGCTCGAGAAGTATTTATTTCAATCAAAAAACGAAAATCAAAACCATCTAGACTTCTGATATTGATAGGATAGAATTGAAACCACCAAAACTAAGTAAACAGGCAAGATACACGTTACACGTTGAATAAAGAGAAGCTTTAAAATAAAAGTTGAAGGTGTGTCAGACAAAGCACACCTTATGAATTTATAAATATTTATCTGTTGAATGTATTAGCATTTATCTTGTTAAACATGTGAAATTGAATATTTTTAAATCAAAGATTATAAACAACGTTGTATGATTCGTACAACTTGCGTTGAGTAGACCTCTGTTTTTGTTTTAATAATGCAAGATTCGTGAGATATTTTGAATAGACAAACGGAACACATACCGAAAGCTGCTATTATTATTAGCTTTGATATTGATTTTAATACTTCCTAATATGAGCTGAGTAAATTAGATTCTGTGTGTAATAAAGTTTCCTAACAGTGAACATTTTATTAATATAAATTATTTATGTGTGTACTAATTGGTATTTAAGTAGTTACTCTTATATATATATATTAATTAGTAGTACATTGAAATTCCAAGAGAAACATGATAATAATTAAAGATTCAAAAATGATTGTATATAGTATAACTTAAATATTCAAGATTGTATATTTTACAAACATTAACTTGCTTAATGTTTTATCATTTTACTACGTTTAAATTGTCTAAACATTTTTTTATAAAAGGTTGTGAAAGTTACTCAGCTCTTGTTAATTAGAATGTATGTGTACCTGGATGAAGACTTGTATAGAAAATACATATGTACAATTGATCAAACGGATAAGTAATTCTATAATTGCCAGCATGCAACTTAAATACGATTAGGAATTAAATATAGTTAACTTATTTTAATTACATTATCATCATTTTATTTTCGACGAATTTTAAATATAATAAGGCTGTTCATAAATAAAGTGGAAATGATACTTTTAATTACTCGCAGCTGAAAATTCTTTTCATTAATGGCAGTACAAAGTGTTCAGTTTGATTTAAATTTAATTTGTATATATTTATCGACGAACCCAGCTGCCGGTAAAGTAATACTTTATAAGGTAATTTGAATTAACACTATTTTCTTTACGCCAAGGAACTATTAGCAAAGCTAATATAGTGAAGTTGGATGTATTTAAGAAAATATTTATTTATGTGATTGTCGATGGATCCAGATACTGAATAAGAAAGGAGAATCCTATTCTTCCTTTTTGATGATGCATACTCGAGATGATAACTATATAACGACACTAATATGTGCAAAGAGAGCATCATCTCCGTTGGATGCGATCTCAGTGTAACCAAAACTATTGTTTGTCGATAAAAAGAATACTCATTATAATTAAATAACAAATAATATTAAGCTGTTACGACACTATTTTTCGAATCTTTATCGTAGGAGCATATAACGAAAAGAAGGATAGTGTACTACGATTTTGTATTAAAAAAAAAAGATAATACGATAATGTTATTTATTTGGTATTATATAAAACACCTGTTGCATTCTAAATTTATGAATCTCTTGCCATTTAGTATTTATACTTAATCGATACTTATTTTAATGTATTTTCAAGAATTATTAACAATAATTGATCATACTTCGAAATGTTAAAATGCGTTTTCAAGAAAGATGTGATTTTTTTTTAATACGAAATCAAACTATTTGCTTTTCGAAAATATATAGATATAACAGAATAAATAAATAGATAAATAAGAATGTTTCTTGAGATTTAATGCAATTAAGAGAAGAAGTATTTGGAACTCTAAAATAGGGTGATTTTTATTTAACGTAAAATTATCCTGTTTCAGTTTTCAAAATAAAATACATTGAATGCTTAAAGATCAGATGAAACATAAAGTTTCTTATTTTAGACTCAAGAATATCTTAACTGTTTGTTGCATTGAATCTTAAGAAATGCAATATATTAGGCCTAATAAGTATTAATTAATATAAATGAACGCTACTCATTAGAAAAGAAAAAAAAACAACAATCAGAGACCACGATGACGAAAGTATTTAACGAAAATTATTAGGAGAGTGAAATATTTAACCTATGAACCAGTTGAAGTCTTTAATGTTAGAGAATTTGCGCAAAATCTACCGGGTGCCCGTAAATTTTGTAAATAACATGTATATGAGTGTACCTATATGTGTATTTAACTTTCTGCCTATTTATATAGATTATACATACATATGAAAGTATTACATTTTATAAACAGTTGTAAAATAAACTTTTTGTAATATTTTTAAATCACAATTTTCTAAACATTTGTGTTGCTCAATATCAATTTTTGCTTATAAAATGCTTCCACTACACAAGAAAATGGCGTAAACTCTCTTGTACATAACACATTATGTAGAACAAATTAGTTTCGCTTCTTTTTTATCATTTTTGTAGCTCACAAGATCTCTGAAAAATGTAATACTTTCGTTTACGCTAGAGTGTTACAGACCTAGACCAATCTTTTCAATTGTATGTACACACGCACTTCTTCTATTGATTTTAAGGGTAGAGACACCCTCAAACCGAGGTCTTTGTTATTCCTTCATGTGTGTAAAATGTTAGAAGACATGAACATTGGGGAACTTTAAGAGAGAAAAGCTCTCCAATATATGTAATTTGTCGAAATTCGTAGCAAAATAATTGCTAATTCATTTTATTTTACAGAAGATAACATTAATCACTAGTTTTTAATTTTATAACACATTCTGTGCATATTTCGAAATCAATGCATTGAAAAATAACAAAGAACTCCTCAGTTCTTCACTTCCAATTTCGAGTAGCTTCATAAAATTCTAAAAATCTTCTTAAATTTCGCCAATGTAAAATATATAAAACTATATAAAGTATTGTGATTAATTATTAGACATTTAATTCATCGACACAAAGGAAACTAATGCACAAGAGCTGAGGGTATATTCTACGGACACTCGGTACTGTGTTAATTAATTCGAACGTAAGGACATTAAAAGTTGAAAATATTTACACAATAAACCAAACAAAAAGTAGTTATTACTGACAATCGTGCGTTGCTGACCAACGACTAAGGGCAAATAAGCAAACAAAAAACGATAAACTGGAGTCACGATGAAAAGACAAGTTCCATATAAAATTGGAATCCTTGGAAAAAAGCGAAACAGGTTCCTAATTTTTTTAATAATCGCGGAATTCTTCATTTGTAATCGTCGATAATATTTTTTCATAATTGATTCGCGCTATTTGAACGAAAAAAAAACTAAACATTACCACGCATTGGCATATATTTTCGCTTATTTGTACAGCTAAGGAAATAGGTTCATAATTAACAAACAAAACGAACTGTTGAATACGATTTGTCTATCTTGAACGCAATATGCGAGGTACCTTATCGTTCCATCCAATTTTTGAGTATTTGTTTTTAAACAAAAATTTTTAATTGATTTTATACGCGTTCCTTTTATAAAACTGACTTCCTTCAAAAACTTCTACTTTTTTAATCGCATTGAACATGCACAAAGAAAAACGCCACGAAGTAAGGTGTAGAATATTCCTTGGAGTACATACGTATTTTTCTTCCAAAGGATAAGTGAAATTTTAAGAGAACAGATGGTTTATTTTTTAAAAACGGCGAACAGAAAATTTATTATTTTTTGCAAGACTGTACTATACATAAATATGTTATTATCTAACGAGTTAATAACGCATCTAAGATTGTTCCGATTATGTGTTGTACACTGTATACCATTAGTCATTGTCTTCTATGAAAATAATGAAAAGCTTTGTTAGACCAAAATTAATAATAATCGAGAAACGCTAGAATATAGAATAGCCAGTTCTAGCTAATAATTTTGAATTTTTATGCACCATCCACTTTAAAGCAGTTTTGAAGTTGTACAAAATCAGAAAAGCACAGCGGTTGAAGGATATATATGTTTATAGATCTTGTAAAATTATTGTTTTCAATTAGCAATGTTGAATGTTATTTTTCGAAACCATTTGATGTCCGTGTATTACAACATTTCGTTTAGTGTTAAGAACATTTTTAAGTGTTTCATTGCTTTATAGATTAAAGTTTCAGACATTGGACACTGGCAGATCAACGAATTCCAGTGATCCGCATTTGGGTTTGTAAAATGTTTGTAATACGCTCATAGGAATAATGGTAGGCCTTAAAATTATTAGTAAAATGTTAATTGGAGGATAGAATATGAACAACGTCGAAACTTTATTTTTGAATTAATGCAAAGCTATATTCTTGTTAAATCCTTCTTTTTGTATTTAAAATCCAGTTGTAGCAGTTTTGACAAGATTAATATTTTTCAATGAAATAGTTGCATTATTTTAATCTGTAAATGGCACTTGCAGAAAACATTGAGTTGAAAAGATTGAATGCATGGCAGTAGTATTAAGTTATTTACATTTACTTGTATTCTATATGTCTCTGGAACTTAAAAGATCATCTATTAAAGAGACCATACAGTGTAGTATTCGCAATAAATTAACAAGCAATATTTATTCTAGGGATCAATTAAGTTTCATTATTTGTTTCTAAAATTAATAAAATCACACGTCATGTGGTCTGACTGTACTCTGACTTTTGCGATGAGTAATATGCAAAGTGCCGTTTAAAAAGAGTAGAAGTGACCTTAAATTGACCTTGACACGACCAGCCTTTGTCCTTGATATTTCTTCTCGCGTCTGGCCATCATGCAATTTCTTCAGCTTAACATATTTTTCAAAAGCAATCCATTTGTAGGTTAAAATAGGACCTGTTATACCAATTTATTAAATTTGGAAGCGTTTACATTGGCAATAATAATTACTTTATAAAAATATTTGTATTTACCTTAAATTGATGACACAACATATTAATAATGGATGATTACAAAGTAGCATGAAAGATCCTCTTCTGCCATTGAATTCATTCATCATTGTTGCCTATTTTTTGGAATATTCAGCATATTAGCAAAAGGTGACAACACATTGAATGAAGTGAATGCAAATAATTTTGTAAAGATTTTTTCAATATGTAATATCATACGTTGTGCATTTTCCAACAAGTTCACAATCCATGAAATGGAGGTATTGATCTTTGTACATATATTTTTATATTGCAATCTTTATAATCAAACTTAGTCATAATTACCGAGAATCATGTTAATATTGCAGTATCTTCATAAATTGTAATTGCTTACATTACTAAAATGTGGTTTATGAATTAAGCTAAATTAAGTATTATGTAATTCTAATTTGCATTATGATATTGCTGTATTTACTAAAACATGACTAACTATATAACAATATATTTTCCATTGAACTTGGTTTTCATGAATACAAGATATATTTATAAGACAGATATGCACATACTGAAAATGTCAAACATAGCAGTGTAGTGTCCATAGCTGCAGAGGATGGCATACTTAGTCTTTGGAATAGTTGATAAATATTGTTGAGCTCTATTTATGTTAAAGTGAAGTATAATTTATACTTTTTTCTTCTTTGCCTGTAACAGTCAACAATTACAATTTTATAGCAACTGATGAAGATTTGACAATTACAATGTACCACCTACTCTTTGTTATGTACAAGGACTTCTGGAATACCATCGCATCCACATACTCTGGATCCCAAATCCATGGATATTGAAACTTGTAACTCTATCTGTAATAACACTCATGTAGATATTCTTATATGTAGAATAATGCTCTTGCATACATACATAACTAATGAAGTTTTCAAATGTCAGCCATTATTTGAATTATAGTTAATACTTCAAGCTTGCATTAAAATGTTATAGAAATTACCTATATGTATAATAAACTGTTACATACGTATGGTACTGTAGAAATTTAAGTTTAATTCTTTTCTGAAATTTTGACCATTTTACTCACCACATGTTCTCATCTTTAATTCTCTAAATATACCATGCTTTATAGTGTCATAGTTTTATTTAAATAATTAATGTCTAATTTAATAGAAATGTATGTTGATTTGAAGTTTAAATTGTGAACATGAAATCGAGGAGTATGAAGAAGAAACAAGAATAGGTTTGTCCTTATTACAGGTGCATTATAATTGTAACCAATAGCCTCTGAATAAATGCAACTGTATTTACTCTGTGATACGTGTACAGACAGTGTACTTGTATATCTTTTTGTTGAAAAATGTCTATACTTAAAACGTATTGTAACGTTGATTGGACTTGAGTAATAAAATTAAACAATAAGAAATGGCATGGATTTCAAATTATAACAGAGTATTTCTGAACCTTTTCCTTTTTGCTTTCAATTCCAATTTACTTGTATGGATTTAAAGTTTGGAATTGTAGAACGTATTCGTTAGATTCTTTAGAAAGCAAAAAAGAAGTACTGTTTGGGTGTTTTTTAATATTATAAATAAAAATTTAACAACGAAGCAACCCAATTATATTTATATTTGATTTCGATGGCGCTACGAGTATTAAACCGAGTGCTGATACTGGTATTTGTTTTGAATAATGATATATTTGACATAATTAGACATAAATAAGTCGTTTTTGGTTCAGAACTACGTATTTATGTGTACAGAATAATAAAATAATATGCGAAGATATCACATCTATATTCGCGGTATTAGTTTATAATCATTCATAACAGACTTTTCGATGCATGCGCACCGGAGAAGTGTCAAAGTTTCACCATTGTAAAAACACTGTTTTGTAGCGTGGTTTTCAAATGCATAAAAATGGAAGTTTCAGAAATCGACTTAGCTGATACATATGAGAAGATTTATAGAAATAAATGTCGGATTTGTTTGAAACAGGCTGTCGAAATTTGTGAATTATTCCAAAATGGGAACGCTATTCTTCATAAACTTATGGCTGTCGCTTCCGTACAGGTTAATTCGCTACTCTGTTTATAATACATAAAAAGACAAATATCTTTTAATTTCAATCCAATCCCTTGTTTTACATGTTCTTTAAAATGTAATATTGTATGGTCTATGCGAACCCATTTACATGTGTATATGAACAATGTTAAAGTTAAATACTTATGATAATAGTGTTCTCTTCATTCTACTGAATTTTCTATATTTTTTATTGACAGATAAACGAAGGAGATGGTTTACCTCCAGTGATTTGTTTGCCTTGTAATCAACGTTTGGATGCATTTTATAATTTTAAATGTCAGATACAAAATTCGGATGAAAAGTTGCGTCAACTTCTCAAATTCAAGTCTCCTTCGGATGGTTCTGTTAGCAGTGAAATCATAGTCAAAACTATAACTGCTGACATGATATCTTTTCAAAAAGAAAACAGTAAAAGGCAAGAAGTTAATTCTACAAATTTCTACCCTGACGAAAAACAACACATAAAAAATGTTCCTAATAATTTGTTAGAGGATTCTATGAGACAAATTAATTCTGTTAAACATGAAGAATTATCTTTAAAAAGTACTTTGTTTGGTAGTGATGTAAATAACATTGAAGCATTGGATAATTCACAAGTGTTAGAAGAAACATCAAAAACAAATGGCACACAAGATGATGAAGACACACCACTTATATCACATATTACTAAATTTCGCTGTACACTGTGTATGAAATATTCCTGTTCGAAAAAATCGTTACAGAGGTATGCTAGTAGTAGTGTACATACATGCCGAACTAAATTGCAATATATTTGTTATGTTTGTGATAAACACTATTCAACTTTGGGAAAAATGGAAAATCATGTGGTGATGTATCATGAAACAGATTGGGAAGAAGGAAATAGTAAGGATAGGAGAGTCAGTTATGATCAAGATAAAGGAGTCACAAGCATCAAAGATAAAGGAATTAATAATCTTTTTGTGAGTATGTATTCAATATTCCATCATTATTTCATTGTTCAACTGAACATTAATAATGTTTTCATTTCAGGATGATATATTTCTAAAGGACCAACAAAAAGGTTCAAAATACACTTGTAAAATCTGTTTAAAAGAATTTCTTCATCAGAATTTCTTTTTAATACATGCTAAAAGTCATGCAGAGTATAAAGAAGATCTGGATAATTTCTATCAATGCTCATTAAACAAAAGGTCTGTTGAAGCTATTGAAGATGGAAAAGAAAATACGAAAGATGGCAAGACTGGAAACTTTCCTGCTAAGAGTCTACAGTGTACTCAGTGTGAAAAACAGTTTGCTACAAAGAGAAACCTTAGATGACATCTGTTCATACATACAGGAATAAAGTATACTTGTCGGACTTGTGGTAAAGGATTTTCAAGAGTAGATAAATTAAAAGATCATGAACTAATACAACACATGGCTGGAATATTTGATAGCTCAGAGTTAGATGATAGCGATGACATGGACAGTATTAATATGGGAGGCTGTGTAGAAAAGGAAAAGAAAGTAAGTTATTTAAGATGGTTGCATATAAGATATTTGAACGTTTATAATCAGTGGGATTGAATACTGTTTCAGAGTCGTTACAACAGACCACACAAATGTGCGAATTGCCCCAAATCATTTGCGCGGGCTCAGTCTCTAGTAAATCACTTAAAGCGTCACGTGCGTGCCAACCAAATTACAAAGAAGTACCTTTGCGAGGTTTGCAGCAAATGCTTTGCACAGAACGCGTCTCTTACTATACATATGCGTACACATACGGGTGTAAAACCGTATGCTTGTAGCATGTGCAGTAAAGCCTTCCCAAAAAGCAGTTCCTTACAAAGACATTTACGCACGCACAGTGGAGAAAAACCTTACATTTGTCAGTATTGCAGTAGAGCTTTCGCACGTGCAAATACACTAGCACGACATATAACGACGCATACAGGAGAAGCAAAGTATCATTGTGAAGTTTGTACGAAGTCGTTTAAAAGACTGGCTTCGTTAAATCAGCACATCCACATTCACACTGGTCAGAGACCACACGTGTGCAAGTTTTGTACAAGGACATTTACCAACACTGGATCGCTTTACATACACAAGAAAAAATGCAAGGGGGAGCAGCCGTGTAATACTGAAGTAACGGTTTCCATGGAAAATTCTGTGATACAACATGATGTAAACGTTCCATGTGTTTTTATTTATTCGCGAAAGGAGCTGGTCGAGGACACAATCGTTGGACAGATTATGCCTACACCACAATATATGATTACAAATGTGCATAATCAGGACCTTTTGATTAATTAGGATGTACGACACATTCTTAAAGGTATGTACCTATTCAGATTGAAACTATTTCTTTAATTATTTTACATCAAATATATATGTGTAATAGATTGAAGGATTGGCTTGTATAGATTAACGTGCACGTGCATTGAATGTTGATACAGTGTTTAATCTAAACATATATAATGTTTATTAATATATCAATATATATTCTGAATAGATGATTACAACATTTGAACAATATCTTATGTATGGTTTAATGTTTAATCATCAATCATTCTAACTTATACCTGTCATAATAGCTGTACATATATAATGAACAAGATTCGTATGAAATGTGTGATAACATCGTGTCATTGAACAACAAATGGCAATACATTCCCATCCTTTTACATTTTCTACACTTGATAATTGCTATCACATGTATACATTTTCAATTTTTAGTCTTGTGTCCCTTTATCAGTGGAATTAATATCATCATCACGTTTGTCTTTGATTGTATCTTCGGAATCCCTCTCTAAATGTTTCAAATTCGGCGAGCTCCTCGTTTGACACAAGACTTCTTCAACAGGTGATGGAGCCTCGTATGATGTTCTTCTGTGTAGTGGTTTCATAATTTGTTTCCATTGAATGCCTTTCTTTTTAGTAACTTCCATTGACTTATGCCTCCTCACAAGAAACTTAGGACTCTTCAACCGCGGTGTAGGTTGTACTAAAGTTGGTACGTTTGTTTCTGGGAGTTGTAAATGAGACGCACCGACATGATGACACTCAGACTGACACGTGTCCGAATGAGGACTGTCATTTGTGTTCGTATCAATATCAGGTGGATGATCTGCAATTAAAACATCTAACGAGGGTGGACACAGAGCACTTGGTCTGTATTCTTTCCATGGGCTAATGTCACCAGCATACACTATAGGCGTATCTACGATTTGTCTCATTGGTCTTGACACGTTAGACGTACTAGACGAGGGTTGTAGAATGACCTTGGGACTTTTTGTCACTGTAAAAAATGGTTTTCTAGTCAGATCGATCCGTGACGTCGAATGTTTCGTTAAAGATGAAAACTTCTTCATAGCTCCTGTTATAACTCCAGTTCCCTGATCCACTTGGTCGTGTCGCGTTAATGGTTCTTGAATATCAAATTGTAAAATTGTCTCAGGACAACTTTGATCAGTCTTCGTAGGTGTATCAGGGTGCTGGCTGATCTGGCTGAAACAAACGAAACTAACTTAATAAAGTTTCATTGTATGAAACGTTTATCTTTATTTAATTGTACAATTATTTTAAATAGTTTTACCCCGTGTTGCACGGCAGGGTATCATTGTGAGTAGCTAAACTTATATTTGATGTATGAAGTGACTGCTTTACAACTTCCTCGTCTTCTTCTATAACATCTGGTAGGAACATGGTTTGCTTATCTTCGGGAATTCTGTAATCGTGCAATAATAGTAATTAGAATAATATGAAATAGTAATATAAAGAATCATTATTTAATAGTACTAACGTCATATTTGCCACGCTACCACGGTATGTTTTCTTTTTATAAGCAGCAGCTGCCTCTGTGTATGGTAGAATCAAATTTTCATCGTCGAAGTACATGTCTTTCACCAACGGTGGACATCGATTCATGAGAGTATCCACTCCAAGATACGATACCTAAATTTATATGAAAATAAGAAAGTATTCAATAATTTGAATTATCTTATTTTGGTTACCTTAGTGTGACGATCGATTATCCAATTTAATTCAAAGTCCTCGTCATCATCACCAAAGGGATTAATTAATTGTTCAGCTACCTGTTAAAATACGATACAATTCTTTAATCATTGACAAATTTTATATTTGTACCAGACTTTCTTTATTTCACTGACAAGTCAGTAAAAACTTGGTTTTCAACTATTACTTCTGTACATTATAATAAGACAATACCTTTAGCAATCCAACAAAGAAGAAGAATTGCAAAATTGTGAAAATGGGTATATAAACATCGATCTGCAATTGGAATTGTTTTTCTTGGCCATCAATGTGTTGGCGAGCTAGTAAAGCAACGGCAAAGAAACTATATGTTGCCAGTGTCACTACTTGTGTGTAAACTAATGGAATAGATATCCAATCAAAACTCCATAGGAGGCCACATTTTGTGCGAAATTCATTAAATTCCTGTAATAGTCGTTGATTTTTAAGTTTTTGTATTTAACCTGATGTATATCATTTGCATGCAACAAACATAATACCTCCATAATTAATTTTAATCCCTGATGGTCAGGAATTCTTTGCTTTTGACGTGCTTCTTTTAGAAGATTGATGAACCAGGTGCAAGGGATCCAATAAGTGTTGAACTCTGAACTTGGTACAGCCAAAAACAATTCCAATTCTAATGATGTCATAAATCCTGTAAGATATTACGAATATATTAATAATTACAGTATTAGTAGTAATTCTACTGATTCTGAATTTTTTTAAATTAGTGCAACACTATATAAAGGAAGATAAATAAGTTTCATAGGATTTATGTATTAATTATAGTTTGACTATGGTTAATATTATGTGAATTTTAACAAATTTTCCTGTTACGCGTACTTAACATACAACAAAAATAATAAAAAAATTGTGATTAAGGTATACCCAATGTGCAGTCTTTTAAGGTGCAAGATATTCATCTTAAAAATGAGCTTTGTGTCGCAATTTTATATCATCGTATCCATCAATTTATCATAGGCCTTGCCCTTATAAAATTTACTTCCTTCGACTTGAGTAAATGAAACGCGTCCTCTTTGGACGCGTGCTATGAGTTAAAATTAGTATGTCTATGTTAGAAGAAACCTTGCTGTAATTAGAGTTTTTATTTTAATATATATAAAATAATTTACCAAACTCAACAACGTGTTCGAGCGTAGGAAATCGTTTTTTCACTGCCGAACTGATTGATCGTAAAACGAGTATTAAGGAAAGATTTAAATAACGCATGAGCGCTCTTCGAAGTATACGACTATATTCATCGTTCCCCGTAACGTATAACGCAATTAAATGCATCACTCTGCAAAAACATATTTTTATTATCAAATGTTGCGTCAGGTGATCACGTAGTGGGTCAAAAAAGTTAGTGGATATTCAAGAGATAACTGCCATCTTCAAAAAAATTAGGGCAGATGCTTTGTTGATTTACTATACGTTTTTGAAACTCACTTGTCCGGCCAAGGTATCGCTTGGTATTGTTGCCACCACCTTTGTGCAATGTAGGACACATAGAATCCAAGGACGAAACTTAATGGAATTAAATTAATAAATTTGTCGCAGTAAATAACAATTTGTTCAAAGTTCCTGAAAGAAGTGTGCTTGAAAGTATCATTCACTTTTTAAGTTCACTCTTGTCTTTAATTTACCTATTAACTAGTGATGGTTCGTGTATTTCTATTTTAAAATTCTATTAATTATGTATTAACGAGTAAACTCAGAAATTGAAACTGTACCAGACTTATACTAACATTAAAAAAGTTGATGAATTTCTGTTGTATTTAAGATTCGATTCCATCACTGTTAATTGGATTTACATTTAGTAACTATACTGTATAAATTGCGAACTTTTTTTGTTTGGAAGTAAGTATTTGCCGGTAAATGGTAGATAGTGCAGCGAAAAGGAATAAAAACAGCAATAGTTCTTTATAGATGAGTTTGTAGAGTGAACCTTTCCACATGAACAGGAGTCTGGTGAATCCACCTCTTGTGGAGTTAGCGATTTGAGACTGGTACGAGACCGTCATCTTTTCTTTACTCGATACTTATCAGCTTTGTAATGAAAGTTCAGTTTAGAACAAAGTCGTAACTTTGTTGTAAGAACAATAGTTTCTTCCTTTTCATTGTTATTGGAAACTTCACCTTAAGAAACCTGATGATAAAGTCGATTCGTTATGAGTTGCGATTTTTCTAAGAATGTATTACTACTAATTAGGTAAAGAATAAGCTGAAAGCTTAGTATTGATGATACCTGGAGCACAGTGGAATGAAAATGTCGTAGAGTAAGACATTGTTTCGGTTTAATAGAAGAGATTGAACGATTGAATTATCGGCAATGTTTTCTTTGGCAAATGGTTCGTTATTTTGAAGTCCATTGTATATACCTATAAATAGATGTAAGTAAAATTAATTTCTTACATAAATTGTTTAAAGATTGTCTAAAGGTTTTTATAAAATTGTAAATAGTTCTGACGTTAGAATTCAGAATTTGGACGATTTGTCTACCAGTGTGAGACATAGAAAAATAACACAGTTATTAGGTCGCGAAGAAAATGTCATTGTTAAGAAAAGAGTAATCGTTGGGGCGGTAGCTGCAGGTTTTCTTGGTCCATGCACCGTAAATAATGCCGAGTTGTTTGGGAGTCCCGCCAAAATTCATCGAAACAGTTAAATATAACTTTAGATACTCGAATAACTTACAACTGACTAAACATGCAATCTGTGTGAAGTTCTTAAGCATTCAATTGAAACATCAGATTGATAAGGGAACCTACAGTTGAATGATATCTCATTCCAATGACCATTTGTCTATACAATTTGTAGAACAAATTACTGTCGATTAATTTGATATTTTTAATACGCTTATATGTTTCGAAATTGTTATTTGTGCATGTTAAGAATGTTTCGTTTGATTTCCTATTGTAAATTCGGTCGCCTTCTTAATGTTATTGCATTTGTGAATCATTAATGTCTTGGCCTGAGTATTATTTTGCTGCAAGTGTCGCGAATGTATATATATCGTATGACATGTGTGCGAAGGGTCATTATTGTGTCTAACAGATTGTCTGATGGCCACAGGATGCTCCTCGAGCAGTCTAAAAATATGTTAGACAGAAGTATGCGACATTGGCCTAACTTCGAAATGCTTCCGTTCAGATTTTAGTGTAATATCATAGCCTAAGTCAGTTTGAACTACTTTAAAGCGGTTTCTTCTGTGTAGAAATTATTTTAAGCGTCTACACAAATAATAAAATAATTTTCGAAAGGCACAAAGCAAAAGAAAAGAAATTTATAAAACGCATGGTGCGAAAAGTAAACAAGCTATTTAACTATAGATTTGTATAAACGATGAATGAAATATTTTAATTTATACTGCGCATACAGCTTAATAACATTACCTGTAGTTTGCTTTCTGTGACATTCCATGAAGGATCACAAAATAAATCTATTATTAGCGCTTCAGTTCGCGACTTTATAAAATTAGATATTATCATAATCGTTCAGCAATGTGCAATAAGATTATAACACTCAAAATCAATGTACCACGCATGTATTATTATCATTCGATAATATTTAAATTAGTAGGCAATGGAAATTTAACACACTTACAACTTTTTCGGTGTTAAATTTTGGTTACAGAAATACACACACGTCGTATACAGAGCTGGATTAAAGCATGGGCTTTAGGAGACTCCTCCAGATGATGGACTTTCAGAGATTGAAAGAACAATTATTTCAAGTAATCGTATAATGCTCAAAATAGCTGTAACCATTGATATTTTGAGTGAAGATCTATTAGGCATGTACAATACAAGTCATTTAGAAAAGTTGAATTAGAATACAAGTATTCTGAAATATCTATATACGAAATTGTTAAATTAATATACTGTATATACTTTTGCAGTAAACGTACAACATCAAAAGGAAACGCTGTACTGTGTAGATACATGTACATATATTCATTTTGTACATGTATGTTATACATACATTCTCGCAGTACATGCAGGTCTGCATGAAGTCCAGTAGTCTACAAAACCTTAATTCGGCGCTGGCCGTGTACGAAAAGTTGTATGCAGTTATAGTTAATCATGTTCGCTAAACGCCCATGGGCGTTCGCTGTACACGATACATTGATTCACTGACCGCTCGTAACTTCAAGTCCACAGCATTCAAAGGGTTAAATTCTTGTTTTCAAACTAATTATAAAGTAGGCAATATAATCGACACATTAACACGATGCTTTGTCACAGTTGTGTTATAGTTACAAGTTAATATTTATGCATCGCATCACCGTCCCCATGAGACTGTTTACTGTAAACATTTCGCTGGACGTAAGCACAGGTATGCACTCGTAGCTTGTTAGCGGCAAACTGCTTTGCTGAGAACATCCGCATCGTCATTGCGAATGTTAACATTGAAGCTGGTCAATTTCGATTCAATGGCAATTGCCCAAATCTAAAAGGGTTCGAATGTCAAGCTCGTTTACGGACACCGAGAATCCACACCTACGATCTATCCTATCTTCGAATCTCGTAAAAAAGCACAATTTTTTCTTTACTTACAATTAAATAATGTTATCTGAGTGTTGGCGGAGCAACGAAACTTTTGTATGAAAAAAATGTGGCTGATATATGTGGTGTGAATACTTCGATATTTTCATCGGGGGAAGATATGAATACATTGGTAATTAGTAATTGCAGATATCAATCGTTTCGTTGTATTCTTGTGTTCTAATGTGATGTTTAATTGTCGCTTCCGTTTAGTTTTCAAGATCAGTTATTATAAATCTTGAGTTTTACTATGAATTCACGTAGTCACGAGTAAAGTTTCAACGCACGCGAACGCCGGGTTGCCGACTGCCAGGGTTGAGAGTTGGGTTGCCCATTATCAGGGGCTATTAAATAAGAAATATGAACAGGCAATTATTGTTTACTTTTAATACAGAATTATTTATTTATCGTTATTGTCTTATAAATAGAATTACAAGTTCCTATGAATAGTCTCCTAGTAATAAGTTTCCCAGGTACATATTCAAATTTATTGTATAATTATAAAATATCCATAAAAGATATCTATTTTTATATCGTTAAGTAGTTCTTAGTGCAATATAGGTACAATTACAGTGTTGTAAATATGATTCAGGTGTACCTGAAACTTTAAATAATTAACAACTACAACAACAATAAAATGAATTCAGTCTATTCACCACTAGATGGCTATCCATGTAAGAGACAAAATTTGAACAATCAGTTTGAACTAACAATATTTTTCGCATGCTTAACTAATTAATTTGCCACAGAATTATTAAATAATCGAAACAGGGACCTTTACGCTGATTTCTTGTTTAACGTATACATTTTACGCATCTGACTTTTTTGTCTCGTAATTTTTGAAATACATGTGCAGTATAAATGTATACACTTTCGAAATTTTATGAATAGATGCAATAGTTAATAACGATATAGATCGAGAATATTATTTATTGAATGCAAGGAATCGTAAGGAATATTTGAATGTAATACGAACGATTTATTAATATTTGTTATGCAATATGAATAGAAGTTAGGAAAAAAGAGAGAAAATACACAACTAAAAAAGAATTCATAAAGTTAAGAAACAATCGAAAACTGAGTAATAAAAACATCTCTTTATCTGATCCCTCAACTTATTTTGTTCTGTATTGTATCTCTAAACGCAGTTGCAAAAGCAAATAGAAATTGATGTTAATTTCACTTTCTAGATATTCTATAACTGATTTGCATTAATTCATCATATCAATTCTGCTTATTTGTATATTCATATTAATTGTTTCATCGTATTTCTTTACAACACAACTCGAATATCGATTTTTATCTGAAATTTCAATCATGTATTAGTTATCAGATTGCATTGTAATATTCTTTGATAAGTTTGATCAAAGTTAAATTTCAATAATTGCAAATGCATTGAGCATGAAAAATGTCAAAAACATCTTCGGTTTGCGAGAAGGGAAGGTGGAGTCTGACGCTTGATTTCCAAATGCATTAAAATGGAAGTTTCAAAAAACGAGCAGTTAGCTGAAACGTACGAGAAGATTTATGGAGATGAATGTCGTATTTGTTTAAAAAGGGCTGTAGAAATTTGTGAACTATTTCGAAATGGGGACGCTATCCTCCGTAAACTTATGGCCGTTGCTTCCGTACAGGTTAGTTTGCCACTCTTTGTACGATAACACGAAAAACAAATTTTCATCTATTTAAATTGTTTCTGTTGTATTTTCTTCAAAATTTAATGTATATTCTTTGTAACTTTTGAAGAGGTTTTTAGGATTGGTGTGATCTATCCTGTTAATTCCAAATGACTGAAGCCAACAAGAATGGATAGAAACTAGTTGCATATTTTGAAAAGATACAACAATTAAAACTCACAGTGTTTACAACAAGTTTAACATTCTGCGCTTGGATTTCTTCAACAGTTCAGTCATATGCCAACTATTTATATGATACACTATAAACAAAATTTTTGTTGTTATCACTTTCTACTTTATTCAATAACAATCGTTTGTAATAAGAATCTCTAGAGAATCTTTAGTAGAAATTCTTCCAAATTCAAACATAGAATATTAAACTTAATATAATAATACTTTTACCTTCAGAACTCGTTTACATACTTATGCTCATATATATTAAAATCGTTAATAAGTTGAAGATAATGCTTAAAGTAATATATTCAATTTACAATGACAAAAATACTAGTAGGTCTTTCATATTACTAAATTTTCTCAATTTTTTTTAATAAAATGATATATATTCCTGATTTTTAGGTAGAAGAAGGAGATGGATTACCCCCAGTGATTTGTTTGCCTTGTAATCAACGTTTGGATGCATCTTATAATTTTAAATGTCAGATACAAAATTCGGATGAAAAGTTGCGTCAACTTCTCAAATTCAAGTCTCCTTCCAATGATTCTGTTAGCAGTGAAAGCATAGTCAAAGCTATAATTGCTGACGTGATATCTAGTGTAATATCCTCTGAAAAGGAAAACAATGAAAGGCAAGAAATTTGTTCTACAAATTTCTGTCCCGACAACTTTTGTTTTACAAAAGATGAAACTCCTTTCTGCTTAAACTCAGAAAGGAACTTATTTTGTTATGAGAGAGAATCACAGAGTCAATTAAGTAATGCAGAACAAAAGCAACACATGGAAAATATTACTGTTTATAAAAACTTGTTAGAGGATTCTGTGAAACAAATTAACTCTGTTAAACAAGAAGAATTGTCTCTATTTGATGAACACATGGTCCACAATAAAGTAATAGATCCTGTGAGACAAATTAATTCGATTAAGGAAGAAGAATTATCTTTATTCAATGAACACGTAGAGCAAAATAAAAATGTTTTATTTAATAGTGATGTAAATAACATTGAAATATCAGACAATACACATATTTTAGAAGAGCCATCAAGAACAGATGGTACACAAGATGACGAAGAAAAGCCTTTGATATCACGTACAACTAGATTACACTGTACACAGTGTATTAAATCCTTCCGTACGAAAGTAGCGTTACAGAGGCATGCTAGCGTACATAAACGAAAAACTAAGTTACGATACGTTTGCTACATTTGCGATAAACAGTATGCAACTCTTGCAAAAGTGAAAAATCATGTTGCTATGTGTCATGAGGCACACGACAGGAAGGAAAATATTCAAGATAAGAGAATCAGTTATGAACAAGACAAAGGAATAGCAAGCATAAAAGATAAAAGAAATAATAATGCTAGAGTAAGTGTATATTAAATACTTTGTTTTTAGTTTGATTTGTTACTTTTCAACTTAACAGCGCAATTATTTGTGTATTTTAGGAAAAAAGAGTAAAAATGCAAAAAAATGACGAGTCTTCAAAGGAACAACGAAAAAGTTTAAAATTTACGTGTAAAGTATGTTCGAAACAATTTACCTATCAGAAATCTTTTGTAACACATGCTAAAAGTCATCCAGAGTATAAAGAAGAACTAGTTGATTCCTATCAGTATCCAGTGAAAGAGAGGTCTGTAGAAACTGTTGAAGAAGAAGAAGATGAAGAAGAAGAAGAAAATGAAGAAGAAGACGAAGATGACGAGGATGAAAATCTTCCCACTGAGAGTCTACAGTGTACTCAATGTGGAAAATTATTTGCTACAAAGAGAAATCTCAAGAGGCATCTTTCTACGCATAGTGGATTAAAGTATACTTGTGGGACTTGTGGTAAAGGATTTTCAAGAGTAGATAAGTTAAAAGACCATGAACAATCAAAACATAAGGCTGAAATATTTGAAAGCTCTGATTTAGATGATAGGGATGACATGGACAGTATAAACAGGGGAGATTGTTTAGAGAGGAGAAAAAAAGTAAGTAATTTGAAATTATTGTATAATCTATTATGAATGAGTTTCTGTTAGAGATATTTCTTAATTCCAATTTTTTAAAGTAATTTTCACAGAATTGGAAACTGTTTTAGGATTCCTACAACAGACCACACAAATGTGCAATGTGCCCCAAATCATTTGCGCAGGCTCAGTCTCTAGCAAATCACATGGAACGTCATTCGCGAGTCAAAGAAACTCAAAAGAGGTTCCTTTGTGAAGTTTGCAGCAAATGCTTTGCACAGAGTGGCTCTCTTGTTGCACACATGCGTACACATACTGGAGTCAAACCATATGTTTGTAACGTATGCAGTAGAGCTTTTACAAAGAGCACTTATTTACAGTTGCACCTGCGTACGCATAGCGGGGAAAAGCCTTACATTTGTCAGTATTGCAGCAGAGCCTTCGCCCGTGCAAATACATTGGCGCGACACATAACGATGCACACAGGAGAAGCGAAATATCATTGTAATATTTGTACAAAGTCGTTTAGAAGACTGACCTCGTTAAATGAACACACGTACACGCACACTGGCCAAAGACCATACGCGTGCAAAATTTGTACAAAGAGATATAATAATGCTGGATCACTTTACGCGCATAGAAAGAAATGTAAGGCGCAGCAGATATCTAATACTGGATTTACGGTTACCGTGGAAAATCCTATACAGGCACAGGATGTAAATATCCCACAAGTCTTGATTTATTCGCAAAGAAAGTTGGTGGAGGACACAAACGTTGGACAAGTTCCGCCTCAACCGCAATATATGATCGCGAATGTGCACAATCAAAAGAGTTTGGAAGCGAATATTATTCAACCGTTTACGGTGGAAGACCCAAATGTTTATACGATTAATTCAAAGCAATTTAAGAACCCCTATTATACAATTTATCCAAATATGTAAGATAATAACGTATGCGGAAGAATAAGAATGTCTTTTCTAGAACTGCTAGTGTTTTTTGACTTTTCTTTAAAGAGTGATAAATATAAATGTGAAAGTAAGGAGTAGATAATTTAAGGTAAGTGCTGGAATAAAAAATATGTACAAGGAAAATTTAATACATGAAAGAAGAGTGAAAAATAATTGTAATGAATCTCCTCAAAGTAGAATATAATGATATGCACAAATCAGAATGTTTTAATTAATTAGGACGTTGACTACATCTTTAAAGGTATACATGTAGTAAATTAAAGAATCGATTTATCGCTCTGTATATTTCTTTTGCAGATTATCGTGCATGCGTATTAAATATATGATATCAAAATCAACATTAAGAAATACTGACTAGTTCCTTTTTTTTCAAGTATTATTATACTTGACCCGATAGCATTGCAATATACAGTTCTTGATACAATTTTTCTTGTCTCTAATGAAACATTCAAATGTCATACCAATTTCAATTAATTCAAATTTTTTCCGCTATGTGGCACAAGTATTAGAAATTGTATTTCAAAATTTTCCGAATCCTCTGTATATGTATAAATAAAATCAATTAGTATTTATAGCAAATATTGGCAAGTGTTAGCAGTAAAGTGTAAACTGAGAGAAAAACAAAAAGTTTCTGCAATACGTTAAAAGTTCAAGATTGTATATTTATGACACATTGTACATAGAAACATCATTTTCCGACACAACGAACTGAGTAAGCTTCTCGAAGTATTCATAATTTTGTTAATACAATATGATATACGATATATACAGATGAAGTAAACGTTTTATTCTCTTATGTAACTGAATATTTTATCGAAGCAGACTGTAAATGTTAGAAATATTGTTCACTTACAATTTCTGAAGAAAATAACCTAACAAAAAGGCGCAACATAACCTAATTTGACAAGCGACGTTATAGTTTGCTTTATCTTAAATAAAATTTAAGCAACATGGATAAATCAATTTTTATGCAAAAGCAAGTGAAAGACAATGCAGAAGATTTACAAAAAGAATTTCTTGATATGAAAAATTGGGAACAACAAATGAAAAGTAAAGATGAAGAGCTAAGGAAAGAAATGTATGGCGAGGTATGTATTATCAGCAAAAATTGTTCTATATTTCATTTTAATAAGAAGTATATTTTTACAGGCATCTTTACCACCAATAAGAAGCAAAAATAGAAGTAAAACAAAAGTTGTTCCTACAAAACAAAATGGATCTAATATTAAATCTAAAAGAATTAAATCATATGATCATTCTGCTTGGGATAAATTTGATGCAGTAAGGTTTATTTATTATACTTTACAATTTATGGAGTATATGCATCTGTCTGAAAAAGCAACACATTATTTTAATAACTAGACAGAAAGTAGTAATTACATATAATGTTATATAGGATGAGGCATGTAAAAATATAGATAAAGCAGAGCAATCAAATGATTCAGAGGATGAAATAATGTCTAAAGAAGAATTAGAAAAGGCACATAGAATGGCAGTAAAATATAAAAATCAGGGCAATATTTTTGTACAGCAACAAAAATGGGTCGAAGCAATTGGAAGTTATAATCAGGCTATTAAAACTTTTCCATATGATGCTGTGTTTTATGCAAATCGTGCACTTTGTCAATTAAAATTAGATAAGTAAGTATTCCTTTTTTAACATAGCATGTAGACAATTTGTTGAATTTTGAATGCAAGCTAAAATAAAAGTTTAAGAATGAACCATATATTTTTGTAGCTTATGTTCTGCTGAATCAGATTGTTCAGCAGCAATACAATTGGATGAAACTTACGTAAAAGCTTACCATAGGAGAGCAACAGCTAGAATGAATTTAAAACAGTACAAAGAAGCCAAACAAGACTTGGAAAAAGTTTTAAAATTAGAACCTTCTAATAAAGAAGCAAAGCTGCTACTTGCACAAATTGAGAGCAAGATACAAGCTTCCAGTGTAAGTAATAAACAAAGAAGAAATAAATTCATTGTAGTATATAGTTGAATTATGAAATGTGTATCGTCTAATAATGTCACTTTATATAGTCAGCTAGTACATCGAAAGAGAATACAGAGAAATTATCTGAGAAATCTTCAGTTGAAAAACTGATTGGTGAAAAAATGTGGTCCAGTACTAAATCAAGTACTAAAACAACAAATATTAAAGATGTCAAAGACAGTAAAGAGGGTGAAAAGGATGAGAATAGCAAGGATCTGAAACACATTGAGGAAGATACAATAGTTAACATACAAAATACTACTATGAAATATAAAGAAAGAGATCCACGTATTCCTGATTGGTTACCAGAAAAAGATGATGTTGCTGTGATAGAACCTGTTAAAAGACCACCTCACTTACGTTCAAAGGTTAGATTACAAAATCAAAAATTGATCTTTATGGATGTTTAAAGTGCTCGTTATTTACAGAAGTCGCTACTAAGAATACCAGTTGAAGAAGTCGAATTTAGTACTATTCAATACTGCTGTACCAGCAAAGAAACAGCATGTAATGAATACAAACCTGTACAGTTAAAGAAAATTTGTGGAAATGATACATATATTCCTATTTGTTTACCCGAGAAAGATGATGTTGCTGTAATAGAACCTGTTAAAAGGCCACCTCATTTACTTTCAAAAGTAAGATTACATAATTAGCAACTGTTTATTACGAATGCTTCAAATGCACATTATTTACAGGATTCTCTAACAAAAATATCAGTTGAAGAAGTAGAATTTAGTACTATTCATAACAAAGAACGAACAACGTCTAACAAACGTAAACCAGTACAGTTGGAGAAAATTAGCAAAGATGATAATTTTAAGATTGAGAGTTGTATTAAAGTTTCTGAATCTGTAGAAAATGTTAATAATATTCCTCCAGTTCCTAGAACAGCTGTACAGTTTGTAACAAATTGGAAGACGAACAAATCGTCAGAATTTAGATACAAGTATTTAAAGGTAAAAATTCAGTGGCCACTGCTAACATTTTGTAATATTATAGTTATATATCTTTTAATACAATTGAATAAGTGGATTTCAGCAATTACCCAGGAACAGTTTGCCCCTAATATTTCAAAACTCTATGGAATCTGATATCTTCAGTGAAATATTAGAAGTTTTAAAGTTAGAATTTATAAAAAGAAGGGAGTCCATATACCCTTATTTAAAAGATCTTAGTGAAGTTAAGCGGTTTAGAGCTCTTATTATGTTTATTAGCAACGATGAAAAAAGAAGTAGGTATTATTCCATTATAATACTTTAAAATAATAATAATAATAATAATAATAATACTTTCTTTACATTATTTATTCTGAATGTCTAGGTTTAAAAGACTTTTTTGAATATTGCAAAGTAGTTGAGAATATATCTTTTGAAGAAATTGAAGCTTTGCAAGAAAACTATGAAATCTCAAAATAAATTGACGATATGCAGTTAAGTTTGAAAACATATGTTTAAGTTATAAAAAGATTGCGTAAGTTAGGTATTTTGTACGTATATTTCTATTTACAAACAAACAAATAAATAAGATTATTCTAATGACATTGTAATTGTTTATATTACAGTGTATGTTATATGTATAGTTTATTATTTTACATATGTACAATATGTAGATAGTAGCTTGAAAAAAAGTCGTGCATTTAAACATGACCATTTAATAACGTTTGTATCCTTTGATCATTCTTCATTATTTGTGATTTTGCCTGGCATATTTTATCTAACTGCATTTCCATATTATGATCGATTTCTTTCAATGTCTCCTTCATAGGTTCGATTAATTCTTGTGTTTTTCTAGAAACATCTAAAGTTATTGTATACACAATACACAGATTTTAGTCATTGGGAAGAACTTACATTTTTTCTATTTTTAATTGTTCGTTAACTTGCTGGTACTGATTTCTCCATTCCAGTAACTCTTTTTGCATGATTTCTACATCTTCCTATGAACAGTGATATAATCTTTCAGTATAGGCATAGCAATATAATGTTAAGTAATGTAGAGTAAAAACAGTGCACCTGAAAGTAATCTAACAATTTTCCAAGTGGATTTGTTGCACGAGTCAAAGTTTGAATCGTATTACGAAGTTTATCAATTTCCTTTGAAACTACGTCACGCTTCGAATTTGTATCCCATGCCTAATAACAAGCTTATATTTTATATAGGAATTTCATTCAAATTAAATGAATTAAATAATAACTTGCAAATTAATTTAAATGTCCTTACGATATTTGTCTTTTTAGGCATCACGTCTATATTTTCATTATTAACCAGTTCTTTCTGTGTTTCCAATATTTGAGCAACAAGATGTCCATGTTCTTGTGTTAACTGTTCATCAACTTTATAGGTACTATTATCGTCTAAAGAATCTCCACCGCTTCCTCTAGTTTCCATGACTACCATATCCTCCGCGTCATCTTCTTTAGTATCAGAATTTTCTACAATGACGCTAATATTTCCCATAGGTGTCCTAGGAGGTTTTAATGGTATAATACTTTCACTAATAGTTTTGATAGAAGAATACATTTGCCATGATTCTTACATTATTTCTTCGTTAATAATCAATTCTTGTTTCCCTCGTATCCTAGGTGCTGCAGGCCTAGCACTAATGGGTCTTGCACTAGGTGGACGTAAAGAGGTTCTTGGTCTGAAAGTACCAAGTTGTAATATGATATTATAAAATGTTTGTTTCTTAACCGTTTGAGTCCCAGAGGGTATTCAAAAAACACTGTCGAAGAATCCCAATTAGCGTAACCGCGCTTTCTCTGAATGAGTACTGGGTTTTCTCGATAAAATCTCAACAGCGTGATCGCGCTGCTTGGAACTTAAACGGTTAATGGATAAAATGAACTAAGATATACCTTATATCAATATTTTCTAATTGAGATTTTGGAGCCTCTGATGTTACATTGTCAGGTTTCTCTGTATTTTGAGAAGAAATTTCACTATTTATCATCTCATTGTCTTTATATTCTGTTTTCTCTTTACTTTCATTTATTTTATCACTTTCTATATTATTTGTATTTTTGGATTCCAGGAATACAGTATCTGGCATGTGATTTTGAGATTCGTCATGTTCACTAAGCATTGCTTGCTTTGATTTATTTTCAACTTCTTTATGTTTTTTGTTCTCATCTTCCTTTTTGTCTGTGCTTGCATTTACTTGCACAGGAGTTTTTTCAACCGAAGATATGGGAGGTGTGTTCTGTTTTGATTTAGCAGCCGAAGATTTTCTTCTGTGGCCAGATGAAGGTATTTTGTCTTGGAGTGACTAGAAGTTATACATTCAATTAAATTGTTAATCTTTATAATATAAATACGACATATTGTAATTTACCTCAGTTTGTGGTGTGCGTGTAACTTCAATATTTCTTTGAGCTTCTTGATTTTCATTTCTATGCGATTCTGATTCTTGTACAGTTGCACTAGAGATTCTTTTCTTTTGTTCTGTAGATTTTTCTTTGGCCGTTGTAATTCTTTTTTGAGGCACCTCTTTTGACGTTTTTCTTTCTCCTTTCTCCACTGATGATTTACCTCTCGAGGTTGATTTACTTTTCTGTAGATTCTTTTTATAGTGTTCAATGGCTTCTTCACTGCTAATCTGATTTACAAAATACTCATTTAATTTTTTGTTCTCTCTTTTTTACTACATTTTAAGTTACAATGTATCTACATATGTTACCTTTTTATCTAAAGCTTTTCCAATTGCTTGCAGTAACTCATTTGTTTTAGTTGGTTCCTGACCAGAAACGATCTTACTAGCTCTTACAGTTAAATTAGCGTTAGTAGTTAACTCTGAAAATATCGAGAGGCGCATATTAGTGAAAAGAAATGTATTGAACGTTTTGCATATCTATATAAGAGATGTTACAACTTACTGACAACGTCAATCAATTTTGTTAAATAAGCAAGTTTCGCCTCTTTATTTTTTATATTTTCAGAGTTTAATTCCTCTTCGGTAAATAAACCATCCAGGAAACCAGTTTCGTTTATGATCTACGGCAATATTATTTATTTATCAGTATACAAAAGTACACAAGCTTCTTTTAAAGTAAAAAACGAAATAGTGAGAATGATACATTACTGTAGATATAATGTCGTGGAGGAATCGAAACGGCGGTTTCCTTAGTAGTTTCTCAGTGAGTGGAGGCTTTTTAAAATACTTGCCAAGGACATCTTGCGTCTTTTTAATTACTTCCGGCTTCACGTCGTCTGCCATTGTTAATTACAACTGTAATGTGCGGCGAGCTTTTACTGCATATTTCTTAGAATCCTCGTGAGCTTTGTGTTGCATTTAGTGGTTGCATGGCAACGAGAATACGACCAAAGTACATATACAGTGGGCGTACAGTATAGGGTGAGGCATTTAAAGACAGGTCACTCTGCATAATTCAATTCTTATTACTTCATGTTTAGAATCATTATTCGTGGTCAAAGAAACAAATTATTAGAAATCTAACATGTATGTTTTTCTTAAATATTCCTAAGCATTAAGGATCAAGCTGTATCAAGCATCAAGCATTAAGGATCAACCTATATCAAGTATCAAGTATCAAGTATCAAGTATCAAGTATCAAGTATCAAGTATCAAGTATCAAGTATCAAGCATCAAGAAAAATATTTAAATATAGATAGTTAGATAATTCAATTATAGTTTGATTAGAGATAGCCATAGAATGAATGAGAATTAAATTTCTCTGGTGCAATAGAGAACCTATACTACACAGTGTGATATTTTCGAATGCATTCAGGCTGCTAAAGCCAGATATAAATTGCTGTACGCCGAGGCATTAGCGTTTTATAGTGCATTAATTAGTCTGCTCGCGACGAGAAGGCGGATAAAAAAGTTTTACAACGTTGTAAATGCAAAAGAGAGCTTGCGTCGCGATCCGCTATTTAATTCCTTCTTCATTTTACACGGTCCGACGTTTTACTGTGCGTTATGGAGCACATATACCTAGATTATACACGCTGTGGTCCCCGTGTGATACACTTGGACCGAATCGTTTATGGCATTGCCACGTTCGTCGCCTTGATGCTCCATGTGTGCTTTATTGCCATTGCTTTATTAGGCTTTCGTTTAATTGCACAGGTTTAATGGCCGAGCTTGGAATACTTCCAGCTCGAGTTATGGGATAATCGCGCTTTCGAACGACCTTGGGCCCTTGTCTTAACGTGGCCTCTTCATCTCTTCTCCTCTTCTTCTTGCACTTTACGACATGCCACGTTTGGAGACACCTCTTCGTGCCAGATGTTCCAAATGTTTGTAGTAATAAGGGCTGTCGATGTTTAGTAAATTAGGTTTAGATATATTGTAAAGGGTATTGCAAAAAAGGTTTCAGGATTTTATGTTGTAATGATACACTCCTAAAACCCTTTTTGGAAGATTCTAGCAATTCAAAGTAAGCATTTGCTTAAGGTTACTAGTCATTTCACTTTATTAGAATGTCAAAGCTTCTTTGACTTATTAAAATTAAATATCGTACATTATAATAATAGCGTTGTCTCATTTGATCAAGACAAAATGATACAACAAACAACACATGAAAAGTATAATATACAACATAGGGAAACAGCGCATCAGCGATCAGAAAAATTGATCGTGCTGAAACTATTAGGGAGCTCTTAGAACAACTATAATATCGATACGTTTTTTTATCGTTTATTGTTGTGTCGTTATGCATGCTTCAATGACTTCTCGTGCTGAAGATAGAGCGTCAACGGTGTCGAACGCGGGGGAAGGAATAAAAATAATAATTTAGTTATAAATTAGCTTAACAGACTTACGTGTACTCTACGATATTGCAGTCAACAATACATGTTCGACGATTGATGCTAATACAACTTATTACGTTTTAATATCATAGTACAACGACAATCGCTGTTATATCGTGGAATTTTCGGACATCGATAAAGCCATACTAATTATAGTTTCGGTTGTAATGTGACTTTATAAATACGGAACGTTTATGTTCCTCTTAGTTTTTGGTAAATTATGTTACATGTCTACTTTAATATTACATTCTTTGCGTCACACGGATCTTTTTGGATTCCTTATTCGCAGAATATACTGTAATCCTTTAACCAACGAAAGCGATATCTATAAAATTAAACAAACATTGATATTGAAGTATGCGAAACAGTAAGTCTCAGCAAAGGTTAAAGGATTAAAGAAATATTCCTCATCATCTGAAAATACTGTTCATCCATCCTTTTGTCAACTAAGACTGATCAACAAGTTTATATCTGATATTTGTGTGAAAATTAGAATTTTACGTATCTTCTTGTTTTCAAATGAAGAAAAAATTGATATTCGTATTATTACATATTTTTGTAGAAGTTTGAATAGTCCGCAGGGCAGCTCCCTTGGAAAATGAGGGCTGTTGAGGGGTAGCGTCCCCACGTACCCGAGGCGCTAAACAACAAAGTATCGATACTTTGACAGTCGTTCTTTATTATTATCTTTTCATTGTAAATTGATAATAGATTTAGACTAATTTTTGTTCCTTGTGAGTTTCAAAAACCTGTTGGAGGGTTTTGATGATTTTAAAACGACCGCTAAAATAAGTTAACTAGAAGTGGTGCAGATGGCGCCACTGACCTGAATTTACATCATTTAAGTTGGCGCCTTTGCAGAGGCCATAACTAAGTATTTATAGGGGTTGATAAGGTGTTTTTTACTCAATTAAATTCTAATTTAACGTGTTTGACTGTAATTGAAATTTGTTTAATCAGCGAAACGAGTAAGCTTCTTCTCAACTTTATAATTTGTAAGTATTACATTATAAATATCGACATGTTTAGACACGGAGTCACAAATATCAAATACAAACGCAAGTTTAGCATTCCACGAGGCAATGTTTCTCAAACTTCACTCGATCAACGTTGTAAAAAACGAATTGGCGAATTCCGTGGGGTAGAATTTCTTAAATTGCGTATTTTAAAATTGTTTTTTTAAATAAGTATATTTATGAAAAGTTCTATTGAATTCAAATCGAAGGTTTTATTTAATTTTATACAAAGTTTAGTTCCAATACTGTTATATGTTTGAAAAACACTGCCTCATTTCCTCAGCGACTCGTCGATATATACAACTCTCTATAATATCTTCTAGCCTCTATTTCTTGCGTCCTAAAGTAACACCTCCATCTTTCTCAAAAAATGTCTACAACGCATAAATATCCGCAAGGTTCTCGCGTATACGATGATCCACCGAAATCCAAAATCTAGATCAGTGCTATTCAAACATCTTTTAAATGATACAGATCAACTCATCCACGTGTTTCCACATTAAAACCACTCTTTGAATCCTGTTTAGTTTAAAAACCACCGATCTAGATAGTTAGCTTAGCCTCTATCGCTAGACGATCCTCGTTCCTTCCAAAGTACGATCCCACTTCGTTCAGATCTCCTTGTTGAGGACGATCCCGCAGGGTTGTACCACGCCGATGTTCGTCAATTTCGGCCTCTTCGAGGTGGTTTTGCTCTCGTCCTTCTTCAAGAGCTCCTCTATCGAGTACGGGTTCTTCTTCCTCTGAGGTTGCACAGGCTTCTCTTCGACCGCCGTTTCTTTGCCCGCCGTGCTCTGTTCGTTTCCTGTTTCTGGAATCCTGCTCTTCTGATTTTCCGTTGCGATCGGCGGTGGACTCCCAGAAGATCCCGATGTACTGTGTCTAACGAACGCGCTGCGGTCGCTGCCGATCTTCTGGCCGAGTTCTAGTATCATCGGGGAATTCTGGAAGGGCTTGTAGTGGTCCTGGGACTCCGTGTTCTCGTCCAGGTCGCTCTTGTCCAGGGAGTCGTCGCTGCCCGCCATGGAGCTCGAGCTGGACTTGAGCTCGACCTGGTTCGTCGCTCCATTTTGCTCAGACAGACGCTCCACGTCCAAAGATCTGGAACAAACAGATTCCTCTCTTCAATTTGTTTAGTTTAGGTTTCGGTAGGATCTTTGGAAATTCTAGGAAGAATTGTTGGGCTGGTGTCGTGTTCGATTAGGAAATATTTATCAGGCTTGGAAGATGAATAATGGAAGATTGTAAGAATAAGGTGATGTTTCATTAAAATTGTAATATTCTCTAGTAGATTTAGTGGCGTCAATAAGCTCGATTCGGGATTAGCAAATCTTTGATGTACATTGTACAGAAAAGAAAGAGGGAGGAAAGGAAGTCGTCCAAGCTAGGAGATTTGAATGCTTACGTGAACGTTTGCATTCCGTGATGCAAGTGCAGCGTTGTCGCTTGGTACAGGGACGAGTAGAAGCTTGGATTCCAAGATGGTGCGCCGGTGTTACCGGAAGTGGTGGAAATGTGGAGTGGTCCCAGGGCTCCTGGATAAAATAGCTGGTAGTCTGTTCTCATCAGCGCCTCTGCGAACAAAATTCAACAGTATAAAGTACGTATTTCATACACCAAATCCTTATAATTAATCTCAATAATTAGACTGCGGATTTTATGAATTTATAACGCATAGTAATATAGAATGTAACAGTTTATATCGTAATAGCATAAAATCCGCAATCTACTTATATAATATATTAAATACACTGTATGTATATACTAAGATTGGTAACCCTATTTTCAGCGCACTTCGTAGAACGCAGAGGAATCTCCCTAATGCAGGTTGAGCATAATTAATGTGGAATGAGATTGTTTCGCCATCCATAACTCAAGCTTCGTGACGCAGTTTCACCCGATAGAAAAAGAGCAACGTTATAGATAATTTACGGAATGAACGAGGCAAATTGCGATGGCGAATACGAAGCTCCCTTTAAGGGGTTGCGTGTCGATGGTCTCTCGCGGCAGCTCGCTGACGAGTCAATCGGCCAGAGGGTATCTCCGAATTCCTCGTCTTTTTCTCCCATCATCCTCGCCCGGCACGCTTTCCCTTTCTTCCTGCTATTTCTTTTTCCTCCGCGTCTCCCTCTCTCTAGAACGCGATTGCTGCATTTCTGGCTCCTTCTTCCTTTTCCTTTTTCCCCCCTTTACGTTTCTCATCTATGGAACCGAACTGTGGCGACGGCAAAACGGTCAAAACAATGCAAAAAATGGCCGAGAGTGATTCCACGATACGGACAGATGTTTAGGGGATCATTAGCCAGTAATGGCGCACTCGCAACGCAGCTTTCCTTCGCATAATGACTCACAAAGCTTGGAAGATACCCGCTGGGAGACTGCTACGAGGTGCATCGAAACATCTGGGAGTCAGTGGTCGATCAGAGACAGAAAAACAATTGGAACAGTTGGTATGAATGTCCTGTTTCACCTTGTCTTCAAGTTGCAACCATTTTTGTATTCCACTGTGTATTAACATGTGCCATTGTTTGGGTTTGTAGGAATTTTGATGGGCTAACTTCCAAGATGAAGATTTCAAATAGGGTCTGTTCGATTCAAGAGCAGGATGAACGAGTTATTCGTCTCGTTTTCTTCTACTGGGACTGACAAGTATTCTTTTTCATTAGAAATATTTCCTTTACATTTTATTCGAAAGAAGTACACTATAAAGTTTATTTTTACCTCTGTTAGCAACGTTTGGCGACACCTGTGAAGCGTACGTGCTAGGAGAGCCATTCTCGATCCCCGCGTGATCTGTGTGAAGACCTCCCCCTCGCAGAATTCGATTCACAGACGAAACAGAGGGTAAGCTTTGCGGATCACAGGCTCCTTGTCGAGCGAGCTGCTCGCGAATTTCCCAGGCGAACATGGTCGGTTGCTCTTGCTTCATTCGTAGAATCTTCTTCACGACCGTCGGGGTGGCCACTTGCTGAAAAATACAAAATTAGTTACTTTAGTAGCGATTGGAATTTTTATAATATTAATCTAGGATTTTATCGAATTATCGGCGAACTAGTTCTCAAATTATTACAAAAAAAAAGATCAAGTCATTTAACGTGTTCACGTGTTCTTGATTTAATATGTAATTGTAGCTTACTAAAAGGGTCTTTAACCAGTACACAAAATTAATTTCCTCTTGGAGAAAATAATTATGTTTGGCAATTTGGTAGTTATACTTCAAGATCTAAAGTGATCTTGACATTGCAATTAAGAATGCCAAATTTGGGAATCGTTACAACCTCCAGATAAAGAGACAGAATAAATACACCGACGAAGGGATTGAAGCAATGTTGCGAGCCGCCTGATGTTCTCGAGAGGGGTGATCCGTATCGCCGGTTATTTTCGAAATGTAAACGCTGATGATTGCGATTCATGTCGAGATATGACACGATGTTATCGACTCGGTGTTGTACTTCGAGCGTTTATCGATTCTAACCGCACGATTCCTCCATCTGATCCTCTTTAACCGCGGCCTTTTTTCATCGCCGATCAAACGACGATAGGATTGTCCAAGCTAAATATACACGCGTGTTTGATTCCTTTGCGAGTGATCGAGATCGATTAGTTTAAATAACAGAGATATAAATTGACCAACGGCACACGGGCTGACAAAGGTACAGGTCCATCTAATAAATTTACTCTCAAGAAAATTTGTTTCAAAAATTTAACTTAAACAAATGTTTGAATTTTAATTGTCGTGGCGTCCCCTTCAGGCATTCTATGAATGACGTTTTCACCATTTGCATCAATGATCCTCTTCAATTGAACACAATGTTTATGTAAAAGTTGAAGCCTACAGTCCCTTTACCATCTAAGACCACACAGAGTTAATCTGAAACCTTCCACTAACCGAGCATTTCGTTGCAGGTCGTCAAGAGTCGGTGGCGGCCGTCAAGCACGGAAACAGTAGGACCGTTGGGACCGTTGTCGACCATTAACCCGGTCATTTTTCCAACCAGCCCTGTAGTTGGCGTTATCTCATCGAATTAACGCGCAAGTGGTCACACTGTCGTCGGAATGGGCCTGCAGAGGGACGCGGGCCGCCATATGTCGCTCACAGGTGAAGCACGTCGTGGGCCCAGTGAATCAGATAACGGGGTAGGACCCAAAAGGTAGGTGGGTAACGCGTACCCGCGCTTTATTGCAGTTTAGCCCCGGTTTACCGAGGAGGCGGGCTCATCTGCTCTCGCAGACGTGTTTCCTTCCGTGGTAATCGGGGGCCCGCGAACTCGGGGCCCCTGCCAGTGGTGCTCAATCTCTGCGACGCTCATTTGACTTGCTAATGAGCGCGGTCCTCGCGGTTAATTTTATGCTAACGCGATGGAAATGTTATGCGGCGTACAGATTTTCGAGATCGCCGATTTCTACAAGGGGGCGACCAGGGGGAGAGAACGATATGGTTACAGAGGGGCGTGCATTTTCTGCGGGCCCCCTTTTTGCTATCGAATCACTTTCAGGTATTCCTGTGATCACAGATTAACCCTTTTGGGGGTCTCGAATTGTTTTATTTTTGGGGTGGAAGGAATTTTCTTCGCGTGCCTCCAGTTATTTGACGTTGGATAAATGCTATTGAATTGTAAAATTCTGCTGTATATGTGAATTCCAATCCCATTGATGTTGAATGAAATGATGGAATAGAATAAGGGTTAGCTTTTAAGGGTATTTTCTTTACCCCTAGGGGTTAACATTCGCTGCCTGTTACATCTGTAGAATGAACCATCGAGACAGTCGTTTAATTCTCGTAATCATCGTAATCCTCGGTCGAAAAGTGTCGTAGCTAGCTGAAGAGGGCCATGAGCCCTAGCACACCTGATTTAGCATGTAACAACGGTGGCACGATCACGACTAGCGGTCGATGTCCATTGAATGGCCCTGATATGGGAGCACCACTGGTGACCAGAGCGTTTAAGGGGGTAGTCGAGCCGTCCGCCTAATATTTTGAGGGGTAGGACAAACCATCGCGTGCTCCGAGGAGCATCTCAGATTCTAATCTGACACTTCCGTCGTCATTTCCACAATTACCCCGACCCAGGGTGTACGTGTCCCAATGTCTGCCCTCTCGCGTTGCACCGTGTACCCTCGAATATACGACACGTATACGGCTGGCCGATCGCCGGTGTCTTTTCTGTGTGCGTGCGACGGCACCACAAAGGAAATTGGCCGACCTGGATGGACATCTGGCGCTAAACGTTAGATAACACGGACTATCGAACAGGTTGACCAGTAATTACCGTTGAAGGGGCCCTGTGCGCGGTTAGGCGAGTTGGTCGCGATGATAAGATGGAGGAGGAGTCGAGAACAGGGCTCGATTCTGCTTGGTAGGGTCTGCTCTTCAACTTCATCCAGTATTTCAGTTTTTTGTAATATTGAACTCTTTCAAAGTCTCAAGCAATGAGACTTTGTAACGTTTGATCCACAAAAGTGGATTCGAAACACAACTCTATTTTACAATTTTAATTTGAATTTCTACCAAACAAACAACAAAGTAATAGTTGTTTTATCTTCCACATCTAGATTCTTTTACCTACTTTTGAACGAATTCAATTCCCCAGCTGGAGAGTTATTAAAAACTATTAAAACCAGGAAGTAGATAGGACGATCGTTTACATATGCAAACTTTATTCGTTTACCTTTGCTAAATTCCCTCTGGAAGTCGTATACTATAAATGTGAAGGACGTCCATGTGTGCGATTCGCATAGCTCTGTGTTTTCGTTGTACAGTGACGTTTAATCGGCTATTACTAAATCATTCATCGAGAAATAAATACCCATCCGTTAAGAGGGTCGAGCACGGGTCGCCATCGTGCTCGTGTGAGATCTTAATTACCAGATAAATGGAAAAGCTTCTGATCGACGAACGAGAAAACGAATGTCCGCATGCGAGAATATTTATGACACTTTCTTGGAGAGAATTCTGTTGAATATGTAGATTCCGCGGCGTGGAACGATTCTTACGTGTAGAATTAAATACGAGCCTGAGGTGCGCAATATAATTCAACGTGAGAAAAGTTTGTTCCATTTTCTTACAACGACAGCTAGCTTACGATTAATCCGAAAGAAAGTTATCTTTAACGGGGTTAAAAAAAAACCCCACAAAAGAGCGTATAAAACAGCAAAAAGTGTACGAAAAGAATACCGATTATAAGTGGAAAATTGATAGTTCGGTACTCCTTCGGGAAAATATGTAATTTTTTATACATACCCTCAATCCTCGGCAGCGTGTAATTATCTGTATTTTAAGAATACCCCGTCCTCCTCTATAAATTCAATATTTTCGCGGATGCGACATCTGTAATTTTCATTGCAGGACTATACTTTACCGCGTTAGCTCCGTTAATACGCGGTATCGGTCGAAGGGGGCCATACGTTCCAGGAAAGTCGCACAATTTTTCCGTAAACGCACGGCAATCAAAACTTTAGACACGGACGAACGATGAAGGAGCGGGGTGGGGGGGGGGGGAGGGAGGGAGGGAGGGAGGGAGGGCACCTGTGAAAGGGCCAGTTAAACAAACACAGAAAAAGAAGAGCAAAGGGGAAGAAGATTGCGCGATTTTCTCGCGGCTTCGACGTTCCACTTTATTATCGGAGCACCGACGGGCCGTGCATTTTTCATGGGACAATTTCCTCTGCCGTGATGGGAGTCCATTATCCGACGCGTATCGCGTCGGTTCGAGCACGTACACGGACCAGAGATAACGATGAAAGTACCAGGACACGTTTCGAAAATGTTACGTACCGTACCGAGAACACGTGTAGATCGACGATAGTTGGACAATTAATTCAGAAATTAACCAGTCAATCGGGGAAATAACGGAGACGCCTTAACGACCGTGAACGTGCGAACACAATTATACGTAATTTAACTTGCGTTTCTTTGAAGATGATGTTTGGGCTTGCTTGTTTGGACATACTTTGTATAATGTTTTCGATTGAACGTGTGAGCCAGTTTAGGAGAGATATCTGGAAAACTATACGTATAAATTACATTTATATAGAATTACGATTGGTAAAGGTATCGATTACGATGCTTGATCGATGCCTAAGCTTCGTGTTGATGCTTAATAGGGACCATGCCCGACATACCAAACGACCCCAATTCCTTCCAGTGGCAAGATAAAATCTACGAAATGGTTCTCCCTTACGCACAGTGCACTTAAAATGACCCATCAACAGCTTTTCGACAGACTACACTTACTTTTCGTTACTCGACAATAATTTGGGCCAGCTTTCCGTTAACCGATGCGAGAGAGAACGCTAAAAGCAGCATTCGGGTTAAGGGAATCGATTTAAAACTACCGTGCAATTAGGAGTCCCAAGTGCATTCGATATATAATTATCCGCGTCTTTTGCGGTTCACATTTAGTATTCCCTGTTTATTCAGAAGCGAACAGATTACGGTGTTTCTTTGCGCATTAAGGAAATTTCGTCCTTAACTTGATAATGTCAATGGAATCTTGTACTTGTGATTATGAGGGGGAATTTTTTTTTGTATTGTTTACATTATAGTACCGCTTTGCATCACATTAACCAAGAACTGGGTAATGATAGAAATGAAGAATCTCTAGGAAACTATAGTACCTTCCACTATAACCATACAACGCATGGATTTGACTATTTTCGCCTCGGTTAAGAAGAAAAGGAAGACGGCGCAATAATGGCCGCTGATGACGATCGTTTACATGCGCTCGTGATCGTCCCCGAGCACAGTCAGAATTTAAATACGCTCTTCAGGTTTCCACCTTAAAGAACCCCAGGGTGAGAACTCGAGCCAGCAGCTCGCGATTCGCCGCACCGGAGGTCGTTGCACGACGGCCAACGTTATTAAAATAAATTCATTAAGCCGAAACCGTGATCGTGTTCAAGGCACGGGCGGATTCGCAAGAAATACCGGCGTAGTATGTGCTCGGCGTGCAATTATATTGTCATTAGTGACGTCACAACACGCAGGGTCTCTTTGTCGGCCGCATTTGTACGTCGTTCAGCGAGATTCATCTGGACGGAGATAATCCACCTCGCCACCCCGTGGTCCTTGATTATCGAACGCCTGCAACGCGCTGCACACGAGGTATCGTTACGGCGAAGACATATTTTACGACGCTGTTCGATTATTGTAGCTTGATTTCAATTTTGTGGGATTCTTATTGTTGCGAAGTCTTTGGAAAATATTATGATTAAAGCTGATTTAGGGGTTAGGGGTATTTGTGAGGTTGGACAAAGATATTCGCGTATTTTTTACTATGGTTGGTTGATATATTTTGGAAATCAGTATTTATTTATTCCAAAAAATATATATACTTAGGGGTATAACGCAAAAATTTTCATCCAAAAATATTAAAAATTCTTGAAGACATGAATGATCTACTAGAAGAGTAATCAAAAAAAAGAAAACAAGGTTGACGGTAACCGATAATCGGTAAAACTAGTACTCAATTGCCTGGAACGCCACGATATTTATTCAAGAATTTGTTACAGGAAACCTTGATTATTTATGAAATCATTGGAATTTTTCAGGAGAAGCAATCGTCAATCTTGAAGACGGTAATAACGAAACTGAAGTCTGTCATTGATGCGGGTAAAATGGCTGCAGAAGCGATCAGGGCTGAAGCGTATGCTATAAATGTTCGAAGGCATCGAGCTCTCTCACGACCAGGGACGAATCAAGGCGTGAGCTGTATGAGCTACTAGGGCCTCAGCTGGACGGTCTGCAGATATTAATTTAAGGTATGTAATCCAATGATTTCGAGCACAAGCATGATTTGTATCGAGAGCCTTCCTCAATTTAACAAAATATTTAATCGAAAAGCAAACCCTTTATCATCGAAGACTACATAATATCCATAGTTCAGGGTGTCGAAGAGTCTTGCTCTTCCCTGAGCCCCTGGTTTCACGGTGTCACCGACACCGATCCGCTCGATCGTAATTGAACGATCAATTCAATCTTCTCGCGCGGTCGTTAGGGAGGGTAGCATGATTCAATGAAAGTTTTTAATATCGTAAATCGCGTGGAAACCGCTCGCGGTCCGGTAGGCGCCGCGATAAACAAAGAATTTGAAATTCAAATTCGACACGCGTTAAAAGCCGCGCGTCGCGCGTCTCCCTGGTTATACTCACTATCCTCGCTCTAAAGAGCCCGTTAGTGCGTCTAATTCGACTCGTTTTGGCCGAAACGATCGCCTTTACGATCGCGATATCCCCTGATCGCTCTCTGACCGGTCGTCGAGAAACCCAACGGAGGCTCCAATGATAATTCCGCGCGACAGCGAGGCCGCGACCGAGGAAACCCGCGCGAAGCCATGAAATTATGCAAATGCACGCCGCTGCAAGGTGTTTGGATAATTGCGTACACCGTCGGCTCGCGCAGCCCTTACTTAAAATCACATCAGCGCCGCTTCGGCCCAATGACTTTCGAGTTGGCTCTTTCATCTCCCTCTTTCACTCATCAGGGTCACCGGCCCATAACGCACGCGTCCTTCCTCCGTTTATTACGCTTTTTGTCGCCGCAGTGGCATCCCGTAATTGCGACCCGATTAGGAAAAGGGTGGACGACCCCGCGTCGATTTCCGTCTTCGGCGCCGGCCATTTTCTGCGGCGCCTTCGCGAAGGGCTATTATTTAAGAGGAATACACGGGATATTCAAGGTGTCCTGCCGCGGCGTTCTCGCATATTTTGACGATTATGTGTCATCTTTATTTAGAAATTATACCGAGGGATGGTGAACTGGGTCTGCTGGACACTTGGGTGGTCTCGAAAGAGAGAAAGATACAGACGTGTAGAGTTTCACGATGAGTGGTACGAATAAAACTGATTTTCAGTGTAGAAATTCGTTGAAAAGAAGGAATAAGAATTGTTTGTATGGGGGCTTTGTTTTTGAATGGGTCGAGTTTGATATGCAGTTAACTATTCAGAATATCGTTAAGGGTGAAATGGTACTTACTTTCGTTTTGCTTCCCCCGATGCTTCCTGGTCGAATGCTCCCCGTCTCGTAGAATCTCGTCAGGATCTTCGATACACATCCGTGAGAGACGAGAAGCTGTCTCGAGATGTCGCAAGGTCTGACACCGACCAAAGCGAGTTGCACTATTCTTTGCCGAACGCAGTCGGGCAACGGTCTTCCGTTAACAAAGACACCACCCAATTGATTAACGCCTGCTTGACCTGCAACAACAAATAATACATTTGTACAAACATTTTTGGTTAGCTATCTTCGACAAGTTTCATGTTATATTCGGTTAGGTTATTGTCGATCAACTCTATTCATGGTGTAAATCGTATGTTTTGGGTAAAATTGCTACTATTGAGATTGAAAGAAGCTTCTTATTTAGAGAAAAGTCAGAGAAAACAATTTCGTCGGTACGATAAGGTAATGCAAAATTAATTCTGTTTATTTGCAATATTTAATGACCTCGGTGATCACGAATGACATCACGCAATAGAGCATACAATGAATAATGCATTAATGTAATTCCCAGTAACATTAGTAAGCTTTTTTCTTTCCCAAATAAACACGTTCAGGCTCGTATGCACCAATGGTCACACGAGAATGTGCAATATTGCAAGCAGGGTATAATAAATCTTGACTTCTTTATTGTTCCTTCTTGTTAGGTGTTTTTAACACTCAAGCATGTAAAGCTCCAAGAATAATAGAAAATAGAAGGTGGGATCATTAAATTACTATTATTGCGACAAAAGAGAATTAAAATTGGTTATCACAGAAATGATTTTACTTGATGAATAGATCTAGTATATAAAAATACGAATTTGCATGAACATCCATAGTCAGTCCACAACAAACCACCGTAATCAGACCTGAGGTCAAAATATCGACTCGATCTCCAAAGAAATGAAAGAGACGGAGGAGCAGAGGTCCCCCGGTAATTTTATTTCGCGTCGAGTGCGTGAAAAATGGTTAAAACCCGTAATTTCGGGGATCGGAGAAACATCTTAAAATTAGCGGAAAACGATTTCGACCAACTTGGTCGTTCCTCTTTCTGTTCGGTCACTGTTGCCCGACATCCGCAGGGCGGAACGTGGAATAGTAATTATACGTCTCCGTTTTCCGACGAGACGCATGCAAGAATGTCAGGCGATTTTTGTCCGAGGACATCCCACTTACCAATGTTATTAGAGGCCACGAAAAAAAGCATCTGCTCTCTGCTCCTCCTTAAACCGTGGTACGAGCTATTAGCAGATTATTTCTATTTTCGTGTTCTCGGTGCCCCGAAACAGAGCACACCTGCATTTCTACCATACCTTCAATCATTTCGTTACTTCGAGCTAATCGTTTAAGTTGGGTAATGTCGGACTGCACGCTCGGTCATAGAGCACTTGAATTATCAAAATTGCAAAGGGACAATACTCTTCTCACCCTGGAGGATTTTTATATAAATCTATAAATCTATATATTTCTAATAATAATCTTCATGTTTATTCGTATCTGTATTGCTTCTTCAGTTTCCACGTAAGGTCAGTCAAGTTTACCACTAATTCAATTGAAAAAGAATTGGTCCGATAAGTACACCAATTTCCTCTGTGCATGATCGGGAATGAAATTAGTGCATCCTGTACGACTAGAGTATAATTTTACAAATCAAGAAGTTATCGTAAAATTGTATCATTTCCTAGCGGAAGTCCAAGAGCTGCTTGCCACTTATGGCAAAAAGATGCACCTCGAGGACATTTAATATCGATACACACGGTATGAAGAAATTCAACGTGAATTCTCATTCGAAGCTGTTTCAGTTCTATTTCCATCAATTCTCTATCCTGTTTCGCTTATTTTTATCATAAACATACAACTGTTTATGCGCCATCTTGTCTTCTGATGCACAGCTGTTTAAAGCGTAAAGGGTAATTTAGTGATCGATAAAATTATCGCGCCAAGATCAAAAGAAGCCCAAGAGACCCATTGGCCAATAAAAATTCGGAATGTCACACGAATATCCGTTTCACGAATAAAAATTCGATTGATCTTGAAACGTTAAAGATTCCTTAAGGCTGGGCAGCTGTTCACCACTCCGAACAACTGTTTCTCGTAATTCTTCCGATTTGTGGAGTATTTGAACAGTTACGATCTGTGCGTAGAAGTGACAAGCGGCAGTAAAAGATAGAATAACTCAAGTTTATAAACATTTACGGATAGACGGCAGCTTGGTGGATTCTTATATGTGCAATTTATTCGATGTAATGCATATAAATGTTTAAAAAAAAGCAAATAGTGGGATCGGAGAAATCAACACCTCGCGTTATTTATTATTTACCATTTGAAAAGAAAAGAAATGAAAAGAAGTTTGTCTCTAGTCCAACAGTGCTTGAGTAGAAATTTCCACCAAGTTTCGTTTCTTCGGTAATAATTATGCCGTTAAGTAATCGTCGGCTACCGAGACGATTGGAGAATTAGGGGACTTCTCTGCGATCGGTAAGCTACAGGAGGATTTATGGGAGAGTTAATACCCTCTCGTGGATCCCACGAACGGGCCTTTTCTCCTTGCGGAAGCTGACGGCAGCGCTCGTAGGACGACGACGGGCCCAAAAGTGGCGTAACTCAAATTTTATTCCGTGGTTTAATGCCTGTCGGCCACGACCTATCTGGCCGCGCGATTATCAGCCCGTGGATATAAAATCGGTGATCGATTGACGTTTTTATTCCGAGCATTACGATTTTACGATTCCCCGAGCCACAGGCGAAAAATTCGAGAAACATCGCGCCATTAGGCTTTTATCGTGTCCACGTCGGGTAGCGATTCGAGTGATGCAATTAGGCGTCGATTATACTCGAACAATTTCGTTGTGAAGTACTTAATACCAAACAGGAGATCTCAGGTTTGATCTTCCAGTTGAAATTTTGTATATGTTTCTATTTGTACAAAATATTATTACGAACTCTTCTTCCAAGTAGATCGCAGTAATAACGATATACAACCATTAATTACTTCTTGATCTGCTTCTAAGAAGAGATTTCACCAAATAACACATCCACTGCTTTTTCGGAAACATTCCAAGTCCTGAGAAGCACCAATAAAATAAAATATAAAATTCACCCTTGAAACATTTGGCTCCTTTTCAAGCGTTGCCGAGAATTTATCAAGAAACTCTTTCGTTAATTATATATTCATCGATTGAAAAACAATTATAGGTTTTATCGATCGCGCTTAAGTATTCAGTGAATACCTCCAAAATTTATGTTTAAATGTGATTTAATTAACCTGTTACGTATGGTTGCATTCATTCAGAAAATTTATATTCCAATAAAACTTTCGTTCCATTAACGTTTTCGAGCTGTATTTTCAGCGATAGGCAACTTGTAACTTTTACACTGTGGCCGGAGATAAAATGCAGGAGGAACGTTAACGAAACGAGCGTTTCATTAAAATTGTTTATAACCCGAATTGGCCGGGCGAAACGAGTCGATCGAGTCAGCTTTATACACAAATTTCGGTAAACGTGCCACGATTTAAAGTCGACGATGCAATTATAGATAATAATTACGTTCCTCTTGCCGTGTTTAATCAAATTACACAGTCATTTTTTTTTTTTTTTGATCTCAAAGTTATATTTCTTGGGTGAAAATGGTACGATTAGACTGTGGACATTTATGCATTTATGGCAAGTATAAATGTACGAACGCATAAATATGTCAAATACGAAACATCTGTTCTACATCTGTTTGTATAAAAATACGAATTTGTACAGCCGCTCACAATCTAGTTAAAAGGCTTAAAAAGATTGTAGATAATAAAAGGACCATGTACGAAGAGAATCTCCTCAGCGGATGATTTAAGGTTTTCCCATGACAGCGGCGACAAACTTTTCGGCACGTTATTACGCATACATTACATGCAAAAGGGGAGAAATTCTCGCGTGTCGATCCCTCGTTACTCATCGGCGATATCCGACAGCGAAATAACGATTTATTCGGGTTTATCGGCAATTATTATTTCGCCTTAAAAATCACCGTCGTCGAGTAGCGCATGTGTCCTCCTCGTCTCCTCCTTTTTTTTTCCTCCCCCCCCCCCACTCTCCCTTTAATTTTGGGCGCTACACGGCAAGAAGAGAGTCGCTTCCTGTTTCATGCTGAAACTTTCAGCCTCCCGAGGATCGAAAATTACACGTGGCCAGAAAAGCGACAGACCGTACGCGACCGCGGGCCAAATTATTATTACGGCAAAAAACGAAGCAGGAAGTTGTCTCCTTATCTGTGTAAAAATCTCCGACCGAAACGCGAAATTGCGCGAATAAATGTCGGATTCCCGCGATTCTCTTCCACGACCGATGGCGAAGAGGGCGAAGGTGCAAATTTATCGGGCGTGGAGATCGCTTGGACAAATTCGGGAACGGTTGGACGGAATTCGTTAGGTTCGAATGGAGAATTGTCCACGTGCCGACGGATGAGTGTCAGGTAAACTGGTGTGTATGAGTCTTTTAGTTCTTTGGTAATTAAGCAGATGTATCCAAATTAAAAATTGTTGGTGTGTAATAGAGACAGTTTTTATTTCAGTGGGACCTTCCATACCGAAGCAATTTCTATCTGTAATTAAAATGGAACTGTCGACCTAGATATTTACGCTAGAAAACATCGAACGTAACGATATCCCCCGTAAATTTCTCCTCTACATTAATTATCATCAAGAAACAAAAGTAATTTTCCCCATGCCACGTGAAACTCCTATCTCCGCGATCCTCGAGTGGCAATCAATTAAAAAATTGGCTCTTATCGGCAATTAACCGTTAACTTTAATTACTCGTACGCCAGAGGAGCTTTCCTCCATGGATCGAGTTTGGTTGATAAGGACAGGAGCGGATCGAAAGGGAACCAGAGCTCCGATACGAAAAAATAAAATCCCGAACGAAATCCTGTTGGGCGCATACCGACACGTAACCGCCATATTGGCCATCAAATTGCGCGGTAGGAAAAATATTTATGCGACGCAGGCTGTATCTCTGGATACATAATAATGGTTAGCTTAGAATTAGCGAACTAATGCGGGCCAACGGGCGATCGCAATCGCGCTTGCCATTTAGGCTCTATCCAAACTACACACCTGCCCTACCTGTAATCACGATCCATCTACGCTAACAGATTTTTTTCTCTCTCTTCTCGGCGCGCACGAGAGGGGACACGCGACGCAACCCGAGTCGATCCCGAATCGCATGTATCCCGTAATTGAAACGTACGATCGATATTTAACCCCGCCGATATCGCTCGCGACGATGCAGCAACGTGTTAACAGCTAATTGGCTCGTTAATCGGGCCAATTTTTTCGTCTGGTCCCTCCTTCGACGACGATCGCGCGACTCCGAGCCAGGGCTGGGTATTGTAGTTAAGTTAGTTTATATTTCAGTTATTTCAACTGAACGGTTATCGATTGTGCGTTGTTTAGTAAAAATATCGTAATTGCGGAAATATTCATTGGGCATGTCAGGTTTTAAATTGTAAATGAACAGAAATGTTGTTGAGCAGGCGAGGCATACTCTTGGAAATGTACGATTTAATTAGTACATTTATTATGATATTGTTCTATTTAAGTATTCGCTACAATTCGATTTACAATTCAGAAATTATTTGAGTAAGATAGCAACAGTCGAGTATTCAGATAATACTCGAGTAGCCAAATATTCGAATAAAACTCGTATAGGCAACCACTGAAATATTCAAATGAGACTGTTACAATTATAACACATACTCGAGTTACGTGAATGGAACACACAACTTCTCATAATGTTCGAGTATTGGGGTGCAGAAAAAGTTGGAGATGCAGAACCCTCCAGTCCTAATTGAGAATACGGTTGAAACATTGTGCCACAGGTCCGCGGTAAATGAAGCACGAAGGATAAGAAAGAGCGCGAGGGGCCCGAAGGGGGGGGGGGGGGGGGGGGGGGGGGGGGGTGGGGGGTGGACAGTGCGATGTAATTAAAGTCGTTTAATAACAGGTCTATAGATCTTGGCTCTCGATCCGCCGTATAAAATTCTTCGTTAATTACTGTCAAAGTGACTTCCAAATCGTAATTTACCTGACGCCTCGAGCCAATCGTTCCGAGGAGTGGATACGGTCCGCGAAAGAAGGACGGTAAACACGGGCTGGGTAGAGAAAGCGAGAGGAACAGAGCGAAATGGAGAACCAGAAGGATGAGGGGGAGCAAGGGGAGGCGGAGTGATTTTAATTTTTACTGTCGATCGGGCCGGAACGACTCGTCTTCTGATCTCGCCGACGGTAGCTGACCTCGTGCTAAATGTCCGAGAAACGATAACGACGGGCCGCGTCGTTGCATAAATCAGAAAGCAGGTACTGGCAACGGCTATCAGCCCCGCTGCTGTTCTGTTAGCGACGTTAATATTTTTCGGAACGGTGACGATACCTCGAATCCTATTTGCGCGGTATGAATTCTAATGGGAGTGCTCTCTCGATCGATATAGCGGGAAGAAAAAGTTTGTATCAAGATGGATTAGTGAATGGTATGTCTGAAAATTGTGCTACGAGTCAAATAACAGTTGTCGAATAGAGTAATAGTCGAATAAGACTTTTACAGTCAAGTATTCGTGTAAGAGTCGAGTAGTGAATCATCTGAATACGATTCGAATAAGACCAATTGTTAAGTCTTTCAATAAGACTCGAGCAGCCGGACACTCTAACGGCACAAAAAGAATAAGACGCATTAACGATAAATGTGTAACAAAAGCGATCCACCATATCATCTAACTAATTTACAGTAGTATCTCCCGCGATAAATAATACATTCCAATATCTACAATCTTTGATTTCCTAATTATTACCGGAATTTACATGTTTGAAAAATACTTATAATTCAATAAAACAAAAGTAACGGAACCAAGGTATATAAATAATACGGAAGGAAGCTCAATCGAGTCCCAAGAATTTTCTTCAAGTCAAAATCACGAGGCTGTTTATCATATAAAAAAAAAAAAAAAAAAAAAAGAACAGAAACGAATCACAACATACCTTCCGAAACAAATAAACTTTATCGTCGCAACTATTCATGAATTTACACGTTTAACTTTTCGTATATTTTATTCGTAATTTTTCGCGGACTCACCTGTATGCGGCATATTGATCCAAGGATTTCTCCGATAACCTGAAACAAAAATGAGAGACTCATTAACGAATGTAGATCACTGCAAAAATCGTCGACTGATCCCTCGAAGCACGCAATTATTGCGACTCGACGGTGTTTAGAGCATAACGACGTCCATATTTTGCACGTACACACACAGAGAGGTGTGCAACTCGGTGTGCGCGCACGGCGCAGTTTACGGGAACGTAGCCTTTACTGTTAATGAATTTAAATGTATTCAAAGGGCGCGCTTGACGCTTGACATGGCAACCCTTAAATATGCAACCGTACCACGCGGCAAAATATTACTAACAGCGGACCCGTGACTCTCATTCCGCCAAAATGACGCAACTCGAGAGCCATGGGTGTCCGTCGCACCCTGATTGCGATATGCTATTTTTATTTTGCAAAGAAAATATAGGAAAGAGTATGGGGAGACGATTCACAAATTATCCCCTATCGAGGCCATTTGACTAAAGTGTGTCATCAAAAGGATAATTCGCATCCTCTATCCATTGATTTTTCGAGACCAGGATTCTATCGAACAAACATGTTTCACGTCTGCATAGTGTCCAACTCTCCACCGATAATGCCCGTTGGTCATTCGAGAGCATCTGGACAGAAATGTGACACCAGGAGTAGAAAACGAGTGGGTGCGGAACGACTTGAGAACTCCAAAGAGATCTAGCGTGAGCGGAAAACTACGTGGAATGCGTGCGTAGCGTGGCGGGTGGCGTGTACTTTGTGATGCAAATTAATGCGCGATTACCAAACCGCCCCTAACCCCGGCAGCCCCTTCTCCTCGTTACCCTTGCTTCGTTCGTGTCGTGGCCTCCGTGGCCACCAGCAAATGGCCGCGCGGCTGTGTTGGTGGCTGCGTACCACAGTTTCAGGTGTATTTCTCCGCTACGTGCAATGAGCACGGGTACGCCACCCTCCAACCCCAGCCACTCGATGCCTACCCACGCATTAAGCCTGGTTACACGCTCGCCCCCCGCTGCCTTAATCTGATGTAACTATTACACGTTACGCGGTGCACGGTCGCGGCATCGACGGAATATTCGCGGCACTTTTCTATTGACGATTCATTCGTTCGATAATCATTTGCTTGGTAGATCATGTCGAGAAAAGTAACGATGCGTGTTCCTCGGGTTGAGACGATTTGGGAGCTTGTACCCCAAGGAGCTTGTTGGGAGCTAGGCTGACAGAATTAGCTTATATTACGAGCAAAAAACAGACGATATTTTAAAATCATTTTACAATTCAAGACATTTTCACTCAAAGTATTACACACAAGGAGTTTCGTACGTGGAACGCTAGCAACGCTTATTTATTATTTGCTAATTCAAAAGCAGACCTAACCCCAAGCCTCCTTTGGAAAATCCTTACATATCTACCTAACAAAGTTACTCAAACAAAATAAACAAATAAAGTGAAGTATACCGATGGAATATTGACAAAAGTGTGATAAAATTGCACCTGGAACAGGAATGGAGACCGGCAAGTCCCGTCCAGTATCGCTAGTACCAGTGAAAATTCAAGGTGCGCGCAAGAAGTCGAGAATGTCGTATATAAGCGTCCCCGCAAGAAAACGACCACTTTTGCCCCGCGTCCGTGCAAAGACCTGGAAAATCGACGGCGCAAAGTTATTACGGCCGTGGCTGTATCACGAAAAACTCGATCCGGCTGTATATGGCGTTTGTAAAGTTCGCGGACACTAAAATTCCGTCACGAAGCGCTTTCAAGGTGTCAAGCGGTACTCGTTAAAGCTGCCAGCGGCACGAAACGCAGTCCCCCCCTTTTTTTTTTCACCGTGTAAAGGATCGTACGACTTGGGCGTTGACAAAGAAGAGCACGAACTGGTGGTCAATTGCTCGGACGTTATTTTAATTAAATTGGCGAAATTCCCTTATGGGAGAGCCCTGATGTGGGATTTTCAGGTGAACAGGCTGGATGACTTAGGAATGGTAAATCAAAGGAGGTAGTGATTCTTGATGCAAAGATACACTGAAAATATAGAATGAGATTTTTGTATCTTTGTATTTTTAAATAAAAAAAAGTGTCCAGAAAATCCTCAGGGGCTGTAACTGAGTTTGGTCTCAGCTACAGTACGGGTTTGGCGAACCCGAGGTACCCGAGCTCCTTGTAGGAGTACTGCGCTTTGCTGTTGGGCCTACTACTCTAGCAGGGGTAGTATATACCACATGAGAGGGAAACAAAGCATGGAAATATATTTTATAAAGAATAGTCTTGTAAGTAATAAAATATCATATCTAGATCAAATATCATAGAATAAAAATGAAACAGGATTATATAGCTTTAACATTGCTACAAAAAAATAGTCGAAAAAGTAGTCTCGGCTCACTTGAATTGCTTCCATCGAAGGTAGACCTAAAACTACTTCCATTTCAAAAATAATCGAGCAGTCCAATTCCAGTTTCCTCCAATTCATCGGCAGCCTCAAGCATTTCTAGGAAGACCAGAGAAGAACGATCGTTTTTTTCGCGAAACAAGGCGGATTAGGTTTGACCCGACTCGGGGACGATCGGAAATCCCATCGGGACTCTCGTCGAGCCTCGTCCGCAATAAAATATCTCCGTAATGAGGATTGAACGATTATTATAAATCAAACGGGCCCGCAACGCGGATCGTTCGCCGCATTTCTCGCGCGCCACGTGTTTTGCCGGTGTTACTCTCTCGTGAACACGTGTCCCGCCTCTCGCTTTACTTCTTTCTTCATTCTGTCCTCCACGCAAACGGCGGTACGTGCAAAAGTGACGTACGAACCGAACGCTCGCGACACGGTGAATTTTTCTCTTTCGTTGCGCCGGGACCGCGCGGGTAACTTCTTTTGGCCACGCTATGATCCCGATGTTTCAATTACATCGGTTCGGTGAAAGTCGCGCTTAACACCGGGCGGATGCTTTCACGGACGAAAAGAAGCCGCGGGGGAATGCGTAGAAATCAACAATTTATTTTGAAGTCGTCGTGTACAGTAACGATGTGGTAGATCGTAAGTAGACTGCGGATGTTTATGACAAACGTGAATACACAAATTAAACAAGGATGTGAACAAATGCGTGAATATATAAAATATAAAAAGTAAACTACACGTCACAACAAAAGCTTTGCTACGTTTACGATCATAAAATTAGGTCGCGCCGAATATCTGCAGCTGAACGCTCTCCTATGCTGGCATCGATGTCACTTTAACTGCGCGATGTTCCTGACTTTTTGGGCTACCGTAATCATCCGCGATGCGTTACATTCCGTATAAATATTTACTATTGACGCAACGGGCTAAAATTGGTCAAGTTTCGAATCGTTACAACGACCAGAAAACAACAACAAATAAAGAAAACTTGATTGGGGGATACTCGTACGTTTACAACTGCCATATATCACGAGAACAAAAAATTGAACGTATCTTTTTTCGGTTCAATTTCTACTCTCGTCAACAACCTAACTGACTTTGACAGTTACAAAAAACATTTACGATATTTTTTCCCGTGTCGGTTCACGTTTCGGGATGTTATTTAGTCGTGGCTGAGCCTTCGCAGTACATAGTTTATCTTCGAAGAATCTCTTTATTTGATATATATATATATCATCCGTTACGATTCGTTAGGACGAAATTGTAGAATCCTCTGTAACCCGCTTCATAATTCTTGGAAAACGCTCTATAACCTACCAGAGATATTTCATAACTGAAAGACTATTCCAAAGAATCTAGTCAGCCCTAAACAAGTCCGTTCTCCTTTTTGCCTCCGCAATTTTCATTTCCCAAGCGAAACGAGCGTCGAATGAAAATGTCCGTGGAAAAGGTCGAGCAGCGAGCGTGTGCAATAAAACCTGCCGGCGTTTTCCTCGCCGATCGAATCGTCGATAGTAGAAAACGTTCGGTCGCTGTAGTAAAGCGGGGTTAATTCCTGTCGGGCTCCACACCTCGCGTTCTTTTCCACGTTCCTGAGAGGAAGGCTCGACTTGAGAACCGCGGCGGCAAATCGCCGGTAAGGTCACGCTTTTACGTGTAAGCCCTAAGCGAAATCTAGTTTTTGTTTATTCATTAGGTTACCCCGCGCTTTAAGTGGTACGTGGAGAAGGCTTGCCCGACACAGCGAACGGGGACGGAGGGGGTGGAACGCCGTATCTCCGATATGCCACCAGCCATAAAAATCTGAATATATTAGGCGTACATGCACACGACATCTCGGTCGGATCGTGAACACGTTACCCACGATAATCTATGCTCGTTTCTAGCACACTTTAACACGTTTCTGCGTACACACTGGCCGCCAGCCACTGCGCCACCGTGTCTAGTTTCTTCTTCCCTCTTTTGGGCTCCCCCTGCCGAGTGTAGGCTCTTATCATTCGCCTCGCGACGGCTCCACTCGATATTTAGAAAGATGGGAAACTCTACAAACAGGCGGATTTCACTCGGATTTGAATTTTCAGTAATCGTTAATTTTTGTGGGTAATGTTTGATGGAAAGGTCTCGAAGAGGTTGAGCTCCTTCCTAGTCAGTTCCTTTCTTAAAAGAACATACCGAGAGATGTACACATTTCCCCATCTTTCTATTCACCATAAATGCGTAAACTGCCTCGGTCTAACAATTACCCCTCAAACAATTTCCCTTCCGAACGACAACCTAAACTCCCTCCAGAGAACATGACATCGATCTGCGTGAGGTCCTTGAAAAAAAAAAATATTTTCCTATCACGTATCCAATCTTCAGTCCACCGTATCGTGCCATGGGTATATTTTTTTTTCTCTCGCCATTTTCAAGGTTACGCGAGACATCGACGGAATCTCGAGTTTTCCGCGACGGATATCGAAGGCTCAGGTCGGGGTAGGCTTTGGAGAGCAAAGCGGCGAAGCAACGAGCAAAAAGGGGCGACCAGGGGACTGGTGGGGGGTAATTAGAATAATTCGGGCCGCTGTGGTTCACGCCACACGGACGAATTTGCATTTTAAATGAAGCAATGGCGTGTCAGAGGCCCCCGGTACGCTGGCCAGGAGAGCGGCAGAACTTTGTGTTTTATAAGGAACTTTAATATTTATCGCGTATATCCAAACCGAATAACCGTGTATATATACGCGTGTACACACAGGGACGCGTGTGTCGCGTGTGTTTGTGTAGGTGTATATCCAGGGCTTCCTTCCTTCGAACGCAGTCACGGGCGGTTCGATCCGTTCATGCTCGACGTTCTTCCTTTCTTCTTTCACCCGTGGAACCTAACCGAAGGTTCTGCAGCCCGAGATCCCTAACGGTGGATCGTTATCGCGTAATTAGCGCCGCTGATTTTCGTGTTATGTTATTGACACGCATGCGACCTGGACGATGATACCTTTCATTTTGGGTTATCAAGGCTGCAGGAGGGGGAGGAGGGAAGGTACCTTTTGTGGTTAGGCGAGAAAAAGGCAGAACAATCTCGTACCGTGACTAACACCGAACCTACGGCTTGTTGCTTGCGAATATATTTATTATTTCTATCCACTTCATTTAGTAAATTCATTATTTGTAGAATTTTGGCTGAAATCTTTTGCCCGCGAACGTTGCCTTTGGCTTATTTATGCAATTGCAAATCGTCACCATTTGCCAACAACAAAATTTTTGATTTGCAATTAAGGAACCTATTAAATATCAGAGTTTTGACTTCGTGTATCCTATTTCAAGTTTTTATATATTTATTTACAATCATTTGGACTTCGCCTTGGCAAGCTTTCTCTCAGTTTAGCCACAGTAAATATTATAGTATACCGAAGGTCAGTTGCAAAATTTAAATAGCATTTCTCAGAATAATTTGACTTAAACCTATGCGAATAACTTTAGCGATCGATAGTCCAATAAGTGATACGGGTTATACATTCGACAGAAATATCGTAGACTTTTCGTTCCTAGTAGTGATTGCTATTAAAAGCGTAAACACTAATTAAACGCGGGTTTGATCATCCTTGATATCGAAATTCGTTCTGAATTATCCACAAACACAATGTCAAGATTATATGTGCAAGATATGCGAAATATTGTCAATCAAAATTTGCATTGAAAATGTACAAGTAGACACAAGCAAGTTTCAATAAGGGTGCACATTAACACGTTGACTGCGACAGGACTCTTCAAGATTCAATCAAGATTCAATATGTTTCTAAAAAAAGATCTTACTTCTCGATCTTGATTTTTTCTTCTCCTCCATAAAACTATCTATTCATATCTACATTGATACACTATGAATTTCATCCTACCTGCGCAAATATGGCAAGTAAATAAACTTCAACTCATCTCCAACTCTCCAGTCAACGTCTTACAAAAGCAACCCCAATTGGATTAAAAAAAAAAGGAAAGAAAGAAAGAGAGAAAGAAAGAAAGAAAGAAAGAAAGAAAGAAAGAAAGAAAGAAAGAAAGAAAGAAAGAAAGAAAGAAAGAAAGAAAGAAAGAAAGAAAGAAAGAAAGAAAAAGCACCATACCTGTTGATTTTTCTCTTAGCGGGCTCCAATTCTTTCCGTGCGTATTCGTTTCCAATCTTCCAATCTTCTTCCCTCGTCGCGGTTAGAAGAAGCCGTTCGCCCTGACAGTTCCCGTCGATCCTGGCTCCCTAATCTTCGGATCGCTCGATCTCCAACGACGTCCTAATTCTTCGGGCACGATCCTCCGTGACACTTTTGCGGCGTTTCGGCGCCCGGGTGAAGCGATTCCGCTTTCACGGCAACGAGATGCAAATGCGCGGGAAGAAGGTGAAACCAGACTCTATAATGATACACCTACGATAGAGTTTCTCTCTGGAACACACTGTCGGAAGGCGACCTCGTCGATTGTTCCTCTAATGACTCTTCGATCGACACTGTTCCGTAAGACGCGGACGAAATGTCATCCTCGAGCGTTTTTCGATGGAGAACGTCAGGTCGCCGTCAGGTCGTCTCCTTCCTTCTGCGAGAGTCCATTACTTCGACACTGATACTCAAGATTTTGTGAATCTATGTATCTTCTGTCGGGAGGTTCTTAACTGCTCTAGCGTAATTGCTTAAGGTTTCTTGGGATAGACTATAAGTTACACTTCTAGCTTGCGTGTCAAGGCTCACTCTGTCAACTTTTCCAGGTGTCAACAGCGTTTGAAACTCCTCTTCTAGGTGTCGATAGCGTTCGAAGTTTCTTTTCCAGGTGTCGATAGAGCTCGAAACTCCTTTTCCAGATGTCGATAGCTTTTGAAACTCTTTTTCTACGTGTCAATAGCGCTTGAACCTCCTTTTCCAAAAGTCAATAGCATTTGAACCTCTTTTTCTAGGTGTCAATAGCGTCCAAAGCTCGTTTTGTAGGTGCCAACAGCATTCAGATCTTCCTCTCCAAGTGTCAACACTCTCTTCCAGTTGTCATTCGCCAGAAACTCCTACTGTCGCACCTTAGGTACACTTCCTGCGCAAGCACCTTCTTCACAGTTCCTTTCCGATTCGGTGCTTCTTTCCAATATATAGATTCACAGAATACCTGAGAACCTCCCCCTTTGAGGGTGTCTCGCGGCCGATCGAAAACGAGGGATCGTCGATCGATCGTGGTTCCCCTGGACCGTTCAACTTCACTTGGCGCGACGCCGGTTGTCCGAGCCCCAGTGGTTACGGCGTGTCTTCTCGGACCTCCTCCAGGCCCCTAGGCACCTCGTGCGCGCGTGCAGCTACTCCTGGTAGCCGTCGGAGTGGCAGGTCCGCGCGACGAGGGCAAACGCGCTGGACGACTGCGGTTGGCCGCCGAACGTGCAACGAGAGGGACGCGAGGAGGGAGGAAGAACGACGCCAAAAGGTAGGAAAGAAGTTCAACTGGCCAGACAGAGACAGGAGGGTAGGGAGCAGCGGAGGCGGAGGTAGGGAACCTTAGAGGGGGAGGGAGAGATGTTAGGATGATGAAGCTGGTGTCAGGAAGAGGATAGGGTAGAGTTTCTATTCCAACAGGAAATGAGCGAGATCTAAGTTACTCTAACTGGACTCCTCGTGTACTCATTGTGAAATATCGTAATTAGTCGTCTGATCTACCGAGGTTGCAATTTTTGAAGAGTAGAAGGGTGTCTAGCTTTCATTTCCCATTAGAAATGTTGGTGTTCGTAGAACCGAAGGGTAACGCTCCCAGGAGAGCGAAGAAGGATGGATGCGGAGATGACCAGGACGAGCTGATGTGGACCACGCGGAGGACACGACGTGTCTGAAGTGGGCTCGGCCCGCGAGCCGGGGGTTACGGGCTTTGCTTTCGATTTGGTCCCCCTGACTCTCTGCCACGAGCGATCCACGCTTCGGTCGTGGTGCCTGTTCATGCAGAAACTCCTACGTGTGCGTCGACGCCGAGGAGCGAGCCCTGTGCGCGTTTCGGCCGGGACCAGCGCGAAGGGAAGAGAGGGGAAGGTGACGGTAGCGTGTCGTCGCGTGCTGAACATCGAGTCGGGGCTGCCCCTATGGCCCGTGGCCCACCTTGCCCACGGCCGTGGCCCCTGCGAACAGGACCTCCGTCTCTCTCTATCCTCTCGACGTCGTCCTGCGAGCTTTACCGCTTCCACGACCATTCAGTCGACTGAGAGGGACGATGGGAAAACAGACGAGGAGAACGACACCGGGGGTGGGCGGGCTGAACGACTCTCCACCGGATGGCTTGCCTCCTCCTCGGGCTCAACCGTGATCCTCCACTCCTCCTCCTTCGCCTACTCCTTTACCGTGCCGCGCTTGATGGCTTGTGCACTCGGGCTTCTGGGAACGACGCACCCTTTCGGGGGCTGATTTTGTAGTTGGAAGCTTTGAGTTTTGCTCGAGGTTGTGCGGGATGAGCCGTGATGTCTTTCGGAGAGATTGTAGTGAAGAGTTAGGTTGGAGCTTTGAATTTTAGTTGAAGATATAAGGGATGAGTCGTGATGTCTTTTGGAGTCATTGGAGTGAAGGGACTCTAACGTGGAGGGAGTCTTGGGAGGGTTAGGTTGATTTTTACATTTTTTAGCAATAGGGTGGAGGAACTTTTTGGTGTTGTTTGGTCGCGTGCCATTTCAGGGATTGATTATGTAGACCCAACTCGCGTATTGGTTTGCCTGGAAAGTCCATGCCGATCGTTGATAGGTGGTACAGGTCTGAATATATTGTAACGTTTGAAAAGAAATAACACGTGTACATCCCTTAAAAGCTGGAAAGGGTGTGGAAGAAAATGGTACTTACATAATTCAATAAATATATATCAAAATTCGAATGTGTCTCTGAATTTTTCTTAAAAATTGGCACGAACTTTTTGGACAACCCAATACTTGGTGTATAGCAAGCAATTTCTGAATTATGGAATCGTACTTGATGTTCAAATTTATCGACGAAGGGATGGTATATCTAGCTTAGAGAAAGTTTTTGAGGGACTTGATTCATCCCTAGATTCTGAAATTGTGGAGTGAGAAATCTTTGATGCTTTTTAAGCAAAGCTCAAGATAATTTTTAAATCGTACCTCGATGTTACTGCTCGCAATAAGAGTCTTCGAGTGAGCGTGAAGAAAAGGTCTTAGGCGTTGAAAAACTTCCAACATGCCGCAGTCCTCTGTAGTACTGGTAGAGAGACGTAATTGTCACGCACGAAATCGTGTTTGCCGAAGCACGTAAAATACCGTTGAAAAGTAAGAAACTGGAAAAGTTCATCGAATTAACCATCGTTAGAGAGAGCACGGAAGCCGTCCTACGAGGCAAAGAAGTTAATTGATCGTTAGATTACCCTCGAGCTTAAAGAAAATTCTATTTTGCTTGCTGCCTTTGTTAGTAGCTACTGCTCCAACGATCTTGCATAAGATAAATATTATAATTATCCTTAAATAGGACTAGTGGGAAGTTGGAATTGTTAACCTCTTTACATGTTAACCTCTTTTCTTTAAATTATAAATTGTGCTTAGCTTCAAGATGCGCGTAGGCATTGTGCAGAAATAAAAGTCGGATTTGTATTTATTTTTTTAGCATTTTTTAACAACGACTGATTGTTAAACTCGTAAGAAACTCTGAAAAAAGACCAACATTAACATTATAATCGCGTCGTTACGCAACAAGGAATCGCGTTACAAAGAACAGTTTCGTCTCCTACAAAATCGGCAGCGCCCGAGATCCCAAAGTTGAGTCGGTTGTGTAATACGCTTCCTTGTTTGAGGAAGACGTGTAATAATCGTTCCAGTCGCGGCACGCGAGTACTCTCGAGGATGATCCTTTTCGGCGCGTTCCACGAAAATCGAGGAAGCGCGGTCGCGAGCGCTTGGCAAGTCCTTGGTCCACCATTTTGCCGTTTTGCTTGCGCAAGAGGACGAGCTGTACCTCTTTCCTCGACAATTATACGGCCCCTGGAACCGGCGTTCCTCGAGAATTAAACCCGTCGGTTAAACGGTCGACGCGTGTCCGCGAATCATCGGTTTCAGTTCGATCACGAAGGTCGTCTCGACGCGATTCGAAAGCGTCGTCCCAGGGCGGGAATAATAATTTGCGTGAATATTAGGACCGCCAGTTTTTTGCGTGCTTGACCCGTTCCTACGTAACATTCTGCCCTTCTTTGTCCTGCTTTCGACTGGCATGACTCATTCCCATAAAGTGGGGTTACCATCCCTGAATTGCAAGGTGAAAGCGGGAGGACAGTCTTTAAATTGATGGTTTCCAAAGTTTTTCAAGGGTACTATTAATGAAAATGCAGAAAGTTTCATTTTAGAGGAAATTAAGCTTTATGGAGAGATTTTGGTAGATTTACTTATTGAATATAATGAACCATTTAGAAGTGGTTTGCAGGACTCTAGTGCTACTCTAGTGTTACCTCTTTTTACCTCTTCATAATATTAGTTAGTTCACGGCATACCATTGTCTACCACCAGGGAAAGTGCTCAGATAAACAAATAGCCCACCCAATTTAAAAATAAGATCGCCTCGTTAACGAGAAACCGCAGTTGAACGAGTCATCAAAGCCTAGAATTCCTGAACGTCAACGTCGAGCACCGTGGTGAGTCATGTCGCGCCTACGGAGCCAGCAGGATATCGCAAAGAAATTTACAACCGGTGGTAATTAAACCTGTTCGATGAGTTCGATAAAAGGCGACGTCTGGGTGTCAGTTACCCACGTGCACGATATAAGTCTCTATGGGTGAAACGGTCGGCTACCCTTTTCGAGCGCCGTCGCTACCGTTTTTCGACGAGGAGCCAATGGCTACGACCACGGTTTGTCGGTTGCCTGGAAGGGACGATTTGGAAGATAAAAATCGGCTGGTGGCTCTCTACTATCTCCTTGGTTATCGCGATAACTTTCTTCTCTGTATTACGTGCCGATCTCGGTCGAGCTTTTACGAAAGCGTGCCCCATCTAAATTATCCTCGCGAACAGGTGCGCCGGTGAACGGACAGTGACAAGTTCTACCTGTGCCACCGCGATAAATTGCTTCAGGGGTACCCGAAACTTGTAGCTTTGCTCGTTCCGATGGTGCAATTCCGTCTACGGGATGGAATCTCAAACTGTGGGCGACGGGGATGTGCTGAAACGATGCTAGGAACAGAAAGATTGAAGATACTCTGGGTATACCGAGGGTTTATTGTATTTTTCTTTTCTGTTCTTCAAAATTGGTAGTTATTGATCTGTTTAGTGTGGCAGAGATTATTCGGACGTGGACTAGTTTAAATTTCTCTTCGGTATTAACTATTTTCCTTTAGTTTCTAAAATTCCACAACAATTTTTCTCGAGTGTCTCAAATAATTCGACCAAAACTCTCATTAAATTTCTATAATAGACGTTTCCGCAATTCGAGAACAACACAAGCAACATTGTAAAACGATTACATGATTCGTAAATGGATGTACGAAGTCTACGAAGCCTAACATCGTCCATCATCGTTGCCTGGCGTATGGTCTTGTTTAATGGATCGGTAGCTCGATGACAAATAAATAAGAGAGCAACCACCGCACCCTTGACGCCCTTTAACGACCCCCCGTAGAGTGATCGTCCAAGTCTCGACTTTCGACCTGGTGCTAACTTACCCATTTACCCTCTTCTCCCCCCCCCCCCCCCCACTCTGCTCACCCTCTTTGTCCCATTTCGAACACAGGTTGCGCTCGTTCACGGATCATCGACGGTTAATCGGTGTTTGGAGCTCGTTGCGGTTCATCCGGATGTTATTACTGCTCGACGAGGTGTGCGTGCCCAGGGACCAGCTTTGGAAGGCCACTTTGAACTTTGAGGTTCGAGCTTCGAGCTGTGGTGAAACTCTGTGAGTGTATCTTCTCGATTATTACAGTAGATTTTATTTATGTAGTCTTATCGCAGCCGGACTTTATTTATTCTCAGGCCTCCGCAGAAATTTTATTTAGTTTTAGTGAGTGTATTTTCTTGATTATCACGGTATGTTTTGTTTATTTATTTTTCTAAAAATCTAGAGTCTTTTTCTAAAACTGCCTGGTAGTTTCACAATATATATAAAAAAAAAAAACAAGAGATATCATAGGAACTAGTCCAAAACAATCCAAAAAACAATTCCTGAAGCTGTCGCCACGAAACTTTTAGGTCCCCGCCTAATCTATCATTGGCAAGATAGATCAAATTGTCAATGGTATCTGTTTACGGTGGACGATAAAACCCCTCGAATTCTACCCCACCCCCACCGCCCACCTCTCCACTCCTCGAAACACCTTCCAAAACTCGAGCGACATTTCCCACGTGAGCACACGGCGGACGAAACTGGGGTAAAAATTGCGTGGTCTGGTTTTATCAGATCGTGCGCGATGCCAGGCCAGGGGTAGCTGGTAATAGCAACGGAACAACCCCTAACGAGGAGAGGATCAGATGGTTCGAATAGATTAATCTATGCCCTTTGCACGGCGGTAGGGAACACCAGGATGATTACGGTTGCCTGTGTGCTGCCCTTTTTGACCGTGTCT